CGCGTCGCCAGCCGAGCGAGCGGGATCGACGCCGGCTCAACCTCCGCCTCTGCCCTTGTACAGGACCTTGACAGGACACCTCGCAAACCCTGTCAACCGTCGCTTTTCTCGGCCGCCTGAGCGGAAGCTACGATCGAGCGAGGTGGTCGCCGTCCGTGCACGGGCGCAGGCACTACTGCGACGGAACCTTGCCCTCTTCGCCCTCCCGCTCTCCCGCTGGCTTTCCTTGCTCACTACGTCGCTTCGCAGGGTTCGGGACCGTCAGCAGGACGAGGAAACACGACGGAACACGCCTCGTGTTCCTTGCCGAACTGCTGTTCGCCTGCCACGGGCGGCGGATCGACCTGTTCTTTCATTCCTTCCCGTTTCCTTTTCATTTCCCCGTCGAGCATCCCTCTGTCCATCTCTGGACCGCTCGGCGTGCCTTCAGCAATGTCCCGCCTCCGATGCGCCCTCGCACCGTCATCGTCGACGTCGACAGTCGCCGCACTTGGAGTTGTCCTCGTCGTCCTGCTCGTGCGCTCTTCCTCTTCGCGGCGGTCTCCTTCCCCTGCTTCCTTCGGCCGATGACGACGCCCAGGCTTCCATTGCGAGGCCATCGGCGGTACCGCTGCCTCACACTCGAGACTTCCGCCCGCCTCTTTGCCTCGTATCAGCGGGTTCATTCGCCGCCTCAGATCGCCCATCAGCGTCTGTGCACTCTGTCTGTAGCTCCAAATGGTCCTGCCATTCCATCATGCTTCCCTGCGCGTGCAAGCGGTGTTTCATTCATTTTGCGCGGTTGTCCTGGTCGCGACGAGGAGAGCGAGAGGGGATTGCTCACTACCACCCGCACACTCGCTGCTCGAGAGGCTCGCTGGACTGCTTGCTGGGATTGCTAGAGGCTGCACAGCGCGCGAACAACGCTTGTCCAGTCGCGCGAGCTGAGCGCTCACCGCTCCACCCCATCCTCATCTCCCCCGCTCGCGACACGACCTCACTACTCCTCCAGCACGTCCATCCAGCCTGCCAGACCGTCTCTCACACTTCCCTGCACACGGCGACGCGCCTCCCCGCGCACCATGTCCACCCACCTCTCCGCCTCGTCCTCCTCCGGCCTCGTCGCGACGACAAACAATCGCAGCACGAACCGGTACTCGGCGCTGCAGTCCCTCATCGCAGACCAGGATACAGATATTGAGGATGAGTTGGCGAGAGGTGAGTCGCTCACGGGCGAGCTTCAGGCCAGGTGAGGAGAGGGGACGGCGAGGTGGGGCAGGAGGAGGAGAAAGGCGACTAGGTCGCGCCAGGCGGTGGATGCGATTGCGGACGATGCGAAAGAGCTCTGAAGACTGGTTCAGCAGCAGCGCGACCTTTCAGACCCGCACAGCGCAACTCGATCCGCACTTCTTCAGACGAGACTAACGCCTTTCTCTCCCTTCGACAGCCCAGAAACGCCTGCGAGACCTCAAAGCGCGCATCTCGGCGCAGTCGAAGAAGAACTTTGTGTTGGAGCGGGATGTGCGGTACCTCGACAGCCGGATAGCGTTGCTCATCCAGAATGTGCGTCGAGAGGATTGCTTCCGTTCTTTCACTTCGCCGCGTATCGTGCGACGCGCTGACTGATCATACGCGGTCTTGATGCGCAGCGAATGGCGCTGGACGAGCGAGAAGAGGTCAAGGAGCACTTGGAGGATGTCGACGAGGGCGAGGAGACCGCGATGGACGAGCGGCGGCAGCAGGTGCGTCGGCGAGCCGCAAATGCGCCTGTTACTTACAACGAAGTGCTGACGCCTGGGTACGTTCCCGGCGCTCAGCAATACTCGAACCTCTTCTTCCTCCTCCAATCCGAACCCCGACACATCGCCTCCCTCTGTCGCCTCGTCTCGCTCAGCGAAATCGACACGCTCCTCCAAACGGTCATGTTCACGCTGTACGGGAATCAGTACGAGTCGCGGGAAGAGCACCTGCTGTTGACGATGTTCCAGGTGCGTTGCGAGGATTGGCTTTCTCGTAGCCGGGTGCCACGACCAGCGCGCTGACGAATGCTTGCGCTTCGATTCCGATGACGCACAGTCCGTCCTCGCTGCTCAATTCGAGACCGCAACAGAATTCGGCTCCCTCCTCCGCGCCAACACGCCCGTCTCCCGCATGATGACCACTTACACGCGACGAGGGCCCGGTCAGAGTTATCTCAAGAGCGTCCTGGCGGAGCGGATCAACAGCTTGATCGAGCACAAGGACCTGAACCTCGAGATCAACCCGCTCAAGGTGCGCCGCCTTTCCTCCTTCCGCGTCCGTTCTTCGATGACTGACTCGCTCGCTTTCGACAGGTCTACGAGCAGATGCTCAACTCGATCGAAGACGAGACAGGCGACCTCCCACCCGATCTTCCGCAAAATGTCACGCCCGAAGTCGCCGCTGCCAACGCCGACGTGCAGAACATCATCGCGCCTCGACTCACCATGCTCATGGAGATCGCCAACAGCTTCTTGTTGACGATCATGAACAGCATCGAGAGCGTGCCGTACGGGATCAGGTGGATTTGCAAGCAGATTCGGAGCTTGACGAAGGTGCGTTTCCGTCTCGCTCACCACCGCCGCTCGCGATGTTGACGAGGAGCGTGTGTCGCAGCGCAAGTACCCTGAAGCGACCGACTACGCCATCTGCTCCCTCATCGGCGGCTTCTTCTTCCTTCGCTTCATCAACCCAGCGATCGTCACGCCTCAAGCCTACATGCTCATCGACTCGCTGCCGGCCAGTGCCAAGCACCCGCGACGAACGCTCACTCTCGTGCGTCAGACCGTACTCTCCTTCAACCGAACGAGACTGACGCCCCTCGCTGCACAGATCGCCAAGATGCTGCAGAACCTCGCCAACAAGCCGTCCTACTCGAAGGAGGCGTACATGATGTCGCTCCAGCCGTTCGTCGACAACAACAAGACGCGGATGAACCAGTTCCTGAACGCGCTGTGCGAGGTCCCCGATTTCTACGACACGCTCGAGGTGCGTCCTCCGCGCTCGCCTAGGAGACGCGCAGAGCTGACAGTGGGACGGACGAGCAGATGGACCAGTACATGGCGCTCTCAAAGAAGGACTTGCAGATCAACATCACGCTCAACGAGCTGTACAACACGCAGAGCCTCCTCATCCAGCACCTCGACACCCTCGTGAGTCTGCCTTTGCCCCGTTCAGCTCGCCTCGGTCTAATGGAATCGTTCACAGGCCCGCAACGATAAGCAGCACCTCCGCATCCTCCTCGAAGAACTCGGTCCCGCACCTCCGCAAGTCCCGCGCAAGGAGAACCGGACGATCGAGCTGCCGCTGTACTCGCGCTGGGAGATGCCGATCCAGGACATCACGACGGCGTTGATGGCGGAGAACAACGTGACGCAGAACGACATCCTGTACCTCGAGGCGAAGTCGATCTTTGTCCAGCTCATCCGGTCCATCCCTCGACTCGCCGAGCGAAGACCGATCCAGCTTCCTCTCGTCGCCGAGACTGCCGCGACGTCGAAGGACGCGACGCTCGTGCGCAAGGGCATCAAGGTCAAGGAGATGCTGCGGGAGCTCGAGGAGCTCAAGCTCGTCGACCGGCGGGACAACTACAAGCTCCTGACGGACGAAGTCGCGGCCGAACTCGTCCACCTCGGCAACCTGCGCGAGAAGGTCGTGCTCGAGACGCGCTCGCTCGAGTCCGTGTACAAGACGATCTGCGACCACAACGCGTACCTCCGGTCGCAGCTCGAGCAGTACAAGGCGTACCTGCAGAACGTGCGGCAGACGACGGCGGGTAAGGTGGGAACGGGCGGTGTCGGCGTCGTCACTGTCGCCGGCAAGGACAACAAGCCGAAGCAGACCCAGCAGCTCGGGCCGTTCAAGTTCACCCACCAGCAGTTCGAGAAGGACGGGATCATCGTCGAGACAAACGTCCCCGAGAACCGGTGCGGCTCGTCGCTCACTCTCTGCCTGCACTTGATGCTGACGATTTCGCTTTCGGCAGGCGACCAAGCATCTTCTTCCTCGTCTCGTCGCCCTCACCTGGCGCTTTCCTCATCGCCCTGCACTAGTACGTCTTGCGCAGCCCTTCTGCTCGCAAAGAACTCTGCTCACAGCCTCTCGTCGCGCTCGCAGCAAGGGCCGCGAGAAGGCCATCCTCGAGATGGACCTCAAGATTGACGATCTGCTCGAGAAGAAGAACCAGGGCGTCGAGCAGCTCGACATGGAGTATGTCAGCCTCAACGTCTCGAAGGTCCTCGCACTGCTCAACAAGTAGGTTCCGAGTTCTCCAGTCCTCGTTCGAGCAACGAGCTGACTTCGGCATCGTGCAGGACCTTCCAACGCCGCAAGTAGCGAAATAGCCCGTCTCCCCTTGTCTGCTCCTCTCCCTATCGCCCTATCCCGCCTAATAGCCGCTCTCCTCGTCTGCCGTGATCACCTTGATCCCTTTATACCCCCTTTGCCGTATTTACGCTCGCTCGTTGCGCCAGTTTTACCGATTCCCCAACACTCGCTGCTGTCTGTAATGCTTGCACGGAATTTGCACGCCTGTTTCGCAGCAGAACGAGCTCGCTCCTTTCGCTATTCGCCAGCTAGCAAGGATGCGAGAAGCGGGTCGTGCGAGTCTGCGGAAAGGAAAGGTTGCAAACGGTATGGACAACTGCAGGGGCAGGGCTCCGCTGCTACGGTCATGCGAAGTCGAATGCTTTGCCCTGCGCAGAGGCGGAAGCGTAAGCAAGCTGGAAGCGGCGATGGGGAATACCAACAACGCACCGAGATGAGGAGCGCGGTGATGAACCCGAACAGGCCCAGGATCGATGAGAAGACCTCGATGACGAGGACCTGCACCGCGGGATATGTGAGTGGCTCCTTCGGAAGATGAGGCAGCTTGAGGAGGGACGCACTTTGACGAACAATTGCGGATCTGCCGCATCTGCAATCGCCGCGTTCGCACCTGAGATTCCGACTGCCACGCCGCACAACAGGTTGCACAAGCCGCTTGTGAGGCCTCCCCAGAAGAGGGCGAAACCGGTGTAGTAGTTGCTGGGGCTGTAGAGGGTCTCGATGGAAGGCGAGGCGGCGAGTTTCGCCGAGTAGACGATGGATGTGATGACGCCGCTGTTGGTACAGCAAGGTTAGCGGCGAATCTTCTACTGCATCGCAAGAGGTGAAGCGCACTAGATGCCGACGACCTGAAGCCATGCGCATTGACGGGAAGAGAGTCAGTTTCTGCGGCACTGCGCTGATCCGACGGCTTCCATCACGACTGACCTCACAGAACACGATACTGTATGACTCGTGCAACAGTGAGCGAAGCACGCAACGACGCTCAGGCGGGGCGAAACGCACCTGATCAAGTTCTTTGTTCGGATGCGCGGTGTCCGCACGCTTCCACCAAGAATCGACGAGCCCGTGATCCAGATTCCCCTGCACGTCAGGAAAAGGTCAGCAGACTGCGGCCGGCGCGACAACGGCGAGACTCACCATCCCGCACCCGCTACACTCAACCCGATATTCAGGCCCAGTCCGACTAGCGCGAACGCGTAAGGGCTCGTCTGCTCAAGGAACTGTCCCGGATTGAACTGCGTCCCCGAACCCGTGAACGTGAGGTAGCCTGCCACCAGTGTTGCGAGCGCGAGACCCGAGTAGGCGGCAAGGCCGATGGTGTAGCCCATCGCGGCGAGCTGAGGCGGTAGGAAGGGTCGGGCGGTGAGTGCTGGGTCTCAGAAGAAGGCTCACAGTCAGCTCGACCGTCCCAGAGCGTGTCGTCTGCTCGAACGCTCCGTGCGGGGGCGACGAAGCGATGAGGCGCCGCGGGAGGAACGAGAAAGCGCAGCGCACCTGGCTGGTGGGTTCTCAAGCTCGACAAGAGAGGTGACACAGCACACAGTCCTTCAGAAAAGCAGCAGAGCGATGTGAGCGTGTGTTGTCGAAGATGACGAGCGGGTCGTGGTTCGCCTCCTCCCCTTCACGACGCTGCTCGCTCGCTAGCTCGAGTGATGGTGCTGCTCGCTTTCGTAACGTACACGGACAACGTCGACCAGCCAGGCCGCCGGACCGCTCTCCCTCGCCTTCCCCTCAAGACCTCTCCCTCCTCGCATGCGCTTGAGCAGTCACAGGCGTACGGTACAGCATCTCCTACATTCTCCATTTGTACCACAGGCGGGAAAGCCGTGCGGATCTTCCGCCATCCCTCGGATCTTCCGTTCGAGCAGAGACGCTTTTCTCCTTTTTCGCCTCTTGACTTCAGCTGCTCGCGCCTCGTCTTACGCTGCTCAAGCTCATGTCGAGGCAGCCAGACTTCCGACGGGAGGTCTGGGAGAAGGCGGCGTCGAAGGACGACTTGCGGGCGCTGTTCCTCTACTCGACCCATTCGCCAGCTGGACCGTTTCCCACGCAGCACGACGTCTTGCAGGCCATCTCCGCTATCGAAGGAGCAACCGAATACCGAACGGTGACCTTTGATCGAGCCATCGCCGCTGTACGCAGAGTCGTGGAGAACGACTGGGATCTGTTGGTCCCGACATTGTGGGAGAACACCTTGCGCGGTTGTGAAGCTGCAGCAGCACTGCTTCGCCAGGGACAGCCCATCCTGGCTGCAGTCAAAGTGCGGCTCTCATACGATTCTTCCGGACCGGTGCTGACGCGCGAGGAACAGCCCATTCGCATGCAGGCACTCATGGGCTTGCCGCCGCGCGAAGGAAGTCAGGGTACTACTCACCTCACAACGTTTCCAGTCCGTCTGCCATATTTGCTTCCGTAGGCTAGACGAGAGCGCTGACATTCCCCTTGTCCCAGGTCACTCCGGCGGGAGAACAGGCATTCCGTCGGTTGCACCAGACTGCCGTGGACTGCGGCCATTACCCTGTTTTGTGTGAGCGTTGGGAGCTCTCGCGACCCGCAAGAACGAAGTCGCGACTGTCGAGGCTGTCCGAGCCAAGCCGCGAAGCGGTCTGCCAGTTGGCGGAATACTTGATCCACCTAGAGCCTACACCATCGCCTGAGGAGCTGGTATGTCCTTGCACATCTCCTGCACCTCAAGGAGATGCGCTCAACCAGACATTTTCCTCGCAGCCTACCCTCAACCAGCTCCTCGCCTACGCCGAGATCAGCGCTCGCTACCTAGACCTACGCCAGCACCTCTCCTCCATCGTCGACCTCTACCAACATCATGAGCGGTCTTTGACGTACGCCTCGCGCTGGGCCTCGAAGATCGAGCGTACCCTTCCCTTCGTCGACTTCGCGAAAGTCACCGCCGCAAGCAGCACGGAGGCTTTGTCGCGCGTGCGTATGTTGGTATTGAGCATCGACGCGAACGCGCCGCCGTTCCCCTCGGATCTCGTACGTCCTCTCCTTCGGGCCAGAAGTGCGACGAGCGACTTCGACTGACCTCAACCGTTCGCAGCCTTCCGCCACCGCTCTCTTCGGCACGGACATCCTTCTCCAGGCCGACTTGCACCGAGCGCACCATCAGGGAGACCTCCGCCGCATCTCGCACCGGATGGCAAGGCGGATTGGGACGACCAAGGAGGCGTGGGAGGCGCAGCGGGCGACAGGGATGTTCTGAGGGGTAGTAGAAGGGTGCATTGCGGCGTTCGTGCGCTTGTTGACCTTCAAGAGCGGGCAAAGAAGTCGGGTGGACGATGCTGGACCATCTCTTCGTAGCCGCTCGACCTTCGCAAGTTCGCTTCTCTCGTCCTTCGCTTCGCGCAGCTCTTTCGCCATCACTACTGCCCAGCTTGGGGAAGCTTTCCTGACATCTGCCAAGACGAGCGAACAGGGAACGCAAGCCGGGCGTTCCGCTTTCTCCGCCTGTCTCCTCGTCGCCTCCGGCTCGCCGCTGGCTCCTCTCCCCTCGGTGCGCGCTGCGGTTGTCAACGGTCGTCGTCAGCCCGTCGGAAGACCGCAGCTGTGGACCGTCACCCTTGTTCTCCTGCTGCGTAGAACTTGGCAGCTGACCCATGACGCGGAATCGTCGCAAGCGGGAGGAGGAGGAGAAGGGGCGTCTCTTCCTTTCTTTCTCTTCACTCGACCACTCTCTTCCACGCTCGAACATCTCTCAAACGACACAATGAACCCCACCGACCAGACTTACGGCTCCACGACGACCGGCGCAGGAGGATACGGCGCTTCGCAGACGGGAATGGGCGGCACGACCGGTGCGTGTGCAGCACTCGCTCCTACGTCTCTTTCGTCGTTGGCTGACCATCAGAACGACGCTCTGCAGGCATGACCGGCACCGGCGCAGGCTACGGCGACGAGCGTGGCCTCGGATCGGGCGTTGGCGCCGGCCAGGGTGCTGGTGCGTTTCCTTGTCCCTCGTCATCTCGCCTTCGACTCGCTGTGCCTTCGGACGTCGACAGAGTGCCGAAAGAATGACGAAGCAGTCTTGGACAAGCACGCTGACCTTTTCTCGCTGTCTCCTCCTCCTCCCCCCTCCCCCTCTCCTGCACATCGTCATCACCGTCTCGCAGGCTACGGCACGACGACCGGGCGCGACCCGATGACCCACCAGGGCGCCGAGGTTGGCAAGCACCCCCTCACTGCCGCCGCTCACCCTACGCACCCCGTCGCGAGCGCCGAGGCCAAGGACATCCAGAAGCACGGCCACACCGGCCACCACCACGGCACCGGCACCGGCACGACGACGACGACGGGCGGCACGATGGGCCAGGAGGCTGGTTCGATCGCTCACCACCCGCTCACGGCTGCCGCGCATCCGACTCACCCTGGCGCTTCCGCTGAGGCCAAGGACGTCCGCAAGCACGGAGAGACGGGCCTCACTCACGACACGACGACGACTGGCACGCACGGTACGCACGGATTCCACGGCACGCACGGCGCTGCGGGAACGACTGGTGCGGCCAAGCCTTCGATGGGCGACAAGCTCGCCGGCGCGACCGAGAAGCTCGTCGGCAAGGTCACGAACAACCCCGCCAAGGTCCAGGAGGGCGAGATCAGGCAGACGGAGGGCAAGGCTGCCGCCTCGGGCGCTGGAGTCGGCGGCGCTGCTTACTGAGCGAGGATGGGACGGAGCCGCTTGCACGCTTGACGATACCGCTACGATACCGCTACTGTACATGAATGCGAATGAACACACGTAGTTCTTCTCCTTCGTCGTTGCGAGCGAGAGAAACAAGTCGACCTTCCCAAGCTGCCGCGCTGCCGTCTCCTCGTTGCTCAAGTTCACCCTTCTCTTCCTTGCATGTTCGTTGGGCCCTCCTCCTTCTTGTGTCGCACTGCTGGCAGGTGCGCAAAGAACAGCCAATCTAGCGGAGACGCCATTTCCGAGCCTGCGACTCGCGCTCCGTCTTCTCTTGCGCTCCTTCGCTTCGCCTGCTCCGCTCAGCGCACGCCGAGCGGCCTTCAAAGGCAACCATCCAGCTCAAGTCGACGCTGCATGCGCCTCACCGCCTGCCTCGGCACGACGAAAGCGACCCGCGGCCAGTTCTCCTCGCTCTTTCCCCATCACTGCGCTCCCGCCAGCTCATCTCCTCACGCCGCCGACTCGATGCTTCCATCTTCAAAGGACGTCCACCGCGACGGTGCGTCTCTCACACCCGCTCGCTCGACCCACGAAGGCAGAGAAGCAGGAGAAGCAACGAGGCGAGGACGTCAGCGGAACGCGCGGGACGGAGGAGTCGGAAGCCGTCGAAGGAGCGAGTTGCTGACGGTCCATTCTCTTCCTCTCGACGACTCGAACAGCTCGCGAACACGCAGGCATGAGGGAACCGCTTTGCTCGACGAACTTGTCGCATGCGATGAGTGCGTTTCGCTCTAGCAGGCCCTGATTGTCTCGCCAGTCCGCCCCTCTGGAGGTAATCGGCTTCGCTGCTTACGCTCGCGCACTTGCAGAGGATGTGACAGTCAGCCACCACGGGGACCGCCCGAGCAAACCCCAAACCGACCTCCCCCTCTCCCGCGACTCCACAGGCGGCAGCCTCTCCACCGGCGAGCGATACGAGCACGCCCCCTCACACCCCAAGCCGCAACCTTCGGCCAGTCAGCCGAGCCTTGTCGACCGGGTGGAGGGAGAAGCGGAAGAGCTTGTCGGGCGATGGAGGCATGATGCGCAGCTTGTCGAGGCGGGACGGACGCAGCGAGATTACGGGCGAGAAGCGATCAAGCAAGGGATGGAAAACGGAGGAGGATCCGTCATGCGGTGAGGGCGAACAGCGGGAACGAGGAACCGGATCATGTGCGAAGTTCGTGTCTGTTGTACTGCACTGCGTACGAAAGAATATGTACTGTCGTAAGAAGCTATGCGCCATGCTCAGTCAGTCTTGCCGATAGCCTGCACGATTCGTTCCGCCTCGTTCTCCCTCTTCCAAAACTCGGGCAGCGTGTCGACATCCATCGCCGCGTCCGCCGGCGCGCCAACCTCCTCAACCTTGAACCCTTCGTGTCCCTCGCGCTTCTGCTCCTCCCTCGCGTCCTCGCTAACCCATCCCATCGCCCTCCGCGCCATCTCCTTCGGGGGAATGCGCATCCCCTGCTCGTCCAGCCACGACCGCTTGAGCTCCAACTCGCGCCTCTTGACGAACTGCTGCGCGATGGAGCCGTCCCAGACGAGGCGAGTGAGGATCCAGCGCGTGAAGGCGCGGATGATAAGGTAGGCGTGCGACGAGGCGAGTGCGATAACAGCGGCGGTGAGGAGGAGGTTCTTGATTGCCGAGATAGTGTCGGACGAGCCGGTCGCGGGAGGGAGAGCGCCGAGAAGTTGAGGCGCGTCGGAGGGAGGCGGAAGGGAAATAGACTGGGCGTGCGAGAGGCGACTCGTCCAGAAAGCAGCGGTACCGTTCGCTGGGAGCGAGACGTTGTGGTGTGTGAGGTTGGCGATGTAGCCGGCTGTCGCGCCGGGGAAGGTCTTGCGAGGCTGGTAGAGGTAGATGAGCGAGGAAGTCGTCAAGGCGCCTAGGTACGAGAGGAAGCCCTGTGTGCGCAGAATGTCAGCGACCTCGATGCCGGCAAGGCGCGTCGGACGCACGATAACGTCGAGCCAAGGGCCGATGCTGCTCGTCCTGTACGGGATCGGGCGGCGGGCTTGCGAAGTGAGCTTGAAGGCGTCGGAGCGGATCTCGAACTGCGAGTTGGACCATCAGCAAGGGTCTCTGCGGAAGAACGCTATAGGCGACGCACAAAGTTGTTGATGAGGCTCCAGATCGGGCTGACGGGCCAGATGACGGCAAAGAGGACGATGTAGCCAAACTGCTGGGCCATCTCCTGATACTCTCCAAAGATCTCGTTCGTCGGGAGGAGCTGTTCCTGCCTGATGCGTGCAAGGAAGTCCTTCTCATCCTCGTGGTCGCTCGTACCCGCCTTCTCGCGAGCCTTGTCAGCCGCAGCCGTGTGGTGAAGCTTCTCCTGGACGACCGGCATGAGCTTCGCTTGGAGGTAAGGGAGGCCGACTTCGAGGAAGGCGCCGGTAATCTGACCGGTGAGCGTGTAGGCCATGAGCTGGGTGTGCAGCTTGGAGGAGTTGATGCTAAAGGAGCCGGACTGGAGGGTCTTTGAGGTGGTCGCAGAGAGAGCGGCGGCGTGGCGGGACGGCAGGCGGGTGAGGATGTGCGGGACGAGGAACGAGCCGAAGGGAATCTGCGCGCGGGTGTCAAAGGTCAACATTGCGTTCGCGTAGCGCGAGAAAGGGCGACGCACGTAGACGTAGCTCGTGAGGAGCAAGTTGCCGTACGCCGCGACAAAGTTGAGCGCAAACGTCTTGATCGTCAAGCTCGCCTCGTGCTCCGACTGGCGAGGGTGATTCTCGAACGTCGTGAGCTTGCTCGCCGTGAAGCTCCAGCTGCGCAGCGGAGTAGTCAGCGGGAGGGTCGCGCCTGTTTCGTGTGAGAGACGACTCACAGCGCGTTGACTTGGGGCACGAGGGTCACGAAGAGGACGGTCGGAATGAGGGTCTACGAGTAAGAGGCGTCAGGAAGAACGTCGACGAACGAGAGCGGCGCGACGCACCAGGAACTTCTTGAAGGGCCCGCTGTAGACCTCGCTGACGAGGGTCTCGACGACGTAGATGGCCGAGATGATGGTCCCGAGGAAGCCAATGAAGGCAAAGTAGGCCGGCAAGCTCGCGAGGCTACGAGTCAAGGTGCGCCTGAACGACCACTTCTCCCTCGTGATGCCGCTGACGGGGTCGACCTCCTTGCCCTCGCCGCGGAAGCCCGGGCGCTCGATCTCGACGCGCTCGTAGCGGTACGTGCCCCACTGGACGGCGATGGCCTTTTCGCGAAGGCGCCAGGTCTCGATGAAGACGACGCTCCAGCCGACGAAGCCGATCCCGAGGAGCGGGTGGAACGAGAGGCCGAGCAGCCAGAAGAAGAGTCCGATGACGGAGGGGAACAGGAGCGAGCGGAAGTAGTACGAGAGGAAGGCGAAGTAGAGCGCGACCTTTTCACCGAGGTGCGCCTTCAAGTCGTCGAGCTCGCTCTGCGGGATCGTGAGGAGCTCGAGGGGGTTCTTGGTCGCGGGAGTGTTGCCAGACTGGGTGGCGGGGAGGTGCGACCACCTGCGGAGCCACAGCTTGTTGTACGCGGCGTTGTGAGGCGGGAACATGTCGATGAGGTGCGGGAACTCGACCTTGTTGGCGGGCGTTGGCGGGAGCTGCGACGCGACGGGGAGACCGCATGTCGGGCCTGTCGAGGCAGAAGATCGGATTGAGGCGGCCTGTGTCGCGCGAGGAGACTGCGCGAGAGCGAAAAGTCAGCTTCCGTCGCCTCGTCGCCGCGAGTCTCGCGCCTTCGCCACAGCACCTCGACAGTGTCCAGTGAAGCCCTCCCAACGCACCGTGAGAATCGAGTAGACGACGCGGATGCGCTCCGCCTCCTCGATGGGTTCAGCCGCAAAGTCGCTCGGCTCGCGCGGACTCGGCCTCGAGCTGCCCAAGCCGTGGAGCCAGTCGGACATCCTGTTCGTGTGCCATCCACAGCCAGCGTCAGCGTGTCCCCAGCGAGCGTCGCAGGCGAAAGTGATGTCACTGACCGTTCGCGGGTCACTTCCTCACGCACCCTCTGCTCGCCCGCCTTGACGAAGAGTAGCACCGTGTTGGTCCCCTCTGCACCGTTCCTGCCAGTCACCTTTAGTTCGGCGCCCTCCAGCACCTCGACGAGCTTCGCATACTCGTCCCGCAGCTGATCGGCGCGCTTCGAGCGGACCTTTGAGTCCTGGTCGCTGCTGAGGCCACGCACGGGCGAGTTGTAGTTCGGATCCGTCGAGAAGACGAGTACAAAGTCTGGCGAGGGGTCCATGGCGAGGTGAAGAGCGCCGTCGCAGCGCGAGAGGTGAGGGAGATAGGGAGAGGAAGAGAAGGTCGGCGGCCGCATCTTGGGACACATCACTCGCTTTCGTCGGAAGTGACAGTCGAGTACAGGTCGTGCTTATTTGCGGTCGATGGACCCGGACAGGCTTACAAGCGCGGCGAGGCGTCGTGAGCGTCGTCGTCGTTTCGCTTCCGTCCTCTCCCTCCTCGGTCTTGTTCTCGCTCAATTCTCGCTCGTCCTGCTTCCTTTCGCCGCCCTGCAGTTTTGTTGACGTTCTCGTCCATCATGCTACCCTTGCCGCTGGTTGTAGTGGATTGGCGCCGCACGAAAGAGCAAAGAACGGATGAGGAAGGCGAGGAGGGGCGGTCCAGCCGGTCGGAGGTCTTCCGTGACCTGGAGCGGAGGCAGTACTGTTCTGCAAGACTGATTCTAGCCACAAGGGGGCTCAGATGGTCGAGCTGGTTAAGACGTGAGATTTAAGTAAAGGCTTTTTGCCTAAGCCTCCTCATTGCGAAAGCAATCGTGGGTTCGAGTCCCACTCTGAGCATCTCTTTTGCCTTCCTGCAGCCTCCTAGCGTCGCCGGAAGCATCCCGAGTCGATTCCCGACCTCCCAGACCGGCTCACATCCTCCTTCGCCCGGGTCCGCTGTCTTTCTGCCGCTGCTGGCAGCTCGAACAAGAGGACAGCTGCATTGCGTGAGAGACGGCCGAAGTGCGCTGGAGCGGCGAAGAGGGGGAAGCGGAAGAGGAAGAGGCGGAAGAAGTGGGTGCGAGAATTCGAGTGGGCGAACAGAGAGGCTGTGGCAATGCATGGCCGTTTGATGACCCAGGAGGCGAGCAAGCGTGGTGTGCGGCAGTGTGCATAAAGCTGGAAAGGCAACAAGAACAGAGGGAGAGAGAGGGAGAAGAGAGGGCAAGGGGAACAAGCAAGGACGATTCACTCACTGTGGGAGTTTCCCAAGCTTCTCAGATCTGTTATTCTCATTCAAGCAGTGTAAATTGACAATTTACAGCAGTGGAAGCTCTCGGGATTCAGGTTATGAGATGCTGGAGAGACATCCTAGGATGCTGAGGAGGAAGAGATGCAGGCGGACGGGAGACGAGCCTCCAGTCACCCCTGAGCACGCTCAATGCTCTGATTAATCTCCAACGTTGCGTCGAGGCCCTGGGTAGGCTCTCATACGGCCTTGGAAGCGGCTGGCGCGATGGACTGATGAGAATGGCGAAAGGGAGCAAGCACCGTGCCAGTTGCCTCCAAGGGACTCGCGAGCAGTCGAATCGAGTGATACCCAGTCTACAAGCAGTGAGCTACCGTCACTCAGCTCTGCGACGTGACTGCAGACGGGCAAGACACTCGTTCACCGCTCCTCTTCCTCCTCCCGCTCAGACTCACTCCGCAATACCAAGTTCGGTCACAGAAGGAGCTCCGCCTGTCATCACCACTGCAGAAAGGCACTTCGGATCTCCTTAGAGCAAGCAGCAAGACCGAGTACCGTCAAGCAGGGTTGACCTTCCCAAAGTCGTCGGTACCGCAGACTCCGGGCGAGACGGCAAGGAGGGCGTAGTGGTAAGGTAAGAGCAACTGCTTGGAGCACCAGGCGGTTGTATGAAGCACAAGGGGACGGAGTTGCAGGAGAAACCGAGAAGAAGGATGGAAGGGGCGGGTTGTTGGCGGCGGTCAAAGCTTGTTCCACAGGAAGGATGGAGGACCTGTGTCCTGCGCAAGGAGTATGAGCAAGTGAGAGCACGGGGAGAGAGACTGGGAATGGGCACACCCTACGAATCGAGCCATATTGCCTTGAGCAAGTTCGACCCATCGCTCCTGACCTGCGCCGTATAAAACTTGAGCCACCAATCGTTGTTGAAAAGCAATGTCCGGTTGGTGATCTTGATGCGGCCCACCTTGAGACGGCTGAGCATCTGTCGTATCTCCTCCTCTGCATCGGCGTGGATGAGGGGTTGTGCCTTGTACACCTGCCACACTGTTATATCCTTGGGGTTCCTCATGTATGGGGTAGACAACTAGTTCGTCCTCGATGCGGAGTTTGCGACACGCCGGGTTGGTTGCGTAGTTGTGGATGGTCTGCGAGACCGCAGGCGTTCTCGAAGGACCGAACTTGGAAGTTGTCTCCCTCAGCCCAACTACGCGCCACGAATTCCCTGCTCAGACCTTTAGTGAGGTCTACTTCTGTCCCAATGAGAGGGTGGAGCGTGACATCGGTGTTGAGGGGAAGTTTCGGATGAGGAGGAGGAGGAGGGGTGCGCCAGTCGTCTGGGACAAAGACCTCTTGCAGGTTGCGAGGCGCTCTGAGATACTGGGATTCGCCTTCATCCGCGGGTGGTTTGGGCGGGAGGAGTGCGGGCCGACGTGCGCAATTGTCGGGCGTGGTGTGGAAGAGCCGAGGGTGTGAGCGAAGAGTCGGGCGGCAGAGGGTCAGGTCAATGGCAGCGAGAGTCTTCTTGAGCATTCCGTAAGAGATGCGCTAAGGCCTTGACAACTCAGCGCGGACGGCTCAAAGCCTCAACAACGGCCTTCTCGGCGAATCTTCGCCTGCCGTCACATCCAGCGGCCAAATTGGCAGCTTTGCTGTGGAAAGAAGGTCAAGAGGGAGGGAAGGGAAGGAAAGATCGCAGACCACAATGACGGCTCTCCCTCCTCATCCCTTCCTTGAACCCACGATTGCTTTCGCAATGAGGAGGCTTAGGCAAAAAGCCTTTACTTAAATCTCACGTCTTAACCACTCGACCATCTGAGCCCCCTTGTGGCTAGAATCAGTCTTGCAGAACAGTACTGCCACCGCTCCAGGTCAAGGAAGACCCCCGACCGGCTGGACCGCCCTCCTCGCCTTCCTCATCCGTTCATTGCTCCTCCTGTCGGTCGTGGTGGCGGCAGGTGGACCACTTCGACGGCATGACCGACGGACCGAGTCTGGGAGGCATAAGCAGCGGGGGAAAGCAGGACAAGCTGGTCGATCGAGTGAAGAGGTCGGCGGATAGTTGTTCAGCCGGCTGGAAGAGCAATCCTGATGCCCTGTCGACCTTTTCGGCTCAAGAATAGACAAACTTCGAGGGGTGGCTGTCAAGATGGATCGACGAGGGTGGTTTGACAATGAGGGAGTGTCCCTCAGAAGGTGCTGCGCTCCTGCTACTCCGGACGAAACCCAGAACCTCCTCAGCGCATCTGAATCCGTCCTCAGACCGCCCTTCCACCCTTCAGGCTGCACCCAAAGCGAGTAAAGCGGTCGAGAGATGAGAATGGCGAGGGGGAGCAAGCATCACAGCGGGCAGCCTTGAGCAGTTCGCTAGCGGTCGGGCCCTCAAATAACAGTCCACGAGCACGTATAACCCGCCAGACAGCCCGAGCGAGATGGTGGCAGGAGGACAAGGGACTCGCTCACCGCCTCGCTCCTTCACCTCACACCACACGCTCACACCCAAGATGCAGGCCCTCAAACTGCAGCGCAAATACCCCAACTTCTCGCAGGAGGAGATGATGGCGCTCTGCTCGCAGTTTGAGTGCGTCCCCTTGTCCACTCGCCGACACCGCCTCGTTGTCCCCACCTCGACTCGGGAGCGCTGCGACGGCGCTATGAGGAGCTGCGGAGGGGCTGGATGGATGCGCAGAAATGCCTGAGGAATTGGCGAACGACGCCAGGCCGGCAGAGGTGGTGTGGGAGGACGGCCTTGCTCTCCCGACCGCGTCATGCCGAGTGCGGTGGAACAGTCGGACGCGCAGGACAGGGAGGACGGATTGGACAAGGATGGAACAGGCATTTGGGCTGCAGGAGCACTCACTCGGCTGGGCGGACTTGCGAGCGCGGCTGCCTCCTCTCTCCGACTGGGTCGAGCGGGTTCGACGGAGCGCAGCAGGACTACACACTACGAACGGGACTGACATCCGTTCCACACGTTCGCAGCCAGATCGACATCGACTCGACCGGACGCCTCCCAAAGTCTACCGTCTTGACCGCCCTCTCGACCAACGCGCAGCCCAATTCGCCCTCCGGCAAGTACACCTACGACCAGGTCCGCGAGACGCTCAAGACCGTCTCGATCGACTCGTCTGGACAGGTGGAGCTCGACGACTTTGTCGACCTCGTCGACAAGTTGCGGTCGGGAGCGGGTGCGACAGCTGGACAGGTCTTGCGCGGCGGAGCGTTGAGCGGACTCATGGGAGCAGGCGGGGGTGCGGGAGCGAGCGCAGGAGCAGGAGCGGGAGCGGGAGCGGGAGCTGCGGCGGCGGGTGGCAGCGGAGGAAAGGTCCTCGTCAAGGGCAGCAACACGAACATCACGCACTCGATCAACGAGGACGAGCGGACCGAGTTTACGAGGCACATCAACTCGGTGAGCGGCATGTGAATAGTGTTGTCGTCTTCGTGCTGACACTTTGGCGCGCAGGTCCTCGCCGGAGACCCCGACATTGGCGACCGCCTGCCCATCCCGACCGACACCTTCCAGATCTTTGACGAGTGCCGAGGTGTGCTCGCTCGACGGGATTCCCGGCGGTCTCAGCTGACGGACTCTGCGCGCAGACGGCCTCCTGCTCGCGAAGCTCATCAACGACTCGGTTCCGGACACGATCGACGAGCGCGTTCTCAACAAGGCGTCCAAGAAGGCGCCGTCCGCGATGCCATCCGCCAAGTCGAAGGCGACACTCAACAACTTCCAGATGACCGAGAACAACAACCTCGTCATCACGTCGGCCAAGTCGCTTGGTCTCTCGGTCGTCAACATCGGCGCGACAGACCTGAACGAAGGCCGCGAGCACCTCATCCTCGGCTTGATCTGGCAGATCATTCGTCGCGGTCTGCTCGCCAAGATCGACATCAAGATTCACCCCGAGTTGTACCGCTTGCTCGAGGACGACGAGACGCTCGAGCAGTTCTTGCGCCTCCCGCCCGACCAGATCTTGCTGCGCTGGTTCAACTACCACCTCAAGGCGGCCAACTGGCAGAGGCGGTGCGTTCGAGCTCCTTTCGCGGATTCGTCCATCGTCGCTGCGACGTCCAGTCGTTCCGGAAGGATTCACCGCGTGCTCCGCCTGATCACCAACTCCCCCTCCGCAGTGTCACCAACTTCAGCAAGGACGTCTCGGACGGCGAGAACTACACTGTCCTGCTCAACCAGCTCCAGCCGGCCGAGTGCTCGCGCGCGCCGCTGCAGGAGCGGGACCTCCACACCCGCGCCGAGAAGGTGCGCTTCCAGTCGTCCTCGCCCACGGACGTCGCTCAAGCTTCGCGCTCCCGCAGGTCCTGCAAAACGCCGACGCGATCGGCTGCCGCAAGTACCTCACGCCCACCTCCCTCGTCGCAGGCAACGCCAAGCTCAACCTCGCCTTTGTCGCCAACCTCTTCAACACCTGGCCTGGCCTCGAACCGCTCGAGGAGAACGAGCGACCGGTCATTGAGGACTTTGATGCCGAGGGCGAGCGCGAGGCGCGCGTGTTCACGCTCTGGCTCAACTCGTTGGACGTCGATCCTGGCGTGCACAACTTGTTCGAGGATCTCAAGGTGCGCGCGCACGTTCACGTCATCACGAGGCGGCTCGCTGATCCTCGCACGCTCGCGCAGGACGGCCTCATCCTCCTCCAAGCGTTTGACAAGATCATCCCCGGCTCGGTCGTCTGGCGGCGAGTAGCCAAGACCCCTCAGCCTCTCTCGCGCTTCAAAGCCGTCGAAAACACCAACTACTCTCTCGAGCTCGCCAAGCAGAACCACATGCACATTGTCGGGATCCAAGGGGCCGACCTCGTCGACGGCCAACGGACGCTCACGCTTGGCCTCGTGTGGCAAATGATGCGCCGCAACATCCTTTCCACGATGGCGAGCCTCTCGAAAGGCGGAAGGGAGATCACGGATTCGGATATCGTCAAGTGGGCGAACGAGCAGGTGCAGAAGGGCGGGAAGAGGAGTTCGATGCGCGGGTTCAAGGACCCGAGTTTGAGGGACGGCAAGTTCTTCTTGGACTTGTTGGACAGCCTCAAGCCGGGATACGTCGACTATTCGCTCGTGTATGACGGGAAGAACGACGATGAGTGCAAGGCGAATGGTGAGTTTGGCGGGGACTTCCTCTGGCTGTCTTTCTGCCTGTGGCGGTACTCGTCTCGCGCAGCGGATGTCGATACCCGGAAGCGCGCATGCTGACCGGACCCCTCGTCGCACAGCCAAACTTGCCATCTCGATCGCCCGCAAACTCGGGTCCGTCCGCCTTCCTCCCTCCTCTCCCTCTCCTCCAGACACACATACACACACACACACACACACACACACACACGCGCGCGCGCTCGCAAAGCTCACTCTCAACACTCACTGCCTTCCCTGCGCCTCGCTCGCTCACTCACTAACACCCTCCTCTCCACAGCTCCCTAATCTTCATCGTCCCCGAAGACATCGTCGAAGTCCGCCCGCGCCTGGTCTTGACGTTCTGCGCGGCGTTGATGGCGTTGCAGAGTGGCGGGGGGTTGCACTAAGCAGCTGGCTCGCGAGGGGAAATGCGACGTTTTTGTGATTTTCTCGAGGACGACGTGGAGGTGGATGCGAGAGGAGAGGAGAGGAGTGGACTGGGTCGTGTTGTGCGGGTTCGCTATGCTCGCGGACGGAGGAGACGCTCTTCGCCCTCGACCCGAATATCACCCTGCTTATGACCTTCGCAATCCTCCTCACCTCCCCTCGCGGCGCTCTCCGCTGTACGCTTCCATGCGCACGCTCTCGAACGCGAGGAAGACGGGCCCAGGCGCTCCGGAGCGAAGACGGCGTTCCTTGTCCTCCTCGACTCGTGCTCGTGCGACTCGCTTGCTTGCTCTCTACAAGGGTTCTCGGCGCCTGAGCTCGCGAGCGCTCCCTCTGTACATATCGGAAGCCGGCTCGATTAAGGCCTTTGATGGCGAGAACACGAGAGAATGGCGCCTTGCACGTGCGGAAGGGCCAAGGAGTGCGCGCTCTTGCGATCGAACACAACCCACCCGCTCCCGCCGCTCATTCATTCTTCTTCCTTTCCCTCCTACCGCTCTCTACCCTGCTCTACAACCCGCGCTTCACTTGCTACCGACTCGACGCTGCGACGACGACGAGGAAGAGGACGCACGTTCGGCTCGCTCTTCCACGACACGGCGATGGCCGGCCGTGCGAGGCGGTGGTGACGACAATTTCGGCCTCGATAGGGGTCTTGCGACGCTAAGAGGGCCACAGGAGAGTCGTGGGACGCACACCAGCTCGTATGGAGGTGGAAGAACGTGCTTGCTCGTCGTCGAACGCTGTCGCAACCTCAGGCGGTCGGACAACGACCCCCATTCGCTGTTTCGGGTGTGTGGATCACGCTCGGCCACTCGGCTCGCCCTACGACGCCCGTGTTGAGGAGTTTGTACTGGACGCACGAGGGCTCGGGGGCGCTGTGTGATTGGTTCGTGTGGTCGCTGGGTGTCGAGAACGCGGGGTCGACCAACTTGTTCTCGGATTGCTCTCGCGCTGTGCTCTGCTGCTCCTTCTCTCTTTCCTGTGCTGCCGTGCTCTCTCTCTCCGCTGCCACACGCTTGCAGTCCACCCAGCCAGCGACCACCAGCTGCAGCCTCACTCGCTCGCTCGACTAGGGTGTGGATCTCCGCGCTCGGCGTTCTCGAACCCCAGCTTCGACCACACTTTTCCTCCCCGCCACCTTTCTCTCTCTCTCTCCTTCACACTCCCTCTCATCCGCTGAGCAACCATGAGCGTCGTGCCAGACGACTCGATCCAGGAGTACAGGGAGTCCAAGACCCCTCTCTCCTCGGACGGATCCGCCTCGCCCGACATGCCCCCGCGCACCTCGCACGCCGACTTGATCAACGAAGCTCTGTACCCAAGCGACTCGTACACCGCCGACGGAACCTACTGGGCCGACCTCCCTGCCGCCCAGCGATGGAAGTTTGCGACGACCCAGTTTAACCAGGAGTCGAGGCGCGAGGTCAAGTATGTCTGGGACATGTTCAAGGCGGACCCGATGCAGCCTTTTAGGGCGTACTGGAGGAAGTATGTCTTGACGGGAATGGGACTGTTCGTCGAGGGTGCGTTCCGGCGTCCTCCTTGTGGATTGACCTTCCCCTCCTCGACACGGAGGTCTTCCTCCCTTGTCCGCTGGCTGACTGGCTCTCTCGCACACGCAGGCTACGTCCTCTTCTCGATCGGCAACCTGTCGGCGCTCTTCTCGTCCGCCTGGCCGCGGTGCTGGAAGACCTTTGCCGTCTGCGACGAGAGTGCGTTCTTCCGCTCTTTAATCTCAGCCAGCTCTCACTGACTGGACCGGCGCGCGCAGACTGGGTCAACGCCGTCACGTACCTCGAGATTCTTGGTATCATCGTCGGACAGTGCTTGGTCGGCTACGAGGGTGACTGGTGCGTTTCGACTCGCTGTCCCGCTTTTTGACCGCAAATTGACCGCACGTACGCGCAGGATCGGCCGCAAGTTCGGACTGTGCCAGGACGCCCTCGTCATGCTCATCGGCTCGATCCTCTTGACCGGCGTCTGGGGCACGTCGCTCAACGGCTGGGTGATCGCCTACGGCTGGTCGCTCTTCATCTACGGCATCGGCGTCGGCGGCGAGTACCCCATGACTGGCACCAAAGCTCTCGAATCGAACGTCTTTGGCCCGGAAGGAACGCGCGACGACCGTCTCCACCGCGGACGTAACGTTGTCGGCAGTTTCCTCATGCAGGGATGGGGACCGGTGTTCAACCAATGCGTCCTCCTCATCTGCTTGATGATCTTCCACTCGGGCAAGACGAACCCTCCTTTCTCCCCCCGCACCGCCCAAGCGACTTACCGCGTCCAGTTTGGTCTCGCGGTGATCGTCCACTTCTGGTTGCTCTACCACCGATTGTACAAGGTGCACGACGCGGACGCCCTTCTCTCGACGACAAAGAAGAGGCAGAACGTCTCGGGATACGACGTCCATTCGTTGAGGTTGTTGATGAGCCACTACTGGGGTCGCCTCATCGCCACGGCTGGATCGTGGTTCGCCAACGACGTCTTCTTCTACGGTACCAAGGTGCGTCGTCGCGATCGACCTCGGGCGACGGGCGAGAGCTGATTGAGGAGGAGTTGCGCAGGTCTTCTCGTCGACTTTTATCGGCATCATCCACCCTGGCGCATCGCTCGTCGTCACCTGGGAGTACAACCTCGTGCGTCCCCTCCCCTTCCTTCCTCTCTTTTGCTCGAGGCTGACAGCGCTCGCTCGCAGATCAACTTGGCCGTCTCGCTCTGCGGGTACTACCTCGCCTTCATCTTTATCGACCACAAGCTCTACGGCCGTCGCAAGATGCAACAAGTCGGCTTCGCATTCGACTTCCTCATCTACCTCTTTGCCGCCATCTTTTTCCACCAGTTGCGCGTCAAGGGCGCGCCCATCGCTGCGTGTGCGTCTCGCTCTCCTTTAATCCGCACGAGGAGAGATACTGACGAGCAGATTGCGCGTGAGCAGTCCAGTTCATGTACCACTTCTCGTCGTTCTGGAACCAGTTCGGTCCGAACTGCGTCTCGTTCCTCGTCGCGGGCGAGTCGTTCCCCGCCTCGATCCGTTCCACCGCCCGTGCGTCCCTCTCCTTCCCGTTCTTCCCTTTCATACACTAACGAGCTTGTCGATAGACGGCTTCTCTGCTGCGTGCGGCAAGCTCGGCGCCCTCGTCCCGACCGTCTTGTTCCACTACCTCGACGACCGGAGCAAGCTCTGGTTCGCGATGCCCTTCGGCGCGCTCGGAGTGTTTGTTACGGCTGTCTGGTTGCCCGACACGACTGGTTCGTTCTTCCCCTCTCCTCTCTCTCGCAGGAGTGAAGCTGATCACGATTTTGATTGCAGGCCTCGACCTTCGCGAGCAGGAGAGGTACTGGCGCTGCGTTCGTGCTGGAAAGCCGGAGCTCTACCACGGTATTGCGATTCATCCGCACCACCTCTCGTGGTACGAGCGCGTCGTGCTCAAGCGTCAGTGCGTCCCTTTCCCTCCGTTCTCCTCTGTCGCAGTTGCTGATGTCGAATATGAACAGCCGCTTCTATGACCCGGTCCAAGACCGCCTCGACCGCATCGACGAGCTCCGAGTCCTGTACGAATCGTCGCTCATCGCCGAATCCGACGAATCAGCCCACGACGTCGACCACTCTTACATCACCCCTTCCGTCGCCGAGTACTTCCGCCGTGAAGCGCCGACGGAGGAGAGGATCCAGAGGCAGATCACGAAGGAGCGGGCGATCAGGGGCGAGGGTGCGCCGACTGAGAAGGTGTACCCGAGTAGGTTGGAGGATACGCTCGGTGGGATTTGAGCGCGAGCTTGGATAGAGCCTCTCTCGTTCTCCTTCTTATTCATCCCCTCGTTATTTCGGTCTTCCTCCTGCAACGGTCGTAATAGACTTCAGGATTCGCGAGGATCGTTCGAGGGAGACGGGAGACGCACCTGTTCCGGGGGGACGACCAGCGAGGGTAGCGATCACGAGAAACGGAGTCGCGAAGCAAGCGAACGGTCAAGGAGGTCGAAAGCGAGTCGAGGAAGCAGCGCGTCGTCGAGTGTCCTCCTCCGTCTGGTCTGCACCGCTCATATGGGTCCGCTCGTCCACGACGTCAAACACTGCACCACAGCTGTCCACCTAGCAGCGTCGACACGGCCAGGACGTCCAGCAAGCGTTGACGGCCTTGGAATCGCGTCATCAGCTGGACGAGGAGGAGAGGGTCGAGGGGAGAGGGTCGATGGCAGGCAAGGCTGAGGAGGCAAGCCTGGCGGACCGAGTGCGCGCCAGGGTGCTCCTGCTCTCGCTGTCGACGGTCCAACACCCGACACCGACTCGCCAGGAACATCGGGAGCGGACAGCGCGACCTTCTTCCCGACGCGGGACGTCGACGTGGCCGCACGTGCAGGCGAGGCGCAGCACGGCCTTTTCCAAGCTCTTGGGTCGAGTGTCCTGAGCTGCGCGCAACCCGATCATGCCAAGTCGACGACCCAAGCCTGCGCACTTAGATCCTCTCTTTCCCTCGTTCTGCTCACTCCCACTTGCTCTTCTTCGCTCAGGCGGCTTCTGGCGACGACGATGCGACTTCACACTGTCCGACAAGGGCCGAGTAGGCCAACGTGCGCAGAATGTCCGTCCCCGGCCCGCCCTCTCCCTCTGTTCCAGCTTCGCTCGGTGTCTTCCAATCCTGTCCTCGCCTTTCGAAAAGCTCGCCGGCGGCGCTCAAGCTGCATGCACGGCACGGGCATTCGACGAACGGCGTCAAACGTGCTGCCTTCAGACGCAGGGCAGCGCTTCGAGCGGAACGGCTTTCCTTCCACCGACTTGCCGACCCTCTCGCTCGAATCCTTGTGTCCGCGCTTTCTGGTCTCGTGGCGCCAGGTACGACAGAAGTACAGCACGTTCTTTCGCTTCATTGGTCAGTCCCTTCAGCATGTTCTCGCGCTGATCTTGGGTCCCCGGACTGACCAAAGTTGTAAATCTGCAGCTCGTTCGCCCTCGAAAGTCGCTCGCACTCTTCTTCTCCTCTCGTCCTCTCTCCTCGACAAGCTTCGGCAGTCCTTGCGCCTACTCGTGCTCGAGACTCGCTCGTCGACAGACCAACCTCGTTTGGTCTTCCTTCGCGTGACAGCCTACCCTCTCTTCGACGCATCTCGACCTCGAAGCCTCGTCGACCATGAGCGTCAACCCCGACGACACCGTGCAAGAGTACAAGGAGAGGCAGGCGCACGACTACGACGGCACCGCCTCTCCCGACTCTGGCTCGACCTTCGACCCTCGCTCGGCAACCGAGGAGGAGCTCCTCCGCGAGGCGCTCTTCCCGAGCGACTCTTACACCCCGGACGGCCGCTACTGGGCGGACCTCCCCGCCGGCGAGAGGTGGTCCTTCGCCTCTGGCCAGTTCAGCCGCGAGACTAGGCGCGACTTTTCCTACGTCTGGAACATGTTCAAGAAGGACCCGGTTCAGCCGTTCCGCGCGTACTGGAACAAGTATGTCCTGACTGGAATGGGTCTCTTCGTCGAGGGTGCGTTTCTCCCTTTGCCTCGACTGCCTTCGCCTACCGTTGCTCAATCGCAAATTCCTCGCGCAGGTTACGTCCTCTTCTCGATCGGCAACCTCAAGTCGCTCTTCAAGAGCGCCTGGCCCGCATGCTGGAAGACGCACGCCGTCTGCAACCCGAGTTCGTCTCCGCTTTCCCTCGCGCGGAGGTTCAGCAGGAGCTGACGCCGTCTGTTGACTATGCAGACTGGACGAGCGCTGTCTCGTACCTAGAGATTGTCGGTATCCTCATGGGACAGAGCATCGTCGGCTTCGAAGGCGACTGGTGCGTTGCGCTTCCGCTCCCGCCATTCCTTCGATACTGACGCCGCATATCGCTCGCCCACAGGATCGGCCGCAAGTTCGGCCTCTGCCAGGACGCCCTTATCATGCTCATCGGCGCCATTCTCCTCACGAGCGTCTGGGGAGTCACCCTGAACGGCTGGGTCATCGCCTACGCCTGGTCGCTCTTCATCTACGGCTTCGGCGTCGGTGGCGAGTACCCCATGACCGGTACGCGCGCACTCGAGACCAAGGTCTACGGTCCCCAGGGCACTCGCGACGACCGTCTCCACCGTGGTCGCAACGTCGTCGGTAGCTTCCTCATGCAGGGATGGGGACAGGTCTTCAACCAGTGCATCCTCCTCATCTGCCTCATGATCTTCCACTCGGGCAAGACGAACCCTCCCTTCTCGCCTTCGACCGCCCAGGCGACTTACCGCGTCCAATTCGGCCTCGGCATCCTCCTCCACCTCTGGCTCTTCTACCACCGTCTCTACAAGGTCCACGACGCCGACAACCTCCTCACGACGTCGAAGAGGAAGCACAATGTTTCGGGCTACGACGGACACTCGCTTCGCCTCCTCACCTCGCACTACTGGGGTCGCCTCTTTGCTACCGCCGGCTCGTGGTTCGCCAACGACGTCTTCTTCTACGGCACCAAGGTGCGCTACCCATGTCTATGACACGACGAGACCCGAACTCACGCTCCTCTCGCCCGCAGGTCTTCGCTGGTACCTTCATCCACATCAGCAAGCCTGGCGCATCGCTCGTCGTCACCTGGGAGTACAACCTCGTGCGCCGCATACTTCCCTCTCCGCAATTTTCGGGAGGCTGACCCTCTCCCTCGCGTGCAGATTGACTTGGCCGTGTCGCTCTGCGGCTACTACATGGCGTTCTTCTTCATCGACCACAAGCTCTACGGTCGCCGTAGGATGCAGCTCGTCGGCTTCGCCTTCGACTTCATCATTTACCTCTTCGTGCGTCCAGCTTCTCTCCGGGTCACCAGGACAAACTACTGATATGCCCTTCCTACCGTAGGGAGCCATCTTTTTCCACCAACTCCAGGTTCCGGGCGCTCCTATCGCTGCCTGTACGTCTCAGCCTTCGATGCTCGACCCTGCGTGACCCGCTGACCGCCGAATCTACGCTTGCAGTCCAGTTCATGTACCACTTCTCGGCGTTCTGGAACCAGTTCGGCCCGAACACCGTCACCTTCTTGACGGCTGCTGAAGTCTACCCCTCGTCAATCCGTTCCACCGCCCGTACGTTCGGCGATCTGTTCCGAAAGTCGCATCCGTACTGACTCTCTCATCGTACAGATGGCTTCTCCGCTGCTTGCGGCAAGATCGGCGCACTTATTCCGACCGTCCTGTTCAACTACATCGACGACCGCACCAAGCTCTGGTTCGCCTTCCCCTTCGGCGTCCTCGGCGTCGTCTGCAGCTTCTTCTTCCTCCCCGACACGACCGGCATGGACCTTCGCGAGATCGAGCGCTACTGGCGCTACGTCCGCGCTGGCAAGGCCAACCAGTACCATGGTATTGCGGTTCACCCGCACCACCTCAGCTGGTACGAGCGTGTCGTTCTCAAGCGTCAGTACGTTTCAAGTCTCGCTCGTCTGCCATGCCTGTGCGCCAGTACTGACCGCTCCTTCGCTCGGTAGCCTCGCCTACGACCCGGTCCAGGACCGCATCGACCGCATCGACGAGCTCCGCGTCCTGTACGAGTCAAGCCTCATCGCCGAGACGGACCCGACCGCGCAGGACGTCAACCACGCCAGCATCACGCCCGCTGTCGCCGAGTACTTCCGTCGCGAGGCTCCCGCTTCGCAGCGCCGCCACAACCAGCTTGACAAGGAGCGCGCGATTCGCGGCGAGGGTGTGCCGAGCGAGAAGGTTTACGGCTCGCGCCTCGAGGAGACCCTTGGCCAGCAGTGAGCGCGGTACGGCGCCTCTTTCGTTGTTTCGCCCGTTCTTCCTATTCAGACAAAACTATCTAGACTACCTTAGCTTCCCTTTCGTCGTTCTGGCACATATTCTGTTCCGGTCCTCCTGGTTTCCTCGTTCCTCGCCCTTGCAACATCGGTGTACATATTGCGCCTTCGTCCTTCTCGTCCCTGCACTTTGATCGTACACTCAGAAGCTCCGCTACACCCGAAAGCGATTCTTGCGCCGCGATGACATGCATCCCAAGACGCCTCTCCGGATCTCTTCCTCCCACACGGCTCGCTCCCGCTCGAAAACCATGGCTAGCCCGTACAAAGCCTTCTGGGACCGCTCGATGAACGTCCTGCGCGAGCAGACAGTCCGCAGTGCGTCTCTTCGTCTCGCTCTCGCTTCATCAGTTCGACGAGGAGGCGGGGGTCAGAAGTCGCCAACGGCGGCTTACGAGGGCTTGGGACGACCGCTGACGCTTTTGAGGACTTGCGCAGTCATCCGCGCGGACCCCATGGGCAACAGGGATGCGGTATTGCCGATGTACACGCTTCGCTCGCTCGAGGATCTCAAGAACATGGCGACCGGCAGCGACGCAGATCTCGGTTCGTCTCGTTTCTCCCACTCCCAAGCTTCCTGGTACTGACTCTCGCGCGGACTGGACAGGCGGGAAGAGTACGGTTCACCTCGACCTTGGACCGGAAGGCAAGGGACGGTTTTGGGGCAAGTTGTCGAGCGAGTTGAACCCGGGACGGCATAAGGAGGGTGTGGTCGAGCGAGGAGGGTACGCAGGGTTCCGGATCAAGGTGCGCTCGCGTTTACTAGGATGCGAATCGGAGGCTGAGACGGCTGACTTTCGCTTCCCACGAACGCTTCGTCTACAGCAACGGACTTCGCTGTTTGGGACGCTCAGCTGGGACACGTCGCAGCATGATTTCTTGCGGCTAAGGGTGAAGAGCTCGGGAGACGATATGCGGTACTTTGTCAACATCCAGACGGACGGACCAGGTGCGATCTCGCTCGTCGCGCTGTGCTTCGCTCAGTTAACGCTGATGCACGGCTCCTGATCGTGCTTCGGCTTGCACAGTCCGTTCCGACCTGTTCCAACACCGACTCTGGCTCCCCCAACCCAAATCCGACGACGCCCCTCACGAATGGACCGACGTGATCATCCCGCTGAACGACTTCACCCTTACCAACTCGGGCATGCTGAGCGAGAAGCAGATGACGATGATGCGGAATGCGATCAGGACGGTCGGGATTAGCGTGCTGGGACCGAAGGAGGGGAGGTGAGTGCGAGATCTTCGTCTGGCCCGCTTCTGCTGCCGTCCAGGATGCTGATCGTACTCTATCCCGTACGCAACAGATACGAGCTGGGCATCGAGTCGGTCGACGCAGTAACGGCGGACATCGCTCGCGAGCATGTCGACCGCAACCTCCCGCCGCAGAAGGACGCCGACGGTCGACCTTTGTGAGCACGCAGACACCCGTCACCTTGTATCGACGTCGCCGCAACCTTGAATCGCAGCAGCATTCACCAGCACGCTCGCACTTGGTCTTCCACTCTTGCAGGCAGCCTCGAAGTCCCGCTCCTGCCCGCTCTTTCCACTTGGCTGGCTCGCCTCGTTTTGTAGACTGCCTAGAGAGCTCATACGGGCGCAGCGAGTCGCAGGAGAGCGCGATTGACCAAAGTTTGGCTGTTGACCACTTCGCCTGCTCTTCGCGAGAGAGCGCGCGGACCTTCGACTCGCCATCCCTCGCAGCGGTCACCAGCTGACCGCGGAAGCCAGCCAGACTCGCTTGCGACTGCTCGCACAGACATACGCCAGCTCGAACAGCGCCTTGCGAGCGAGCGACGACACCCGCGACTGTCCGCCTTCTCGCCAAGCAGGCAAACGACCGGTGCACACCTTCCGGGCGGGCACTGAGCACTGCGCTAGGTGGGTCTAGGCAGTAGGAGGAGTACGTGGTCAGGCAGAGCCGCAGCGGAGCTCGAGGTGAGCACCGATTCCGTCTTCTCATCGCTCGAGGTCGCGTCGAGGCGAAGGCGGATGAGACCGGGGTTGCAGCTGTTCATACGGGCTGGACGGACACGAGGGTTTTCTTCTGGCGTTCTCAGGCGGAGCAGGAAGCGGCCTGGACAGGTCGGTGGCGCTCGCTGTCTCGCCTTGCAGTGAGCCGATGCCACAACTCCTGCGAACCTCGCCGTACGGGCTCGTTTGGTTCGTCAGGGGGTGGACCGGGACATTCACAGGCGTTTCCGTCGGGCGAGACTGTCCACAGACTGTCCTGACTGGAGGATGATGCCATCTCGCCAGCTTCGGTCCCGCTCCGGTTCCCAAAGGCGAACAGGCCATCCCGCCTCTTTCTCACACTCCGTATGCCTACAGAGCACCGGTAACGAGTGGGAGAACCTCGCAGCTGACAAACCGGTTCCCGTGCAGCGCAGCCGGCAAGTCCGACCGCGCCTTTGCGCTCCCTCTCCTTGTCCTTCGTCGGCATGTCGTACAACCCGAACCAGTTCTACCACCCACCAAATCCTGCTCTCCCGAACCCGCAACTCGTCCCTCAACCCTTCCCGACCGGCATCCCTCCGCAACCTCTCCAGCCGCAACCGCAGTTCAACCTCGCCGCGCTTCAGCAGCAGCAACAGCAGGTTCAGGGTCCGCCGAGGAATGGCACGCCGCAGCAGATGTACCCGGGCATGCCGGGAGGGATGGTGCATCCGCCGTTCATGGGTGCGCCGCAGACCTTGACGCCGCAGCCTCAGCCGCCGCAAGGTTTGCCGGGCCAGCCTCAGCAGAATCAGGTCAACATTACCGCGATCGAGCAGTTGCTGCGGTCGGGACAGCTCGTACGTACTAGCTCACTGTCTCTGAGCGAATTCGGCTGACGTTCGCGCCCGACAGACGCCGGACCAGTTCAACGCGCTCGCCCAGCAGATCCGAAGCCAACAGCAGCAACAAGCGCAGCGACAAGCGGCTGCTGTTTCGGCTGCCCAGGCGCAAGCTCCCGGTCTTCCTCCCTTTCTCGCCGCACCGCCTCCTCAGCAACAACCGCCACCTCAACAACCTCTTCCTCCGCCCGTCCCTCAGCCCGCTCCCGCTTCCGTGGCCGACCGCATCCCCTTCCAGCTCCTTCAAGGCTACTTTGCGCAGCTCTCGCAACTCCGCGCGATGCAGCAAAAGACCCTCATGCTCCAAACCGCCGTGCAAACGGGTCTCGTACCTGCGCCCGGGCAGAACGGCGGGCAGACGCAGATCACGCCGCAGCAGAGACCGATGCTGGAGAAGCAGTTGGAGGATTCGAAGAGGGCGACAGGGGCGGCGATCCAGGCCATGCAGGCGTTTCAGAACCAGTGGACGCCGCAGCGGATACAGGCGGACTGGCAGGTGCGCGCGCCGTCTTTTGTTTCTGGCCCGAATCAGCGCTGACGAAGTCGTGCGCGAACGTAGTGGTACCAGTCGCAACGGCAAGGGCAGCCTCAGCCGACTCAGCAACAACCTCGCATGCCTCAACCTCCCGCACCCGCCGCCGCTCCTCCCCCTCCTCAGCCGCAACCTCCCCAACCGAACAACCTCACCAACATGTTCTCCTCGCCCCAGCTGACCGCCGCCGCGTTGAATAACAACCAGCAGCTCTTGCAGCGGCAGGCGCAGGCTCAGGCGGCGATCAACGCGGCGGGTCGGTCGACGCCTAGTCAGCAGCAGCAGCAGTTGCCGCAGCAGATTCCACCGCCCGATCAGCTACCGCAACAGCAGTTCGTCGGTCAGCCGCAGCAGCAGCAGCAGGCGACGCAGCCACAGCTGTCGGGACAGATGCCGCCGCTTCACCTCCTTCAGACGCAGGTACGCTCGCTCGTCCGTTCTTCTCCTTGTTCTCCCGCTGACGCTCCTCCACGCAGCTCAACCCGCAACTGTTCATGAAGTCGCTGTTCGAGGTCATGCGGACTCGTGGCGAGCCGATCGAGACGACGCCTTTCGTCGACGGCAAGGAGGTCGACCTCTACCAGCTGTATCAGGCGGTCATGGTTGGTGGCGGAAGTCAAGCGGTGCGTTGCCCTCTAATGCTGCGCGCCGTCTCGACACTGACGAATTCTGCTCGCAGGTCCATCAACAGGGCGCCTGGCACCGCATCGCCGCACAGCTCGGCTGGCCCGTCGACGCCTCCGCCAACGCTCTCCGCGACGCGCCTCCCGAGACGCAGCGCATCTCGCTCGAGCTCGCACGGACATACTCGAAGCTCCTCCGACCTTTCGAGGAGATTTGGGCCAAGTCGCTCGTTAAGCAGCAGCAGCAGATCATGGAGGCGCAGCGGAAGGGCCAGCAGCAGCTTGCGCAGAACGTCCCCCAGCTGCCTAATCCTCAGCAACCGCCGCCGCCTCAGCAACGACCGCCCTCGCAGAACGCCGTCCGACCACCTTCGCAGAACGCGGTTCGACCACCCTCTGCTCAACCGAGTACCCCGAGCCTCGCCGCGACGCAACTCGAGGCCTCGCGGAACCAGCTCTTGCAGCAGGCGAAGGCGGCATCGCTCGCCGCTCAGCAGTTGCAGGCGTCGGCTCCGGCGTTGGCGGCGAAGCAGCAGCAGGCGAACACCTCTTCGCCGTCGATCCCGCAGCAGCAGGTACCGAAAGGTGGGATGGAGCCGGGAGCTGAGCAGATGGAGCAGGCGAAGCAGTTTGTCGGGATGCTCAAGGCGCAGATCGAGGCGCAGCGACGTGCGTCCTTGCTCCCTCTACTCAACCCTGCACACGATGATCTAACGCTACCTCGGATGCGCGCAGCCAAACTCAAGAGTATCGAAATTGCGGAAGATCAGCGACAGTCGGTGACGGCCATGACGAACGAGCTTGTCCCGCACGTTCGCAAGGTCGTCGAGACCCTGCCTCTATTCTACGCGATGACGGGCGACCAGGTGTCGACGAGGAAGATGCTCACCTTCGTACGTTGTCCGCGCGCCGTCGCCTTGAGCGTCGCCCGCTGACTTCGTTTGCTTCCACCAGGCCGCAATCTTCCAAGATCAGATCCGCTACATGGCGACAAGCCAGTTCGCGCTCGACGTCACCGGCCTCACCCAGCTGCGCGACCAGTTCCAGCGGTGCTGGCAGTTCATGCGGCAGCACGCGACGTCGAAGGGCAACGGCGCTCAGCAGCAGCAGCAGCAGGCGACGGCTTCGTCGCCGCCGATCAAGCCTGAACAGTTTTCGACCGCTGCGCAGAAGAGCGGTATCCGCGTCGAAGACCTCAAACCTCCGCCTGCGAAGCATCGAAGGACCGCCTCGAGTGCGACTGCCGGCAGTCCGTCGGGGATCCCTTCTCCTCAGACACCGCAGACGAATGCTGCTTCGCCACCGCAGGCAGGCGCTACGCCCGCCGCAGCGCCGAAGAAGCGCAGTCGAGCCAAGAAGGACGCCGCTGCTACGGTCGCCGGATCTTCTCCTGCCGCCGCCCCTGCCGGTTCTCCCGCTGCGACACTTGCCGCCCTTCGCTCCGACCTCATCAAGGATTCGCCCAGCCCGCGTGGCATTGTCATCCCCGCCCCTCCACCGCCTGTGGTCGAGGAGTCGCCATCGCTGAAGCGCAAGCGAGAGGAGGAGGAGATCGAGCGGGATCCGGATGCCTACATCGAGAGGACGCTCAAGACTCTCGGTTCTGCTGCCCCCTCCTTCGACAGCTTCCTCCTGCCCGGCATGGCGAACGGTCTCGCGCCAGGTCTCGCACTCAGCGTGGATCCTGCGATTCCTCCCATCGTCAATGACCCGACCGCGCCTCCCCTCTCCTTTGCCGTACTCTCGTCGAGCAACAACCTGCCGCCGACGTCGACCTCGCTCAAGGAGTCGTCCTTGACCGCCAACGCCGAGCCGTTCGACTTTGACCTGTACATCGACTCATCGGCCGCCGGTTTCGACGACGACATCGATGCACCTACGCCAGATCTGATCGGTGGAGCAGGAGCCGTATCTGCCGCAACGCCAGCCACACCTGCCGACGCAATTGCCGCGACGCCCAAGCACATCCCCGCTTCGCTCGCCAAGAGCCCGAAGAAGCAGGCGTCCGGCTCATCGCCCTCCTCGTCGTCGTCCGGGCCCTCAGCGCCCACAGACGACGCGTTCTACACGGCCAACGGCGTCATCGTCGACGACCTCGACCAGTGGCTCAAAGGCGGCGCGCCCGGAGCCTCGAACGGCTTCTCCTCGTGGGAAGCACCCGAAAACGCCCTCGACGGAGGGTCCTCTTGGAACTTCTACTCGGTCTTCTGAATCCGCCATTCGCCTCGTTCTCCCTTTCGCCCTCAGCCCCCTCGACCCGCCGGCCGGTCTTCCCCCACGCGCCTGATTCCCCTTCCCTCGCACATACCCCGTTCCCTCGAGATGTCCGCTCGTTCAAAAGAGCCTGTATCACCAGTTCCTCGCTTGCTTGATTCCCCTCGTCTCCATTGCAGTCACCCCTCTCTCGCTACTCTATGCACCTGTTGTCTGCGCCCGCCTCGCCTGCCGCTCGATGATCAACCTAATGCCAAACTCTCGTGTTTCTCTCTCTTTTCGAGCGTCGCTTCGCGAGCGAGAGTGTCGCAGCGGTGAAGGGAAGGAAGCCAAGTTCGCACAGGGGAGGTCGCAAGTACGCTGGTCAGGCGGACGCCCTACACACGCTTTTCCTCATCACGCCTTTCGCGCATCCCCCTTCGCCCTTCAAGCTTCACCCGTCAAGCGCCACTCCATATGGCCGCTTCACAAGCGGAACTCCTTGACTCCCTTGACCGCGAACTCCTTCACTTCTCGTCTCCCGTCTTTCCCGCCTTGCCCTGCGGCGTCTGCTCCTTGACGGCGTCGGTGGCGTGCTTGGCGGACGAGACGAATTCGTGAGCAGGAAGGTGGTGAGCGGCTGCGAGGCAAAAGGAGGACGGGCGCCGTCAGCTATTGCTTCGCGGCGTGGGGTAGCACCTCGTCCTATACGCTCCCTTGCACATCTTGCACGACGGAGATGCGGTGAAGGAGGAAGAGAGCGGCCGAGCAACGCAGGAGAAAAAGCGAGGAAGACGCACTCGACGAGGTGTTGACCGTGTAGCCACTGCCACCCGGCGAAGCGGGTTTCCTGAGATCGGGTGCTGCAGAGATTGTCGCTCGAAATGTCGAGAAAGACGGAAGAAGACGGACGCAGTCAGTCCTCCCGAGTTCTGCGCCTTTGCAGGCACGTCCAAGCCCATCGCGCCCGTTCCCCGACCGCGAATGGGACGCACAGCCGGTCTCCCTCTTCATCACATCTTCCGGAAGCTGTCCCATGACGCCGGCGGGCGTGTCGCTGTCGTGCAGGGCTGCGAGCGGGCGAGTAGGAGAAGCAGGAGGAGGAGCGTCAAGAGTGGCGTCGTGGACGTGGCGAACCTGGGCGAGACGTACAGGACATTCTTTGAGTGTGCTGTGCGATGTTCTCAAGCCTTTCGCGCGAGTTGAGGGCGAGGAACGCGGAAGAGATGAGGCGGAGGGGCTTTCGTCGCAGGCGACGGTGGCAGGACAGGCTTCTGTGCACATTGTAGTGCTTCTTCCGCACTTGACTTGTCCTTTGCTTCCACAGAACGATCGCTGGAAGGATTCGAAGAATCGAGAGGGTATGTTTTGCAAGGCGAGAGAGGGTTACCAAGCGAAAGATGGTATGACGAGACGTTCCAGTCCAAGCGTGGTCCTCCTTCTCCGACAAGCGATTCACCGACTCCTTCAAGCAGCGCGAGCTTCGCGAACCTCGGCGGCGGCAGCCTTTCCCTCCGTCTTGCGGGCCTGACCCTCCGCAACCTTCGACGGGTCGTCCGTCACCTTGCCGACGGCCTTCTGCGTGGCGCCAACAATCTTGTCGCCGACAGAGGGAGCGGCGCCGGTCGTGGTAGTCGACGTCTTCTCGCCGGCACGCTTCTCGCCCTCTTTCTCCTCGGCTGCAACGCCCGGGTGAGCAGGGCGGGCAGCGGCGGTGCCAGGGTGCTTGGCGACGTCACCAGTCGTGTGCTGGGATTCGTCGCGCTGCGAGCCGGTGAAGGGCTGGCTGCCAGCAGGCTGCGACGGGTGCTGCTCGGCCGACTCGAAAGTCTGGCTCCTTGACTGCGTTCCGGCCTGACCTTCGGCGGCGGGCGTCTCCTGGGTGTACTGAGAGGTAGAGGGGGACGTGATGTCTGCTCCCAGCGACGTGGTGGACAGGTGAAGCGAAGGAAACCAGGTTGAGAAGGTCAGCCTCAACGTCAACTTTCGCGCCCGCGTCTGGCTCTGCAGCCGTACGGCTCTGCTGAACGTCGAAAGAACTCGTAACGCACCTTGCGAAGCAACAGTCGAGCCGGTCTGAGGGTATCCGCTGGCCGGCTGAGCGGCTGTTCTCCGCACCCGAACAATGGACGCTCGTCAGCTTTGGCTTGGCCTTGCGGGGCGTCGAGATGTCACGCACCCTGCTTGGCGAGACTCTCGACCGGGTTCGACGCCTGCTGCTGCGATCCTTCGGCCGTGGTCGAGCGAGAGGGGAGGCTGCAAGCGGGAGCGTCCTGTGAAGCGGTGTCGGCGGTCTCGGCGTGCGTAGCGGGGGCAGGAGCGTCTTCGCGGGGCTGCATGGCGTTGCTTGAGCTTGGAGAGAGGGGGAGAGTGAGAGGGAGGAGGGAAAGAGACGAAGCCCCTCTCTTCGCCTCCTCGCACAGCGTCATCGACCGGGCCGTGCAGTAACGCCGTCTTGGGGTAAAGCGACAAGGAAGAACAGCTCGAGAGGAACTAGAGACTCTCTGCTTCCTTCTGGACACAGCAGGGCGTTGAGGGTCGACCGCAGACGACCTGCGAAGTTCTCGTGGGAAGAGCAGCAACCTTGCGATCAGACGGCGACGCCTGTGACTTTGAAGCCGAGCAGAAGACGGAAGAAACGACTTGGAATGCTTGATAGAGACACTCAACGATACGAGGACGACCTGCCCGCGCCCGAACCCACCTCACCAGCGCTGCGCCCGTTCAACCTGCGGCGCGGTCGCGTTCCCGTCGAGGCTTCCGGCCAGACGACGAGAGATGGGGACGAAGTGGTGCGAGAGCGAGAAAGTTGCGCCCTGCAGAAGGAGCTACAAATCAGCGCGGGCTGAGTTTTGCTGGAGGCGAAGGTGAGATATTACCGGCTGCTGCTGGGGAGCATGCGATGCGGGAAGCGAATCGAGGTACTCATCCTGCACATGCAAAGCAGATCAGCTGTGCTGGAAGAACTAGCTAGAGGGACGGAAGTCGCACAAGTGCCTCGCGCGTAATAGGCGAGCCGTCATCAACCTCCTCCGCCATGAACCACTTGACCTTGTCAAGAGAGTTGCACTCTCCCAGGAGCGTTGCCATCTCGGCAGGCGTGAGCGTGTGGTGAGCTTGGAGGAAGGCGTCGATTTTCTTGCGTCGAGCGGCGAAGAAGTCCTCCACGACTAAGGGGACGCGACCTCGCGGAAACGCCATGGCAAGATCGTCAAACCGCACATCCAGGGACTTGCGGATGGCGTGGATCATCAGGGAGCCGATGGAGAGCCGCTCCTGTAGGCGCGAAGAATCAGCCGGACCCGCGCGAGACAGCCAGCAGCAGGCCATACCGGAGTACCGTGCGCAGCCCAACCTTCAAAGACCGCCTTGACCGCGCGACCGAAGAAGAGGGGAAAGCTCAGGAAGTTCTCGAACGTGAGGTGCTGGCAGACGACGGGGTTGCTCCGGCTGATTTCGACGATTTGGAGGTACTCTCCGCCGAGACTTGCAAGCTCGATTGCCTGCCTCGCCGTGAGCTGCGAGTTGCCGAGAGCTGTAAGTGACGAAATGCGCTCGTTCAGTCCTCGTGTGAAGGACGACCCACGAGATTGGCGGCGAGGGAGCATGCGGGTTGCCCAAAGCGTACTGATTGGCATAGTACGCCATGAGCTGCATCATGGCGTCCAGAGCAGGCTGGTCGAGCTGGTTGAGCGCGTCCTGGGCGGGATCGCCCATCTCGTAGAGCTTGGCCAACGAGTCTGGCGCATTTGGGTCGCCGCGGAGGGCATCTGGAAGCACGGAATGAAGTTCCCGAAGGAAACGGACTGTGGCATCCCTCTGCAGAGACCCCACGTGAACTTGTCAGTTCAAAGTACGTCGCAGCTGATCAACGCGACTGCATCAGCACACTCACAATGGGAGGAATAGCACCCTTGGAGGTCTCGATAATGCGGTTCGCACGGAGAATCTGGATGCAAGAACGGCATTCAGCAACAGTTCCTCCACCAGTCGAAATTGAAACAGCTTACCGACGCGACTTCGTGGTAAGGCGCCTTGCATTCGAGCAGAAGTGCTGCAATGTCGAATGCGGCCTTGACGCGTTCGCAGTTGCGTGGAGAGAGCTGGTGGCGCTTGTTGAAGAGCGCGTCGATGGCAGGGATCTGCTGCTTCACAGTTGCCGGCTCGCCTCGCTTCTCATAGATCTCTTTGAGCCGACGGAAGCTGATTTCGAGTTCCTCGTTGGTCGGGAACCGGGCGGTTGAGTGGTGGTGCCTCGAGAAGAGCGGAAGGAGGCGCTCGTGCTTGCTGAAGGAAAGCATGTTGGGCGGCTGATGCGCCGATTCCGACGCGTGCGACATGTCGACGGAAATTCGATCTTGGCAAGTGAGCAGACGAGTGAGGGCGGGAGAGAAGCGAAGGACAAGAGCAAGCCGGAACGAAGTCTCCCTGGACAAGGTGGCCGTCCGCGGACTGCGAGAACCTCCGACATGAATCCGGTCGGGGGTATTCTCGAAAGGTGACGGAGAATCCGCGGGATGAGAATCAGACGTCGACCACGGCAAGAAGGAGGAGGAAATGGACGAGGGGCAGAGCACGGCGGGGCAGAGCGACAGCCAGGTCCAGATGCGACCCCGTCGCTATTAGCCATGTTTCCTTCGCTGTGTAGGTTATGCCACACCCAGCCCTGCACACGCCGCCCCCTTCCCGCCTAGCTTGCTCGGTCGCCAAACTGATGAAGTCGCGAGGACGGTGCGGCAAGCGTCCGGTGCTCCTGCGCGCCATAGCATGTCCAAGGCATCTGTCGTAATCATGATGAGCGGTTGCAGCTCTACACGAGCCTGAGAAGCGAGAGGGGAAAGAGAGAGAGAGCGAATCCAGTTGTCGGTTGTCCTCCCCGTCCTCCTCACTCGCTCCAGAATCGGCTGGAACCGCTTGCGAACGTGCTCGAAGCGATGCCTGATGCCGGCGCTGGCCTCGCAGACGCTTTCGCCAGCTTGGCGGTCGAACCTCCCTCCTCCTCTCGACCGTCGACCAACACCGGACAAAGTCGCTCAAACGGCGCGGTGGACTCGGAGGAAGGACGGGAACACGCTCTAGCGCCATGGATGGAGGGTCTGAAGCGCAGGAAGGACGATACGCGGCATCCCCTCGCGCTGTACGGTTGCGCTCATCCGTCTCTTCCCTTCTGGTGGACCTGGCTGATCACGACGCGCCCTCCTGTCCGCTTTGCGCAGTCTCGACGAAGAGCTCGACGCCTTCGTCACATGGACTCGCCCGACGAACGCAGAGCACCAGCTGCGACTGCTCGCGTTTCGCTGTTTCCAGACGCTCGTCAAGGCCGTTTGGCCTTCTGCGACGTGCGAGTTGTTTGGATCGATGGCGACAGGGTTGTACTTGCCAGACGGGTGCGCTCTCCCAGTTGATATGCTCTCCTCGGTGAGACTGACGCGATCTGCCTGCAGCGACTTCGACGTAGTCATCTTCGACAGCCGACTGATGGCGACGCCTTCTGTCTCTCTCCTAAGGACCCTACGCGACGTGCTTCTGCGCGCCGGCTTTGCCCAACCAAGCGACGTCCGCCTCGTCGAGAACGCCAAGGTTCCCCTCGTCAAGTTTCGCTCGACGCGGAAGTTCGGCAGCTTTGACTTTGACGTCTCATTCAACTCGCCGAAGGGGCCCATGGGCGCGCGCGAGAGCCTGCGCCTGCTGGAAGAGCTCGAGCGGAAGGAGGCGGGCAATCGTCAGCGAGCGCGAATGATGATCCTGTTGCTCAAGGTACTGCTGGCGCATGCTGGACTGAATGAGGTCCGCTATGGCGGTCTGGGCGGTTTGAGTATCTTCTGCATGGGCGTGTCGTTCGTTCAGGCGCGTCACCCTCTCCATCAGTGCAGTCGGAAGGAGCTGACTTCGCGCTACAGCTCGACCGCAGAGATACGTTCCCCTCTTCACTGCTGGGTAAGACCGCTCTAGACGTCTTGTCGTTCTTCACGAAATGTATGACCGTCTCTTCACGCCTGCTGCGACTCCGGACCTGACAGCTTCCTCGCCCGCAGATGCCCGCACTTTCGACTACCGCAACCACACGATCACGACAGCAAACGGCGGCGGTATCATTCAAAAGTCAGACTGGCTGCCTCGAACAGAAGCCAAGCGCGCCCAGCTCTCAATCGTGCACCCTGTTGACCCTCAGCGCGACCTGTCTTCCGGGTCGTACGAATGGGACGCGATACACGAGCTCCTTTTCGCCTCTACGCGCACCCTCCTTGCGTACGCACTCGGACGTGGCGACCTCGCGCGACCTGACCCGACACGAAGTGCCCTCGCAGATGCAGGCATCGTTGTCAGCCCAAGCATGCTCGAACGGCGTCGCTCAAACGAGCAGCTCATCGCGTCGGGCGAGCTCAAAACTCTCGCAGAGACGTGGGATCCTGTCTCTCTCGGTCTCGTCCCAACGGCGCAGTACGCCTCTCCCGCCCAGCTTGCGTACCAACACAACCAGCGATTTGGCTTCGGCACCTACTATTTGACGCCATCCACGCCGTTCTATCCTCACGCGCCCACGCCGTACTACTACGCGCAATCGACGTACCACTACGCTGCACAGCGGCAAGCGACGAATACGGCCTCGCCGTCTTCGCACCCTGGTGCCAGCGCCCGCACTCTATCCCAACAAGGAGCCGAGCTGCAGGCACACTCTCAAGCCTCTCCACCTCTCGCCTACCTCAATAACACGATCGAATTCCGGTCAACGCCTTGAGACGATTCCTCTCCTCCCGCTTCTCGACCAATCCTCCTCGTCCTCCTCGCTTCTTCCCTCTGTTCGCTCTTTCCGCTTCGCCTCACTCTCGTGTTGTTGCGTTCTATCCATTGCACAGTCCTCCTTTCGTTCAGGCGCCCCAGCAACTTCAGCTTCGTGAACTGATGAGAAATTGACGAATTGGAAGCGGGTCTTCCCAGGCCTCGAGCAGACTCTGGGCTCCGAGAGAGGACTATCCTAGTAAGTCGCACCCCAGCACCAGACCGCTCGACGCTCCTGCAACTCATAATGATGAAGTGGGGAGACGCGAGCGAGAGTTGCGCTCTTCTCACCACCGCTACTCGCTAGTTCTGCTCAAACCGGTCACTGCTGGTATCTACACTATGCCTGCGTCTGATGGCGCTCTCGAATCGGCGCTCGACGGACCCTCCATCTCCTCCGGATCACCTCTCCCTCCTCGCTCAACTCGGCGCGAATCTCCTCGACGCGGCGCGAACGGCGCGAACGGCGCGGTAGACGAAGCAGGAACGGTTGGCAAGACTCGCGAAGAGATTCTGGCACCCTGGATGGCGCGCTTGGGCCGGAGGGAGGACGACGGTCGCACACCCCTCGACCTGTACGTCCACTTGCGCCGCTTGTCGCTTGTGAAGGCTGACATTCGTTCATCGGAGCAGCCTCAACGAAGAGATCGATGCCTTCCTCGACTGGGTCCGTCCGACGGAGCAGGAGCGGAAGCTCCGCCAAGACGTTTTCGTCCTCTTTAAGCGAGTTGTGCGAGCCGTCTGGCCGCATGCCAAGGTCCAGCTCTTCGGCTCGATGGCTACTGGTCTCTACCTCCCTGACGGGTACGCTGAGGATCACGGAGACTCACTAGCCGGCTGAGCTGACCTTCCGGCACGCGTTCCTCTTGCAGCGACTTCGACATTGTGGACTCTTCTCCCGCTTTCGCCTCCGTCCCGACGAACACGCTCCTGCTCAAGCTCAAGCACGCCCTGCTCGCCAGCAACTTTGCGCGGCAAGATGACGTCTCGCTCATCACGGGCGCGAGAGTTCCAATTGTCAAGCTCACTTCCGCGCCCGAATTCGGCTCCTTTCGCATGAACGTCTGCTTCAACTCGCCCAAAGGCCCGCTCGGCGCCCAGGAGAGTCTGAGGCTGCTGGAAGAAGTGGACAAGAAGAGGCCGGACGGGCGGAAACGAGTCGAGGCGCACGCTCTGCTCCTCAAGACTTTGCTTCGCACGCACGGCCTCGACGAAGTTCGCTTCGGCGGTCTCAGCGGCATGACGATCTTCTGCCTCGCTGTCTCTTTTGTCCAGGTGCGTTATCGGCCACACGAATCCGGCATAGCGGCTGACTCTGCTCGTCAGCTCGACAACTCTCAAGGACGCACGCTCGCTGCCGACTTTCTCTACCTCCTGCGAAAGTATGCGCTGTCCTTCGACTTCTGCACGCAATCGCTCTCGACCGCGAATGGCGGCCGCGTATTGAGCAAGTTTCAGTGGCTACGCCCCGGCGAGATCCGACGCGACCGCCTGTCGATCGTCCATCCCGTAGAGCCGACTCGAGACGTCGCGGCCGGATCGCATCGCTGGTTTGAAGTGCGCCAGAAGCTGCAGGCGGTCTATGCAGACCTTGCGGCCTACGTCAACCCCGCCCAACCGCTGCACCACCTCGCCTTTAGCCCGACAAAGAGCGCGTTGAGCATGTTCGGCATACGCGCGAGCCAGGTTCTCGTCGAGATTCGCGAGCGACACGAGCGCCTCATTGCGGAGGGCACTCTCGACGAGCTTGTCCACGAGTGGTCCCCGGTCTGCAGCGCCGCAACGTCGCCCGGCGCGACCGTTGCTTCGCCGACTACCAGGGGCAGCCTACTTTCGGTCACGCCTCCCTCACCACGAACCGCTTCTCACGACCACGCCTCATCGGCTTCTCTCAGGTCCGCCTCATCCGCCTCGCCAGCGCGGCACAGCAAGGACGTCGATGATTCGCCAACCTCGCCATCTTCCAACCCTTCTCCTGAAGAGTGGCTTGAACAGCACGAGGAGCCCGAGCCGTCGCCTGAAGAGTGGCTCCAGCAACACAAGCAACGACTCGCTCGCATCCAGGATCTCTGGCAGGACGCGGACCCTTCGCTGCCTGCGACGACGACTTCGCCGGCTCTCGCTCATCCCATCTTCGCTCCTTCTCCCGTCTTCGCACCGTATGGTCGTTCTCCCTGGTGATCCAGCTTTTGGTCTTTCTCTCCTCGTCATGTTGTCGCCACCATCGCCCGCTTCAGCCTCCTCCTCTGCAAAGGTGCCCTCATCTCCTCTTCCTCTTCCTCGCAGCGCTGACATCTCAGTCGCCGCTGCTCGCAGCAACTCGTTCTCCTTCGGCGGTTGTGGCGATGCTGCGCTTCAAGAGGACCGGAGGGTCCGCGGATGACCTCCTCTCCCGCCGGACTTGCCGTCGCTCGCTTGGCCTCTGCTCTCGTCTCTTGTGCTCGCTTCTTCTCCCAACTCACCCATCATGCCAGCTCTGGAGCGGCGATACGACCAGGACGAGTCCTCTGCCTCTGGCGAAGAAGAAGACTTTGTCAACGCTGCTCGCGCACCCTCTCGCCCTTCCTCTTCGGCGACAGCACGACCCGCTTCTCGCACTTCGTCTCACCAGTCTGGCGGCTCGCGCTCTTCGCGACGCTCTTCTCGCCCGAAGGTCCACTCGAGTAGCTCGAGCGAGTCGACCGACTCGGAGGAGGATCGCCAGCTTCAAGCCGACTTGCGTGATGCCGACCTCGAGCAAGGGGTTGTACGCGGTGAGCCCGTCGAAAGTCGCACTGAGCGTATCATGCGGAGTATGAAGAAGGGCGGCTCGGGTGGTGCGGTACGCCCTCTCCTTGCCTTTCCTCCTTGTTACTCCTGTGCTGACTCCGCGGTATCTCCGCCCGCCTCTTCTCTTCGATTTTTCAGTCCCGACAGCAGCAATACTCTGCTATCGGTGGCGACGACGACGGCGTGAGTCGCAAAACTTCGTCGCGGTCCTCCCGATCTTCGCGCACGGCAGGCGGCGACGGCAAGCGCCATCACAAGAAGCGCGACAAGAACGCGCGCCTCTACGCTCTTGACAAGTCGAACCCGTCGTCGGGCGGCGGCGACCCTTCTGCGCCCGGTGCGCTTGCGAAGGACGACAAGAAGAAGCCGACGCGCTGGTGGCTGTGGGCCCTTGTCGCTATCCTCTTGATCGTTGTTATCATCGGTGTTGTCGTCGCTGGTTCGTTGTTGACCCTCTCGTGCCGCTCACCGGGCCGCCTGTTGACCCTCACGTCTCGCAGTCATGCACTTCTCGAAGAAGAAGGACTCGACCGACCTTTCCACGACGAACTCGACTGCCGCCAACTCGACTCTCGGCGAGGACAACATGGGCAACTCGACCTCGCCGCTCTCGCTCGACTCGTCCGACTCGCACGGCTCGATGTCAGGCATTTCCGGCTCAGTGGCCGCTTCCGGTCTTTCTGGCCTCATTGGAGCCGCGACGTCCGACCCCAACATCCTCACGACCACCGGCACGAAGACTTTCAACGACGGCCAGTACCACCCCTCCTCGACCGGCGCGCCGGCTCAGAACAGCAACACCGGCAACCCCATCGCTGCCTTTTCGACGCTCTCCGGCGCTCAGAACGCCCAGCCGACGCAGTCCGGCGCTCAGCAGAACCAGGGCTTCTCGAACGTCGGTCAATGGGGCTCGTTCAGCTCCGACGACGGCAGCGACAACGTCCTCTCCGCTTTCGGCGCGATGCCGACGTCGATGCCTGTTCAGCAGCAAGGTGGCGTCTCGTCCCTCTCGAACCAGCAGCACCAGCCTGCGCAGCAGAGCAACGGCGACGACCACGGCTGGAGCGCTTTCTCGAACGCTCAGCAGACTCGTTCGGCGCCCGGCGCGCAGCCGACGGGCACGCAGGACGGACAGGACCAGCAAGGACAGCCGTCGTCGCCGTCGTCGATGGGCGCGAGCCCGTGGCAAGGTCAGGGTCAAGGCGCGCAGTCGCACTCGCAGGGTCAGCAGGGACAGAACGGCTACGGGTGGAACCAGCCTCAGCCGACTGGCCAGCCTGGTCAGCAGCAGCCGCAGCAGCCGTCGTCGAACTCGAACGGTCAGCAACAGAACGGCTGGAACGGTCAGCAAAACGGCTGGAACGGCCAGCAGCAGCAGCCGCAGAACGACAACGGCATCGTCCCCGTCCAGACGAAGACGGCTCTCTCGTCTTTCGGCAATGGTCCTTCGCCTACTCGCTCGGGCGCACCTGGCGCATCACCGTCTTCGGGCGGAGGACACGGTCAGTGGCCCGACAACAACGGCTCTCCTGCCGCTCAGCCTTCGTCCGGCGGCGGATACGGTCACTGGCCGTCTAACGGTGACTCGCCGAACGCTCAGCCTTCGTCTGGCGGCGGCTACGGTCACTGGCCCTCCTCGTCCGACTCGCCCGACGGCCAGGCTCACCCCTCTTCCATCCCTCTCGGCGTCGGCCCCGTCGTCGTCGGTCAAGGTCAAGACTCGCACGGCATGTTCAGCAACTCGACGGCGTATCAAGCCGAAAAGCCTGAGACGTACCAGACCTACGAGGGCAAGGGAACTTGGTTCGAGGCTAGCATGCACTACGGCGCTTGCGGGTGGGCGACAAACAACACCGATTTCGTCGTCGCTATCTCGAATGACATGGTGCGTCTCCGCGTCTCCCACTTGCTCTTTCTGCCTGGCTGACGGAATCTTGCTTCTCACAGTGGCTCAACTCGTCGGCTGCCGCACCTTCTGCCGCCCCCGCCCCCTCGGCCTCGAAGAAGCCCGTCTCGTTCGCCTCCTCGTCCTCGTCCTCGTCGCAGAACAACTCGACCACTCCCGCTTTCTGCGGCGCCGAAGTACTCGTTACAAACAAGGACAACGGAAGGAGTATCAAGGCTTGGGTTACGGAGCGTTGCGGGTAGTGAGTCGCTCTCTTCCGCCTCTGCTGTGCTGAGGCGGCGAGGTAGCTGACTATCGCTTTCGTCGCGTCCGCAATAGCTGCGAAGGCTCGTACGTCGCTTCTCTTCCTTCTTTTCTCCTTACACTCGAGGCTGACCTTGGCTTCGACTTCGCTCCGCAGCGCCGCCCTCGACCTCTCCATCCCAGTCTTCACCGCGCTCTTCCCCGACTCTTCGTCGCAGCAAGAGGTTCTCGACATCGGCGTCGTTGACCTCCTTTGGGGCTTCACGGGCGAGAAAGTCGGGTTGAACTCGACGCTTGCCGCTTCGAGCGGGAACTCGACGGCGTCCGCGTCGGGCGACGACTCGTCTGGCGATGAGCAGGATGGCGAGAAGAAGAAGGAGAGTGGAGGTGGATGGTTCAGCGGGTGGTTTGGCAGCGACTGAAGCGCGCCGACGAACATCAAGACGGACTCTCTCCTCCTTCCTCCTCCCCTATCCTCATCACCCGTTCTCCCGCCTTCTTCTCGCTGTCACTTATCTCTCATTCTTCACCATACGCTGCAATGGCCTGTTTCACTCACTCTTGCTCGTCAAGGAGCAGGAAGACGGACCATGAGGGTCGGTGAAGTCGTCCGCGTTGCCTCCGTTCGCCTTCCTGCATGTTGTGCTCGACTCTGCCGTCGTCGTCGACGTCGCCTAACCACGTATGAGAGCAAAAGAAGCGAGCTACCCGACCAAGACGAGAGGCCAAGTTGGGCCAAGGTCTGCCTTCGACGGCGACAGCGACGACGAGCGATGCTCGAGTGAATGCCACACACAGCAAAATCACACAGTCAGTCTCACGACCACGCCCATTCTCGTCCAAGTCTCATCCTCGCTCACCCCGTCCTCGTCGACGTCGCTTCATCGCACTTCGTCAAAACAGACTCGTTCGCGCACTCGCTCGCAGACCATATACGCCCAGCACTCGCACAACTACTCCTACACGCCCGCAACTTCCCCGCTCGAACCGCCGTCCCCGACGAAGAGCCCGCCGTCGAACTCGCACCCCTCGCGCCCTCTTCCTCTGGCACCCGCACCCGAGCGACAACCAGCGACGACACGATGAAGTTCTCGCAGAGCTTGCTCTTCAACGCCGTGCCGGACTGGCTCAACAACTACATTGCGTGAGTTTGCGGACGGGGTTCGATCAGTTCGCGGAAGGTGGCTCGTTTGGTGGATCTGGCGCTTGTGGGCGAGCAGGACGGCGTGTACACAGGACGAAGGTGTACTGGGGCGGTATACACGCAGGGCGAAGCTTATCGGACGGGCGGCACCGGCTCGCTACCTCACCTTTCTCCTCCTCGTCGCGAACTCCTCAATTGACCGTCATCTCGTTCTCTCGGCACCTTCCTCGACGACAGCTACGACGCACTCAAAGCGCAGATCTACAAGTTTGAGAAACAAGCCGTCCTCCAACAACAACACGCCCCGCCTACCTCGTACCGCGACGAAGAGACCGACCTCGAACACGCGGGCGAGGCGATAGGAACGAAGGAGGAGAACGAGAGGGTGTTCGTCAAGCTGCTGGATAAGGAGCTGAACAAGATCACGGACTTTTACGTCTCGAAAGGTGCGCTGTCGTCTCCTTCGGTTCTTCGAGCGCGCTTGAACGTCGAATGTTGACATGGGATGTGGATTTGCACGCACAGAACGCGAACTACTCGGCGACCTCCAGCTGCTGAAGGAAGACCTCGAGCGCCTTCGCGAAGAAGAAGAAGAATCCGAGTCTGCATCTCGCGGCGGCGCAGAGTACTCTGACGACGAGGACCTCTCCGCCCGCCAGCACCGCACGGCTCGTCGTCGGCGGGCATCGAGTCACGGAGCGAGCGGAGCGGGACTGGGTACGTCGGGCGGGTCGGATTCGGAGGAGGGTGAAGACGAAGAGGGAGATGAGGATGGGGAAGAGGGGGATGAGAGGAAGAAGGGCGATTTGGCGAGGCTGTTGAATGATCCGAGGGAGTACAGTGAGGCTGCGAGGGCGGGGCGTAGGAACGCTCGCAGGACGAGTACGAGCGGGAGTCGAGCGGGTGCGAAGGGGAAGAGCCGACGGGGCAGGGCGCTCAGCTCGGCGAGCGAGACAGGAGACTTGATCGGATTGCACGACGGCGACGACGACGATGCGGACCAGCAGGAACCCGTCACGCCTTCCCGCCGCCGACCTAGCCTCGCACAGCGCTCCTCCCACCCGTCCTTCAACAACGGTACCGTCGCGTCCCGCTCCTCCGGCCTCCGCACCCGCCGCTCACTCGCAAACCGCATGATGACCGGCTCGTTCCTCACCGACGGCGAGGACAGCTCTAACCCTCAGGCGTGGGACGGGCTGAGCGACTGGGCCATCGACACGCGGATCATGTTCAAGCGCAGGTTGGCGAGCTTGTTCACGAGCTTGAGCGAGTTGAAGCAGTTTGTCGACTTGAACTACACTGGCTTCCGGAAGGTCATCAAGAAGTGCGTCGTTGCGGCTTCTCCTTCGTCCCCTTGCTTCATCTCGCTTGTGGGAGAACGTGGACTGATAATAGTCGAGGTGCATTGCCGCAGATACGACAAGATCACCAACTCGGATCTCCGCCAGCGGTACATGTCGACCATCGTCGACCACACGTTCCCCTTCGAGCGCACGACCCAGCAGCGTCTACAGGCCGGCGTGCAAGAGATCGTCCCGCTCTACGCCGACCTCGCAACAGGCGGCGACGCCGACCTTGCGCTCAAGCAGCTCAAGGCGCACCTTCGCGAGCACGTTGTCTGGGAGCGCAACACCGTCTGGCGGGAGATGATCGGTCTGGAGCGGCGGGGATGGGGAGCGGCGGGAAGCGGTGGGCGAAGGGCGGGAGGAGCGTTCCTGGGCGCCGGGATGGGCAATGACCTCCCGCTCGTCCAGCCTGCGAGCCCGCCAACCGGCCTCGAGTCGAAGATCGCAGAGATCCCGACGCCTCTCGGACGGGTCCGCGTGCCGTGGTGGATCAACAGCCAGTCGGTCGCTGCGGCGCTGGCGATCGGCTTGTTCGTCTTCATCCTCTCGGGCGAATGGTTCGACCGGGTCGAAGAGCAGAATTGCCTGGCGTTGTTGGCGGTCGTTACCATCTTCTGGGCTCTCGAGGTGTGTCCCGATGCTCCGAACGTTCCCCCCGTCAGCCCTGGCGGATTGGCGAGGGAATAGCTCGTTGACCAGCCTCTTTGCACAGATCATGCCACTCTTCGTCACCGCTCTGATGGTCCCCTTCCTCGTCGTCGTCCTCCGCGTCCTCCGCTCTACCGACGGCCTCGACAGGCGCCTCACCTCAGTCGAAGCGACGAAGTACATCTTCAGCCAGATGTTCTCGCCGACGCTCATGCTTTTGCTTGGAGGGTTTACGCTCGCCGCGGCGCTTTCGAAGCAGAACATTGACAAGGTGCGTGGCATCCGCAGCCGCTCTCCGCGCATCCGCTCTCAGGAGGGACCCGCTGTTTGACGAGCAGCAAGCGCTGATACCCGTCGGCTTCACGCAGGTGCTCGCGACGAAGGTCCTCTCGTTTGCCGGCACAAAGCCTCGCTCCGTCCTCTTCGCCTATATGCTCGTCGCTTGCTTCGCGAGTATGTGGATCTCGAACGTCGCGGCGCCGGTCTTGTGCTACTCGCTCATTCAGGTGCGTCGCTTCCGCGTTCCGCTCGTCCTGTCGCATGACTGATCCCTCTTCGTAGCCCATCCTCCGCACCCTCCCGTCAAAGTCGCCGTTCTCGAAGGCGCTCATCCTCGGCATTGCCCTCGCCTCCAACATTGGCGGCATGGCTTCGCCCATCTCATCGCCGCAGAACCTCATCGCCCTCGAGTACATGAACCCGCCCATCTCGTGGATCGGCTGGTTCAGCGTCTCCATCCCCGTCTCGTTCACCTCGGTCGTCTGCATCTGGCTCATTCTCCTCTGGTCGTACCGCGCCGGCGGGTCGAACGTCGTCATCAACCCAGTCAGGGTCAACAAGGAGCCGTTCACGAGGACGCAGTGGGCCGTCAGCGCCGTCACAATTGCGACGATCATCTTGTGGTGCGTTGAGAGCAAGTTGGCGTGGCTCTTCGGCGACATGGGCATCATCGCCATCCTGCCGATTGTCGCGTTTTACGGGAGCGGCGTCTTGCGAAAGGTGCGTGTGGTTATTCTTCCTCTCCCGGCGTAGTTTTTCTGACGGTTCCCACAGGCCGACTTCGACCATTCGCCTTGGAGTATCGTCTTCCTCGCGATGGGCGGAATCGCTCTCGGCAAGGCCGTCCTCTCCTCCGGTCTCCTCGACGACATGTGCGTTCCACCCACTCCCTTCCGCATTCCGGACGATCCGCTCATGCGCTCTACTTCGCAGTGACTCGGTGATCCAGCAAGCCGTACTTGGCATGGACGTCTGGCCGATCCTCGCACTCTTCGGCATGCTCGTCCTCGTCCTCGCGACCTTCATCTCGCACACGTACGCTCACTTGCTCGATATTGCTCAAAGGGCGATACTGACAACTCTCTGCTCGTTGCAGCATCGCCGCCGTCCTCATCGTCCCGATTGCAGCGCAGATTGGCGATGCGATGAAGACGCCGCACAGCCGCTTGCTCGTCTTCGCAACGTCGCTCATCTGCTCGGCAGGAATGTAAGTCATCTGCTTCTTCGCCGCTTCGTTCGCATGGGCAAACCGGATTTCGAGCTGACCTGCTCTTCGTTCGCTTCGCAGGGGTTTGCCTGTCTCCGGCTTCCCCAGTGCGTCCCGTTCACTTCCAGAGACTTTCGCTGCGCTGAACTGACATTCTCTGCTCAACTTTCCGCCTTCTCGCTGTTCAGACTTGCAAGCGTGCGTTCTTCCCGCCTACCGTTCCGTCTTCGTTGTCTCACGCTCTTCACCCCCCAGGATCAACCAAGAAGACGAGCTCGGCCAGCGGTACCTCGACCCGCGAGACGTGCGTGCTCGTCGTGCCTTCGTCACCAGCAAGCTCGCGCTAAACTCGTTCTGCGACCCAGTTCTACGTCAACGGCTTGCCCGCCTCGGTCGTCGCGACCGTGATCATCGTCACCCTCGGCTACGTTATCATGCGACTCATCGGCTTGTAGACGAGGGCGAAGAAGCACGCGACAGGTAGACCCTCTCGTTCCCAGATTCCCCTTCTCCTTGTCACATACAGCTCCTCCTCTTGCGTCTTCCGCCATCTCCCGCAGACTAACTAGTACAGCACCGACGTCTCGTAATGTACATCCTACGTTATGCATGTTCACGCCGTCTCGCTCGCTCTTCAAGATCGCGCTCGGGGCTGTTTAGGTGCGTCTTTCCCTCCAGGCTCTCGCTGCTCTCGGGTCACTGACGGCTCAGCTTCGCGCAGCTATCCTGCGCTCGCTCTCGCTCCCCAGCAAGTGAGAGAAATGCGCTCATCTCGCTCCGTCGCACTCCGCGGACCCTCGATCACTTGCCGGCTTCCCTCGCTCGACAGGAGCTCCGTGCGACCCGCCAGGCGACGACAACAGAGCGCTTCTCGCTCACCGCGACGAAACTGCGGCTGCTCACAGGCGTTCACGTCGTTCGGGAGATCATTCTGAGACCTTCACCTCGTTCTCGCGGCTGGAGCAGCAACGTCAATCTCGGATCGATGCAAAGAGAGGAGTTACGCTGCACCCCTCTCCCCGCACCGCCCGCCTCGTGATCAGCGCTCATCTCCCGACACCTCTCCTTCTCTCCCTCTCCCTCGTACGCCCGCTCACAAGACGTTACCATGAGTCGCTGCGCGTCTCCAGTCACCCTCGTCGAGCCGGCGCACCCCAAGGTCTTCGCCGCTGTCTCGCGCCCGCCCTCACCGCCTCCGCCTAATTCGCCAGCGCGCTCGGCTTCTCCATCCGCCTTCTCGATACCCTTCAACCGCCCGTCTCGCCGCCTTCTCGTCACCTCTCGCCAGCGAGCTGTCTTCGACCTGCACTCGTCGTCGCCCATCTCGCCCACCGCCGTCGAAAAGACGATCCTGAAAACTCAGCTGGACCGAGCGAAGTCGACCAAGGTGCTCATCCGCCCCGGTGCACCGGCGCGCGCGTTGACGGATGAGGAGCTGAGGACGCTGAAGAAGGAAGAGGAGGATTCGGCGACGACGAGTGGGGGCGGAGGTGGCCCGCTGAGTCCGCCGGAGGAGGAGGAGGGCGTGTGGGTGGATGAGCCGGCTTCGCTGTCAAAAGCGCAGACGATCGCTGCATCTCGCCAACTGAAGCCAGCGGATTCGACGGGTCCGACGGTCGTCGCGGGGTCGCCCTTGCGCCAGGTCGTCGGGTTCGCAGAGCCTAGCACCTCGCCGGAGCAGTCGGCGGCTTCGCATCCAGCGTCGGCGACACAGACGGACGAGGACACGATGAAGCATCCGCCTGCTCGCCCTCCGTTCCACCGCTCACGTACTGCACCGTCGACACCGTCCATCTCGCCGACGTCCTACCTCTCTACCCTTCTGTCGCGCCAGCCGGCTTCCGCTACCCCGCCTGAGCTCGACCGCTCGCCGGTGATGGGATCGACTACGCTGCTGGCAGCGCCGTCCAGCTCACTCGAGGTGCGCCCGGCCGCAAAGTCGAGCTCGACCTGGACCGGCGATGTCCTCGCAACCGCGCTCAAGGTCGTCAAAGCCCCGTCGATGCCGATGCTGTCGGCTTCGAAGGCTGATCGCAAACGCCCTAGCGGCGTTGCGACAGCCAAGCCGCCTTCGCCGGCCTCCTCCTCACCTTCGTCTCCGAGAAGTCGAGCACTCGGCAAGACCCGCTCGCTTCCTTCGCCTGCTCTTCCGTCGACATCGCCCGGCAAGTTTCCCCAGCATATGCCTCGCACCATCCGCTCGTCGTCGTCAGTTTCGCCACTTCCCTTCGCACTCCCCACACCCTCTCTTTCCCTGCCTTCGCATCTCCCTTCGTCTTCGTCACGCTCGCACACTCGCGCTCCTCCTTCACCGTCCATCGCACCCGTCATGAGCTCGACAGATCCGTCGGCGCTGACGCTTCACTTTGCGAGGCAGCCGGACATGGGAAGGAAGGGAAGTCTGGGCGACGGCTGGACGAGGGTTCGCATGCCGGGCGATCCTCGTTCGCAGGACGACGATGGTGCGCGAAGACGACCTGTCGACACGAGCGAGACTGAGACGGAGACGGAAACGGAGGACGACGATGACGGAGACCCGCATTTTGGCTCGAAGTCGAGGTTCAATCTGCGGAACTCTTTCGGTGCGTCCAGACCGCTTCACTCCGACTTCTTTTTGCCTGACTTACCGACTCGAGCGCTCGCAGAGGGTTCTGTCTTCGCCTCGGCCGGCGCCAACTCGGCAGCCTCGCTCACCTCGTCCGCCTCTTCATCGCTTCTCCTCTCTCGCCCTCCCTCCGTCACTCACTCTCGCAAAGCCTCCGCTTCGCCCAACACCTCGCCGAAACTCGGCGGATCAGCCGCCCTCACCGCCGCCTTCTCCGATCCTACCGTCATTCCTCCCGCCCCTTTCCCCTCTGTCATCGACAGCTTCGTGTCGAAAGACCGCACGGCCGCGTTACTCGCACAGACGCTGCCTCCGCCTCGGCCGCAGTCCCAGCATGCGCTCGACTTGCACGCCGCGCTCAAAGCGAAGGAGAAGAAGCCGAGTGTCGACCTCAAGCAGCTGAGGCGCGAGCAGGCGTCGAGGCGTCAAGCAGCTCAGGAAGAGACTACGACGACCTCGGCGTCGTCTTCGGAGGACGAGGAAGCGCGCAAGAAGGCGCTCGAAGTCGTCCTGGCGGCGAGAGCTCGTCGCGGGAAGGGGAGGTCGAGTCCTCCTGAGAAGGCGAGCGCCTCGACGGTTGGGGTCGAGGGGAGGAGCGGGCGTGCGCCGGAGTCGAGGAGGAAGCTGCCTGTGGCTTCGGCGCGGCCGGCCAAGTAACAATTCCGCTTTTTGTTCCAGCCTTGAAGGCGCGTTCTGTTTGCTTCTGCGTCTCGCTGCTCTACTGTTCTTCGTCTGGCTGCGCATCATAGACGCCGCGCTGCATCCCTAGTCACCGATTCCTCCCGTAGATCCTGTCCATAGACCTCCATCCCCGTTTGCAACTCTGACCTCGCTTGCGCTCGACAGCTGTCGTAGCCCGCCCTCTCCGCTTCCTTCACTGGCTCTGTCTTGCGTGAGAGCTCGAGATCGCGGTCCGGAAGCTATTTTGCACGTAGAGAACAAGCGAAAAGCGACGGGGACCCTGGGAACAAGCGACGACGGTGGAGAGGTGTGGACAGAACGAGAACGGTTGCGAGGAAATGCAACAAGCCATGAGAGACGGAGGAATGGAGAGAGGCGTGAAGGACGAGACGAGACAAGTCCCGCCCTCAGCGCGTCGTTTGTCCTCCGTCCGCTCTGCTCGCTCCCACCACGCGCTTACTGCTTGTACGTGCCGATGACGGTGTCGGGCGCATACCTCGAGACGACCCTGCGGAAGCGCAAGATGTCAGTTCAAGTCCGGCCGCGAAATCGTTCAAGTCGCTGCGATTCCGCTAAGTCGACGAACGGAAAGGCGGACGAACTTCGGATCGTGCAACATATTGAACTCTTCGCTCGCCTCCTTTCCGGCGTACAGGAGCAACGCTGCGAAGCCAAGTCAAAGTCGACGCGAGTGTCAGCGAAGTGTCCCGTCTGGAAGAGGACTCAGACGACGTCTCGAGTCCCACTTGATGCTTCCCCGTCTTCAATAACCGCGAAGGAAGCACAGCGTACCCGTGGCACCTCTCGGATGGTCGTTGAGTCCGTCAAGACGAGGACCTGGCCGCTAACGACGACTTGAAGACGGACGTCAACGACGCCACGACGCCAACGTGTCAGCACACTTGGCTTGAAGGCACATCCATATAACGCTGCACCGCGATCTGCCAACTGCGCCCGCCGTCTCGCTGTTCAGGGATTTACGTAACTCGCCTGCCCCCGACCTCTTGTGCTCGACATCCGTAGTCGTGCACTCTGCTCCGTACGCTTTCTTCGATGGCTCTGTCTTGCGTAAGAAGACGAGAGAGGCGCGCATGGAAGGTACTGCTGTTTTGCACGTAGAGAACAAGCGACGAGGGACCCCGGGGAACAAGCCACGATGAAGGAGAGGTGTGGACAGAACGAGAAGGGTTGCGGGGGTATGCAACAAGCCAGGAGAGACAGAGGAACGGGAGAGAGGACCGAAAGAAGGAAGAAAGGACGAGAGCGAACGAGACGAATGAGTCCCGCGCTCCTCGCATCCTTCATCCTCCTTCCGCTCCGCTCGATCGTGATGCGCGCTCACTGCTTGTACGTGCCGATGACGGTGTCGGGCGCGTACCTCGAGACGACCCTGTGGAAGCGCAAGATGTCAGTTCGAGTCCGGCCGCGAAATCGCCAAGTCGCTGCGATTCCGCTAAGTCGACGAACGGAAAGGCGGACGAACTTCGGATCGTGCAACATATTGAATTCTTCGCTCGCCTCCTTGCCGGCGTACAGGAGCAACGCTGCAAACACAGTCGAAGTCGACGCGAGTGTCAGCGAAGTGTCCCGTCTGGAAGAGGACTCAGACGACGTCTCGAGTCCCACTTGACGCTTCCCCGTCTTCAACAGACACGAAGAAAGCAGGACACACCCTTGGCGCCTCCCGGGTGGTCGTTGAGGAAGTTCGTGACGTTGAGGACCTGGCCGTTGACGGCGATCTGCGGACCGGCACCGACGACGCGAACTCGTCAGCACGCCCTCATCTGAGCGCCACATCAACATAAAATGTGAGAACGCACCCAGATGTCGTCCTTGGTGTTGTGCTTGGCAACCTCGTCGAGCGAGTACTCCTTCTGCTCGGCAGCCTTCTCGCCTCCGCCAGCCTTGGTCTCCTCGTCCTGCTTGACAGCAGTCGAGACCTCATTCGCCGGCTGCTGGGCCGTCGACTCGCCCTGAGGCTTGACGTCTCCGGCCGACCCCTGCGCCTGACCCTGACCCTGGCCGGACCAGTTGAGCGTGAGGTGGACCTGCTGAGTCGACGGGTCGATCGTAATAGTCGTCGAGGGCGGGGCGAGGTGGTTGTTGACCTGTCCGAGACGGGCGACTGCACCCGAGCCGGACGAGAGCGACTTGAGGAGGTACGAGGCGGCAGAGTCGCCGGCGACGCGGCCGAAGACGACGCAGCCGCTGCGAGAGCGAGCGAGGCGTCAGCTGAGACCGGCTAAGCGGGGAAGTAACGCCGCGACGCACAGGAGGGACGAGCCACCGAGACGGTTGGCGCCGTGAACACCACCGGCAATCTCGCCCGAGGCGAACAAGCCCTCGATGGGCTTCTTGTTCGAGTCGAGGACCATCGAGCGCGGGTCAATCTCGAGTCCACCCATGGTGTAGTGCAGGACGGGCTCCATCTGGGCGACAAAGAACGGTCCGGCCTCGTTCTTCCAGTTGGTGTTGTGGAAGAACTTCTTGCCGAACGGGTCCTGGCGCTTGCCTTCGCAGATCTCCATGTACTCGTTGAACGTCTTCTGGAGCTTCGAGGCTTCGATGCCCATCTCCTTGGCGATATCGGCGACCGTGTCAAACTTCTTCATGAGGCCGCGGCCGACGTAGTGCTGCGCGAGGGTCGTCAGCGTCGTCAAGAAAAGCTCGCTCGGATCGCACGACGCACCTTGCAGTGCCACTCGATCTCCTTGCCAGCCTGGCCGTTCAGGACAAGGCGAACAGGGCGCTTGTTGTCCTCCCAGATGCGGCCGGTGACTGCGCAAGCCCACGTTCCTATCAGCACGCTCCTCTCGCCTTGAAAGAGCTCGCGCCGACGCACCATAGTCACGGTGACCCAACTCGTCCGCAAAGCGGTCTCCCTCCTTGTTGACGAGCAAGCCACCGACTCCACGGAGCGCCTCGGCAGCGAGGAACTTGACCTTGGCATCAGGCTCGCGGGGGTCAACGAGACCGGTCGGGTGGACCTGCGCCCATTCGTCAGCCCGATCGCGAGGGAGGAGGAGGAGGAGGAGGAGGAGGAGGAGGGGACGCACCTGGACTTTCTCGAGATCGATGCCGTTCGCTCCGATGGCCATCGCCATCTTCTGACCGTCTCCCTGGCAGTGGTCGCCGTTGGTCGTCGAGAGCTTGAGCAACTCGGGGCGGTACTTGGCGAGGAGGCCGTCCTGGGCAAAGTCGGCGGCGTATCCACCTGCGTTTCCGCCGCGTCAGTACTCTCCCTGCATCTTCGATGCTTCGTAGGGCTCGCGCACCAGTAGCGAGGATAACAGGCCCATGCGCCGTGTGCTGCTTGCCCTGGTACTCGTACTCGCAGCCAACGACCTTGTCGCCGTCCTTGACGAGCTTGCGAACGTTGGCCTTCTTGAGAATCTTGACGCGCGTCGGGTCAGACTCGGCGAGGTCTTCGAGCTTCTCCATCAGGGCGTAGGTGATGGTCATGCCTGTGGAGCGGAGCATTAGCGCGCGCTCGTCCGGGTTGATACAGGAGAGCAAGCGCACCAGGGAACTGCTCTCCACCACTACATTGCGTCGAGAACCGCCGTCAGTTCCGTCGACGGAGGATGCGAGGGAGGAACGCACCGGTGAGTGCGCTCGAACGAGTGACCGCCGAGACGCGACACCTTCGACAAGTCGAGGCTGCGGACACACTCAAGCATCAACCACGTGCTCTGAAGCTCGCAGAACGAAAGGAAGGAAAGACGAACTTGAAGCGGTCGCAAAGCCAGTTGACGGCATCAGCCGACTTGCCTGCATCCGCCGACCAAGACAACACGCATCAGCCTTCGCTCCGCTTCGGAAGGGATGGGCGAGTGCGAGCGCCGAACGCACCGGTGAGGACCTCGATCAAGTCGTCGCGGGCGAGGTCACGAGCCGACTTCTTGGTGTCGGCGAAGAAGGCGGCGGCCGAGTCTTTGATGCCGAGAGCTTGCTGAGCCTGTTCGACAACACGCTTGAAGGTGAGTCTCACTACAACAGGGCAGCGAATGGCGCGACGAGCGAGGTCGCGCCGATCTGCGAGGAAGCGAGGAACGGACCTTGGTACCGGCGCCGTTGATGCCCGAGGTAGCCTCTGCGCACACGCAAGCGTCAGTATCGCGCGGACGAAGCGAGACCGAAAGAAGCGGGACAAACTAGTCGAGTTGCCTGGGCCGCGAAATCGGAAGGGTGGCGAATGTCAGCTTTCTCGCTTTCCTCGTCTCTCGCTCGCTTGAACAGGCCGTACCTCCAGCAAACGGGTTCTGCGCGCGTAGAAATAGTCAACAAACCGTATGCCGACGGACCGGGAGCGCAACACGAACCTTCTCGAGGACGAGCACATTGCCGCCCTTCTCGTAGAGCGTGTGAGCTGCCGAGAGGCCGGACAATCCTGCGCCAACGACGATGACCTGGGGAGTCGCCATAGTGTCTTGTGCGAGTCTGGAGGGGCTGGGAAAGCTTGAAAAGCGCGAAAACGGGGCGAGAGAGAGGGTTTGTGTGAAATGGGCTGGCGAGAGCTGCGTGGACGCGATTTGCGGTTCGCGCGGGTCAGCTAGGGATCGAGAGGGGTCGCTGGATGTTTGCGGACACGCGCGCGAGGCGTACGAGCGCTGTGCGAGGGCAGGAGGACCTTGCCGGGATGAAGAGTGGGGATGGCGAGGCGGGAGGGCTCCAAGGGGTCGCGCGAGCTCGTTCAAAGGCGTGGGAGTGGCTCGAGAGTCGTGTGCTCACCTTGAGCTGTGTGCGAGCTGTGTCTGGCCGTGTGCAGGCGCTGAGCTAGACGAGCGAGGTGGTGGTCCAATGTGGAGAGTTTGAATCTCGCGGCGTGGAGGCGGAGTCCCTCGAAATCGGCGTGAAGAACAACTCCGGCTAACTCACTCGCACTCGATTAGCCGGACCCGAACAATGCGCGCTAAGTCCAGAGCGAGGGCGAAGTACTGCAGAGCGACTACTCCTCGTGAAGACCTGGGTTGAGCAACGGCACAAATACAGACAACACAAGCGCACACACAGCGAACTGCTCTACACAGTACTACAGCTCACAACCGCCCCTTGCCGCCCTTCTTCGCCTCGTCGACAACCTCCTCAACCTCCTCCTTCGGGCCCATACTCGACGCGCTCACTCCCCCTTCCTCGTTGTCCTTCTCGACGTCAACGATCTCGAAGGACTCGACCGACGCAGAGGAGCTGACGGGCGACGAAAGCGAAGACGACGAGTCTTGTTCCTCTTGCTCCGCGATGGGCTGGGCGGTGGAGATGGAGGGCGGAGAGGCGGGTGTGGGCGTTGGGGATGTAGACCGCGCGGATGGGGAGGAAGAGGAGTGCTGGGCAATGAACGAGGCGATGTCGGCAAAGTAGTGCGGTTGCGCGCAGGTGTCGTCTGATGGAGCGATGAGAGGCGAGAGTCAGATAGGCTGGGTACGCGAGTAGCGAGCGTAGTGCCAGGACGGTTATCTAGCGAGCGCAGGAAGACCCAGCCGGACTTACTATGCGTTCCCTCCTCATACTCCTTCCACTCCTTCCTTTCACTCCCACAAACGTCCCACAAGCCCCTCATCTGTCCCGGCACGACCAGCTCGTCCTTCGCTCCCGCCAGGAACAGCACGGGGAACAAGCGAGGAAGGCGGGCGATGTGGTGTTCGGAGGGCCATATTTCGGTTAGGAGGAGGGGGAGGAAGGGGCGGAGGAAGGGGAGGAGGTGGGGAATCAGTTTGGGCTGCGAGGGCTAGCTGGTCAGCAAGCACACAAATGTGAGCGAGGAGACGAGCCGTACGAGCGAGAGGAACGTGTTCTCGATAATCAGCCCCCGAACCTGCGATCACCAAGTCCATCAGCCTCCCTTCCTCACCCAGGAAGCTCGCATACGCACCCGCTCCGCATTCTGACTCGCCAACCAAACCGCCACCGCCCCGCCAATACTCTGTCCGTACAGCCAGACGTCCGTCTTCTCGAGTTCGCGGCGGGATTTGAGGTAGTCGAGGCAAGTTTGCGCGTCGAGTTTGATGCCTTTCTCGGTGGGCCTGCGCGGCGCGTGAGTTAGTGAGGAGCTCAGAAGGAGTGTGAGGGAAGGGGGAGACGTACGAGCCTTCGCTGTGGCCATACCTTCGAAAGAGCGGAAGGAAAGTCAGTTCATGCGCTCCTCGCTCCCACGAAGTGAGAGTCCGGGCGCACCCTCGGTAGGACAGCATGACGACATTGCACCTCATCTTCTGCCAGAACACTTTCGCGATCGGCAAGCGGTGACCCTGTTCGTCCTCTTCGAGGTCAGCTGTCTCCTCCCCTTAAGCGAGGGAGCCCTCGAGACGCACCACATTGCCCGCATTCGCATGCAACAACAACACAGTCGGTCTCTCCTCCGGCTTGTCCCTCGCCAGTATCACAAACGCCTTGATCTTCGTCCCATCCGCCGAACTCAACTCGACTTCCTCGCCGTCCATCCCAAAGTCCTGTGGGCGCGGTACATGTTCCCTCGATCCAGCTGGGAGGTTGGCGGGGTAGATCAAGCGGGTTTGAAAGAGGTAGAGCGCTGTGCCCCCTCCCAAGACGGAGAGGGCGAGGGTCGTGCCGAGGACTTTGAGGAGCGTGCGGAGGGAGGGGAAGAGGTAGGAGAGGTACATGGCCATCGTGGCGACCAGTTAAGCAGCCAAGTGAGCCGTACAGAGCGACGAGAGCGTGTGGACGAAGTCAGTCGGCTCGTGCGAAGTGGTGCCGCTCGCCCGGCGACGACGATGGTCATCTCTCGCAGGACACAAGCCGGCGATACCCTCGCGTATTACTCAACATAAGCTAGATCCAGTGCAGCGAACGAAGCGTGTCTACTTGCGCTGCTTCTTTTTGGGCCTCTTCTCCTCGTCCGACAGGTCAATCTCCTTCTTCGGGTCCTCGTCCTCGCTCTCGTCAAAGTCGTCGTCAAAGTCAAAGCCCTGGTCGTCCGAGTCGTCGTGGACCGCCGCAAGGCCGGCAGCGTACCTGGCGCGGCGAGCAGGACGCATTAGTTTCGGGAAAGACGAGAGGAAAGAGGGACCGGACTCACTCGGTCGCGTGCCCGTACCACTCGAGCAAGGACTCTCCCATAGTCGTGATGTCCTCGCCCTCCTCCTTGAACCAGTTGAAGAAGCTCCCCGGTCCCTCAAACTCGTCAAACTCCTCCTTGTCCGTCGCGAGCGACCGAGGCGCCTTCTTTGTCAAGTCGTGGTCGGCAGAGGTCCAGCTGATGGGCGTAGCGGAGGCAAGGTAGGTCGTCGCTTCGAGGTCGTAGGGCGCGGCGGGTTCGGGCTTGGGCGTGACGGACGAGGGAGCCGTCAGGGTGAGCTTCTTGCTCAAGACCGACTCCTTGAAGTACGGGTTCTTGCCGAAAGTCTGTACGAGTGAGCAGTCTTACGACGTGAGTCTCAGATCGCAATGGTCGAGCAGGTAGCGCGGCAGGAAAGCGGCACACAGAAGCGCAGGTCGAAAATCTCGACTCACGAACTTGACCTCGAACTCCCTAACATCCTCGCCATGCTCGATCGACACCTCCTTGAGGTGCTTGAGCGCGTCCTCGTCGACAGGGTCGATGAACTGGGCCATCGGGCCGCAGTTCTGGAGCGAGTTGTACCAGAACTGAGGGACCTTGGATGCGAGTTCGGCGCGGGCCTTGTAGACGGGCTTCTGGCGCTCGAGCTTGAACTTGTCTTTGAGGTGCGCAGAGCGAAAGTGGACGGGAGCCGGGGATGAAGGTTCGAAAGGGGTGGATGGAAAGGACATGTATGGGTCAGCGTTCGCCCAATCGAGGCGGACCGCACCTTGCTTCATCCGCATCATCCTTTCACGCCCGCTCTCCCACCCCCTGAGCCACGGGTCGCCCGAGCAAGTACAGCACGTTCCGCCCGTCCTGGACGAGTGACCAGGCGACAACGACAGCCACTTGGCTGAGCAGACTCTTCCAGTGGAGCGTCCAGCCCCTGTATACTACCTCAGATACCTTTGACCGTCCGCAAAGACGACGAGATCGCCCTGTCCTCCCCCTCGAGCAGAAAGAGCGATGAGGATGCGGGCGACGAGAGAAGCGACTCACAGGCCTCGAAGTGAACCTTGGCAGCTGCACACAACACCCCAAAGCTCGATCAGCATCCCTCACAACCTTCCACGGCCGCCATCTCCTGCCAGAGCTCCTCGAGATGAAGTTGGACCAACGCACCCTCGTTCAGGTTCTCCTCGAATTTGGAGGCTGCGTCGCCAAACGCCGCCTTGAGGAGGTCGATGCGGGCAGGAAGTTGCTCTGCAGACATGGTTCTAGCGGTGCAGAGCGGGTGTGGTGAAGCGGGGAAGGTCGACCCGAGCTGGCCAGGGGGAGTGGACAGGCCATGCGCAAAGGATGGCTCGGGCGCGTGCTAGTAGACTTCCAAAGCTTCCACGGGGACTTTCTAGCACAAGCACGACCAGCCAGACAGCGAGCGAGTCGTGCATTGCGAGTCCACCGCTTGACGCGACGAGAGGGGGAGTTAACGAGGCCACAAGATGCCAGGCGCGCCCAGCGAGATCCACGTACGTACGTACGCACTGCAAGACACGTCTTTGTGCGCTCTGGCGGCCGGCCAGCTCAGGTTGAGTGACTCGCGGAAAGCTAACCTCCTCTCTCGCTCGACCTCGTTCTTCTGCTCGCTCACACCGCTTAGCCGGCGCACTTGGGACAGCCACGATGAGTCCAGCACCTGCGCCGTCCTTCCCGCCGCTCATGGGCTACATCCCGCGCGAGCACATCGCCTCGGGCGGCCAGTCTTCCGTCTGGCGCGCACTCAACCTCTCAACCGAACACCACGCAGCGATGAAGGTCGTGCCGCTCCGGATATCGGCTGCGTCGTCTGATGCGCAGACGGCGGCTAAGGCGAAGCAGCTCGTCAGGGAAATGCGGATTCACGAGACCCTCCAGCACCGGAATATCCTCCGCCTGTTCGGGGGAGAGACGAGGGAGGACTGTACGGTCAGGGCGGAGAACGGAGGGGAGACGACGTGGCCGAGCGGGCTGTACATGCTGCTCGATTTGGGTGAGTGGAGTTGCACTCCCCGTAATATTCAGGCTGATCCCCCTCCGCTCGTCTCGCTTCGCACAGCTGATGGCGGTGACCTGTTCGACAAGATTAGTGCGCTACGTTCGCGCTTATTCGGAGCGTCGCGAATCTGACATAGAACTCCCGCAGCTCCCGACGTCGGCGTCGACAACGATATCGCGCACCTGTACTTCCGCCAACTCATCGCCGGGCTCGTGAGTCCATCTCCTTAGCATTCGTCGCATCCGCTTCCCCGTGTGATCACTTGACTCGCAACGAGCGTATGCGGTTAGTCAGTGGAGAGGAAGGAGGAGTCGCTGAATCGTTCCGCTCGCAGAAGTACCTGAACGGCCATGGCATCTGTCACCGCGATGTCAAGCCGGAGAACTGCCTCCTCGACGGTCACGGTGTGTTCACGACTTCGCGCTGTTGCGTTCTCCGTGGCGGTTCAAAGCGAGCGAGCTGATGCAATCGCGGACCCGCACAGGTAACCTCAAGATCTCGGACTTCGGCCTCGCAACGGTCTTCAAGTACAAGGGACAGGAGCGGCTACTGAAAGACCGATGCGGAAGTCCGCCGTACGGTACGTCCCGGTCTACGCGCTTCCTTCGAAATTCGCGTCTGAAGTGCTCTGTTCTGCAGCCGCGCCTGAACTGGCACGAGCGCAACCATACGCTGCGGAACCGATCGACGTCTGGAGTGCGGGTGTTGTGCTGTTTGCTCTCCTCTTCGGCAGTGAGTGCATGCCTTCTCTCGCTCAACGATCGCGGCAAGACGCGGTCGACCGTCAGATTCGACCCGACTTTGCCTCGAGAAGCGTTGCACTCACCGTCACGTCTCGCAGACACGCCCTGGGACGAACCCACCTCAAATTCTCCCGAATTCTCCGCCTTTCTCAGCGGCGAGATCTTCGCTCACGACCCATGGCGCCGGCTCGGCTCGGCTCGCTCGTCCGCCGTCGCGCAGATGCTGTTGGCGATGCTGACGGTTGACCCGGAGAAGCGCCCGAGGTTGAAGGACGTCGAGCGGATGGACTGGTACCTCCAGTGCGTCTCGCGCGAGTGTTGCTTCGGCTTACGCAGCCGCCTCTCTGACGGCTGCTTGACTGATTTGCCGCTCCTGTGATGGTGCAGGCCCAACCCGCTCCTCAACTCGGCGACAGGCCTCGTCGCGGACTCGAATGTCCTCATCACCCGCTTGCTTGCCACGCTCCACGCGCACGAGTACATCGGTCCTCCCGCCGAAGACTTCTCTGAAGTGTGCGTCGCGCGCTTACCCGGCCCCTCTCCGCTGAACCAGCGATACTGACTCGACTTCGCGGAACAGCGTTTCTGCTTCGCAACAACCGTCCGCGTCGGGCATGAACGCCATGCTCAGTCAGAAGATGAGCCAGCGCGGATTGGACCCGACGCAAGGCTTCACGAGCAGCTTGCAGCTTTACGTGCGTCTATCGTTTCGACGTCTCCCGCTTGGGGAACTGGTCGTGCTTGGCTTCGCGGTTGGACGGAGCGGTGGCCTTCGAGGAGGTTTCTGGTGACGGACATTGACGCGTATGCTCTTACGCAGTCCAAGCTCTCGATGGCGCCGACGCAGCGGACGAACCCGAACCTTACCCGCTTCTTCACGACCCAGCCTCTGCCCGTCCTCACTTCTCTCATCTCTCGTGCTCTCCAGTCACTCGACCTTCCCGCGCCTTCCTCGGCATCGAAACCTTACGAGCTTCTCTACCCTTCATCTACCTCCGCCCCCTCGCCCGAAGAAATCGCCTCTGCCTCACTCGGCACCCTCTTCTGCCGCTTCCGCATCCGAACAACCGACAAGCGCCGTCAAAAGCTCTTCTTCGGCATCACGATCGCCAAGTCTGTCCTGCCCAGCGACGACATGAACGGGATGGAGATTGACGGAGGAGGGCAGGAGGGATTCGATGTGGTCTGCCTGAAGAAGGAGGCGGATCCGCTCGAGATGAAGAGGGTCTGGAGGAAGATTGTTGAGCGGATGCCGGAAGGCGTGATCGTTGCGACGTGAGCGGGTGCGGCCGAGCAAGGGACGTGAATTCTGGCGCTTCGATCGTTGTTGTACGCTTCTATGCATCTCGCAGGCATCAGTTCTCCCGACCTTCGTTCGCCCGTTGTCTAACGAGCGAGGTTCGCCCGTCGCAGCCAGTCTCGCGCGCTTTGCGAAGGTTGAGTCGAGCGGTTCTCTTCCTGCAAGCGCTATCAAGCGGATCTCTCGCTGACAGTCGGACAGTGCTTCTGAACTGGGGAACGTAGTGATACAAAGGGCGCGACGAGCGATGGAAGATGGCCGACTTCAGAAAGCCCTCGACGCCCTCTCCGCCTCCCAAGTCTCCTTCGACGTGCCGATACGGCGCGCCATGCGGTGCGAGATGCGAGAGTACGGGTGGGAGAGCGAGAAGGTGGTCTGTAGACGGAGTGCGAGATCAGCGTGACGTCAACGGAGAAAGGAGGAAAGGAAACGCCTGACTGCTGAGTGGCGCGCCTTCGCTTGCACAAAAGCAAGCGCTCGCTTTGGCTGCGGTACGGTTGATACCGTCGTTAGCATCATTCTGCGCGCCCGAGACTGAAGCTCCGCTGACGTACCAGCTCGATCGAGTGTGCGCGTCCGGCCCACAGTTTGTTCTCTGCCGCTCGCAGCGTCTCCCACTCCTTGTCCCCTGACCCTTCCACTCCCTGAGCAGCGAGAGATACTCCTCTTTCCACCTATGCACCACGCCCGTGTCAAGCGACGTCCTGTGCAAGCAATGCACGATTGCGTCGACGTGCCGCTCGTAGACCCTCGCCGCGGCGGTGACCATGAGCTCTTCGGACTCGTGCTGCGGAAGAGAGTGTGAGGCTGAGCTGCTGCGACAGAAAGGCGCAGAGAGTAGATGGGCTCACGATCGTGCCCTCGCGAATGTCCTTGATGAGCTCGTCTGTGAGCTGAAGCGGGAGACGCGCGACGAACGGGAAGTCGAGCTGGCGGAGGTAGTTCGTCTTGACGGTAGGCGGCAGGGGAGACTCGGTGATGGTTGTCCTGAACTCGAGGTATCGCGCGCCGAGTTCCGCGTTGACGAGGAGCTGGGTAACGCTAGGCTGAACGCGAAGAACACGTTAACACAACCGAAACATGCGACGATGGAGAACTGCCAGCAGACATCTGTGGACGTACGAGCTTGTCTACCGGAGGCAAAGGCTCGAGGTTGGCGAGGTACGTGATATGCTCGAGCAGGACATCTTGCGCGGCGTGAGACAGGAAGTGGATGCGCTCGGCCTTGAGCCTGTCTGCCTGTGCGTTGGGGAGAAACCAGTGGGGACCGGGATGTCCTGCGTTGTGGTACCGCACGCGCAGGTTCTCCGTCTCGCGCATCATTGCCGCGTTATACCGCTCGGCTCGTGCGTCCGGCTGATGGGGTGATGCATCAATCTCAAAAAAGCGAAGGTCAAACGAGCGTCGGCGTACCTCGATGTACTTCACCGCGAACTTACCCTTCGGAACCGGCGCAACTTGGTCCAAACCGAGGGCATCAAAGCTCCTGAACACCTGCGTGAGACATTTGAGTCATCTGGACACACTCAGACGATGCAGTGAGCGAACATACGTTCAGGACGGCGGTACGGGCGGTTCCGTCCCCCAACTCGCGCAGGCCTTCCTCGCAACGAGTCCGAACATGCTCCCACTGCCGAGGGGTGAGCAACGTCCAATCCTCCTCGACATGCTGCCTCAGTGCATGGAGCCTGTTTTTGAGAGCGGTGGTCTTTTCGAAGGAACCAGCGATGAGGTCCAATAGCGCAAGAACGTCGTCCCGCTTCGAGTACGGCCAGGGCGGTCCTGGGCGTCGCAGGAGGACCTGCAGCGCGCGCTCAGGCTTCAAGTCGTGGAGTGTCGATGTCATCGGCGGGAGCAGGCCTGCAGGGAAAGCGGCGACTCAAAGAGCGCGAACGTGGAGCGTAAAGATCGGGGGAGAAGGATAGCGCGAAGTGTCCAAGCACGCGCAGAAGGCTGTGCGACGAGTCGGCAACTCCAGGGCAACTCCAGGGAGACTCCACGGAAACACCAGGGAACGTCCGCCCGCAAACGAGAGCGAGAACGACCAAGGCGAGCGCCGCAGACCCCCTCTTTTAGCTCTGCCTTTGAGCCTGCTGGGCAACTAGCCCGTCGCAAGACCGTCAGTCCAGCTCAGTTTGGTCTGCATGCTCCGCAGCGCGCGTCGGCGGATTCGGCGAGCGAGCGAGTCGAGAGGCGGCCCTCAGGTCAGGGACAGATGCGGGCGCTACTGATGTCACGGTCGTCGTTCGAAAGCACCTGAAGGTTCGTGCAAGCCTAGCATAGCTGCTCTGCGGCGAATAAAAGTGAGGAGGAGGCGTGAGAGCGAGGTTGGCCGTTGGCCGACGACACCGCTTGTCCTCTCGCCCAGAGTGCTGCTGTCGCCTGCTAGTCACGATTCGAAGGTCCAACAAGGTGCGTACAGGTCTTCCTTCTAACTCGGACGACGCCCGTTGACCCCGCTCGTCCGCCCCGCCGTCTTCATCAGTCGAAGCCGTTTGCGCGCGCCATGACGGCTTGTGGGACGGGCAACGCCGTATGACATAGTCAGATCCGTGCATGAACGCTGCCGGAAGGGGAGACTTCGCGACGTGAGTGGGCGCGGCTCAGGGGAGACGGAGAGAGACTTGAGGGACTGCGTCGCTGCGGTTCGATCGTTGTTGTACGCTTCTATGCATCTCGCAGCCATCAAGTCTTCCGGCCTTTGTTCGCGCGCCGCGTGACGAGCGTGTTTCGCTCGTCGCAGCCAGTCTCGTGCGCTTTGCGAAGGTCGAGTCGAGCGGTTCTCTTCCTGCAAGCGCTACTCAAGCGAATCTCTCGTTGACAGCCGGAGAGTCGGATGGACTGGGAAACGTAGTGATACAAAGAGCGCGACGAGTGATGGAAGATGGCCGACTCTAGAAGGCCCTCGACGCCCTCTCCGCCTCCCAAGCCTCCTTCGACGTGCCGATGCGGCGCGCCATGCGGTGCGAGATGCGAGAGTACGGGTGGGAGAGCGATAAAGGATCCTGCAGGACGGAGTGAAAGTTCGGCACCCGCAGACACTTAGGCGCAAGAGGAGAAGGGATGAACGGCGCACCTCTCGGTGACGGAAAGCGAGCGCGTGCTTCGGCTGCAGCGGCAAGTGTCAGTTGCGCTCGACGACGCGCTCAATGCGAAGAAGGTGTGCGGGCGTACCAGTTCTTCGATGGAGAGGGGAACTTTGACAATAAGGTCATTCTCCACCCGCTGCAATTCCGCCCACTCGGCAGCCATTCCTGCCGGCGACCAACCTGCTCCGTTCCTCCCTTGAGCGGCTTCAGATACTCCTCCTGCCACTTGTCCGTGGATTGCGGCCTAATAAACGTTGTGCGCAGGCGACGAACGACTGCGTCAACTCGCTTGGTGTAGATCTTGACGGCGGCGGTGCCGGACAAGTGCGCCAGGGTGGGCTGCAAAGGAGAAACCGAGTTCAGCGCGGCTGCAGGATGAAGTCCAAGGGAAGAGCTGCCCACCTGACGTCCTTCTTCGGCAGCGATCTCGAGAGCGTTTGTGATCTCGACGAGGAGCTCAAGGGGCAGAGTCGTGATGTAGGGGAAGTCGAGGACCATCTCGTACTGCGTGTTGACCGCAGGAGGAAGACGACAAGCGGAGACGGCCTTCTTGATCTTGATGTAAGAGGCGGCGAGCTCCGCATTGACGAGGAGCTGGTCGGGGCTGGGCTGTCAGGCGTTACATCACGTCAATACAGATACGCAGCGAAGAAGAGAGGGTGCGCACCAGCTCATTTATGGCCGGCATGGGGTTAAGGTTGGCGATGTACTCGACGTGCTCAAGGAGGGCATTCTGCGCGCCCTCCGACAGCAGACGAAGGCGTTCTGCCGAGAGAGCACCTTCGGAATGGCTCGGTGTTTGCAGGAACCAGAAGCACGCCCCGGAATGTGTTCCGCTGAGGCGACCAGCATCTGCATACCGACGCTGCAAATCCCTCGCCCGCTGTGTAAGCGTTTTGAAGCAGAGAAAGCTCTTCTCGTCCGCCTGATGAAATAAGGCAGCGTCAGAAGCGCAGCTTGTGGACTTTGAAGCAGAGACGGACCTCGACTGTGCCGCCCATGCTGAAGCGGGTCGGATGCTCCGTGTAACCACCCACCGCGAACACATTGACGAGGCCGAGATGCTGAGATGCAATTCAGGTCAGCACCGTAGTATCGACTAGCGGAGCAAGACCGACCTTCATGTTATCCCGGATGCCCGCTCCTTCGAAAAGACGGCGCAACATCTCTTGGCATGCCGACCGGAAGTGCTCCCACTGGCGAGGCGCGACTACCGACCACAACAGTCCCGCGCGATCTTGCAGGACTTCGAGCCGCCCCTCGAGGTCTTTGCTCTTCTTGTTGCGGTTGAAACGAACCAAGTAGTCGACAAGGGCGAGGGCCTCCTCCGACGTCGGATATGGCCACGCCGGCTTCGGTCGACGTAGGAGGACTTCGCGGAGTCGCTCGGGCTTCTTGTGGTCGAGCGCTGAGGCCATGAGCGCGAGTAGCGAGGATCACGTCGGAAGGGAGAGGGAAAGAGACACGAAGGAGGGAAGCGAGGAGCTCAAACTTCCGAGGGATGCGGCGTAATCGGTGTCGAAACTGCCGAGCATGAGAGCGAGGCTTGCGAGGTCACGGCGAGTCCGAGACAAGGAGAGGCAATGAGGGAGCGATCGCGCCGTCCCAGTACTCTGTCCCTGCTGACCGCGTAGTTCTACGTAGTCTCTGATTGAATGGCACTCGCTGAAATCTTCGCATATTTGCAGCAGCGCGCTAGGCCTGTGGCGCGAGTCGTCGCAGCCGGGCAGAGAGCGAAGTCGAGGAGGAGTTCACCGTCTCCGGGGCGAGCAGAAGCGTTGGCCCTAGCGTAGCAGCAGGCTGGTCAGATCGAGCTGTCACCCTCGGCTTAGCAAAGGCTTGTCGTCGCTGGGTCGCCGTGAGGAGGCGGAGCGAGAGCGACGTTGGCCATCGACACCGCTCCTCGTCGCATTCAGGCTGTTTTTGCGCGTCGCTGGTCAGGATGCAAGGGTTCAACAAGGTGCGTAGGACCGTCCCTGTAACTTCCACGACGCCCGCTGACCCCGTTCGTCCTCCCCGCCCTTTTCATCACTTTCGTGGTACTCGACCTCGACAACGCCGCTTGCTGCCTTGTGCCGACTCTCACGACACAGTACTACCCGCCAGACTACGACCCGAACGAGCACAAGTCGCTCAATGGGTATCACGGCAAGCATGCGCTCGGCAAGCGGGCGCACAAGATCGACCAGGGCATCCTCGTCGTGCGGTTTGAGCTGCCCTTCAACATCTGGTGGTGCGTACAGAGTCACTCTCACATCGTACGGCGAGCGAAGCGGCTGACAACTGTCGATCCTGCTTCATTTCCGACTCACTGCGTCTTGCCCCTTGCTCTCGTCCGTCTCGCCTCCCTTCATTCCCCTTCCTTTCGGCGCGCACTGCCTTCAGCAACCACTGCTCCGCCCACATCGGCCAAGGCGTCCGCTACAACGCCGAGAAGAAGAAAGTCGGCAACTACTACTCGACGCCGATCTGGTCGTTCCGGTTCAAGTGCCATCTGTGCAGCGGGAGGATAGAGATACAGACGGATCCGCAGGTACGTTGAGCGTGACTTCCTGTGCCATCGGTGTGTTCGGCTGCAATCACGCGGTGCCGGACTCGTTGTTGTCGCTTCGGATGTGGCTTGTCGCTGATCGCGCTTCCTCCATTTGCAGAACACCCGATATGTCGTCACTGAAGGTGCAAAGCAGAAGATGGAGGAGTGGGATCCGGCGGAGAACGGACAAATGGTTATCGGTGAGTACTCGATAGCCTGCGCTTGTTGTCCTTGGCTCGCTTCATGCGTGGTGTCCGGGTGACTGGGTTCGGTCAGATTGGGTACTCATTGTTGACCTATCCACAGACAACGCCGCCTCGACGTCTACCGCCCCACCTGATCCCTTCGCCTCGCTCGAAAAGACCGTCACGCAAAAAGCTGCCGCTCTCTCCGAAGCTCAACGCCTCTCCGCCCTCCAGGAGCAGAACGACAGTCATTGGTCCGACCCCTACGCCGCCTCGACCGCCCTGCGCTCCTCCTTCCGCAAAGCGAAGAAGGTCCGGCTCGAGAGCGAGTCGCGCGCCGAGGGGACGAGGGGGAAGTTTGCGCTTGGTGAGAGGATCAGGACGGAGGATTTGAGGACGCCGGCGAGGGGGAGTGAGGAGAGTGAGTGGGAGAAGAGGGAGTGGGTGAGGGCGAGAGGGGAGATGGAGCGTGCGAAAGAGGAGGAAGGGCGGAAAAGGCGGAGACTGGAAGAGCAGGTCGGCTGGCAGGGCGGAAAGGTCGAGTCCGAATCGTCGACGCGGCGACTAAGCGTCGGCGGCTCGAGCCGGGATACGTCGAGACGGACGACGAAGGCGCTTCCCTCGGCCTCATCCTCCTCTCGCTCGCTTATCCCCCGATCCACCTCTGCGCCATCCTCCCTGTCGTCTCGAGGGACATCCAACCCAGCCGCCAAAGCCCTCCACTCAAAACTCGCGCTCGCCTCGGCCATCAAGAACGACCCTTTCGCCTCGCCTCTCGCTCGAGGAAGTCTTCCAAGGAGCGTATCGTCCAGCAGCGGGCTCGGCGCGGCTGTCAAGGTGGTCAAGCGGTCGAGGGAGTAGAGTGTCGGGGTCTGTCTGTCCATAGCCTGTTGTTGTCACGTCGCAATTGCAACTTTTCTCGTTCGTGTCGAGGTGAGTTGAACGGGACTTCCCTCTGTTCGCTCTTTGCACTCGTTCGGTTCGTACAGTGAGTCGAAGTATCTCTCTTGAGCTGCTCTCGTGACGCACCGCTCACATACCTCGCCTCGCACAGGAGTCTCGCTCGTCGTCGCCGCCCCACTTCCTCCTCCCCCTCTCGCTGCCTTCAACTCTCACGGCTTGATCGCTCTTTTGCTGCTCGTACGGACTGTTCTGAGCCTACGATACGCGCTCACCCTACAGCAACAGCTCCCTCGGCTCTGCACACGCCTCGCAGCCTCTTCATCGCTCGCTCTCGAACCTCCTCTTCTCGTTCAACACTCGCCCTCGGTACAGCTGACGGTGACGGCAGCGGGTGGAAGAACAGGGCTGAACGGGCAATCTGCATCCGCAGGCAACCCGCACGATGGCCAGCGAAGTGAGTTCAGTCGTTGAGGTTCAACGTGATGGAAGAGCCGGCTGACACTGAGAGCTCTCCAAACAGGCGCGCGTCCCTCTCTCGGACGCCTTGAACCGCCAGAGCTCGGTCAGGACGAGCGAGGCGAGTACGACTGCGCGGGAAGTGCAGGCGGACGAGAATGCGAGGCAGCGGTGCGCTCCCTTCCATTTTGCGCTTTCCTGCGGCTCCTCCGCTAACCAGCTCTGCAGCTCGATAACACCACGCCGCCAGGCTCCGCCACCCCCCGCGACCACCGCATACCCCGCTACGTTGTCGACTCCACCTGGCTCTCCCTCTCTTCGCCGTACTCGCACGACCTCCTCCTCTTCATCCTCCTCCACTTCAGCCGCTCCTCGCACAGCAATGCCTCGCCACCGTCGTACTAAGTCGTCCTCCTGTATTCACGCGCCGATCCCGCCGCCCGTCTACCCCGTTCGCTCGCAGCCTATCGGTCTCTCCCGCTCGTCCTCCCTCACCGGCTCGATTTCTGACCGACTGAGCGGCGCAGAGTCGGTACCTATGAGTCCAACTATCAGCGGCGGGCTGATGAGGCGCACCCTGAGCATTGAGGACTTTGAGTCGGTCGACGATGCGGAGGAGAACGAGTCGGTCGAGTCGCCGGCATCGCCCAGGCCGCTGCTAACGCACAGAAGCGAGAGTCTGCCGTGCTTCCCGCCTGAGCAGAAGGAGGAAGAGGCGGAGAAGGCGGACAGGCTGGGCAGGAAGGCGGTCAGCGAGGACGAGTTGGCGTCGCTTCCGGTGAGTGCGATACAGGACAAACGTTAGCGGAGCCACTTCATGGACGAAGCTGACTGAGTTCTTCGTGCCGCTGCCTCTAGCCCAATCCGAAGCTCTGGCTCCCCTCTCACCTCTCGCTCTACCTCGCTTCTCACCTCTCGCTGCCCCCGCCTATGCGCGCCGACATCTCCTCCTTCATTTCCTCGTCCCGCCTCTCCGGTCGCACGTTCCTTCGCCTGCGCGAGCAAGACCTCGAGGAGCTTGGGGTGAATATTAGATGGAGGAAGGCGCTGATGGCGCAGCGCGAGCTTCTGAGACGGGAGGCGCTTGGCGGACGCGTCCTGTGGGGCTTCGGCAGCTCCACGGAAGCCGTCGAGCACGAGAGCCCGGTTGAGGGTGCTGCGTTGGGACATGCGCGTCGCAGGTCGGTCGACGTCGAAGGGTCAGCGGACGAAGACGAGTCGTCGAAGGAGGAATGGAAGCGGTCCTGGCGTCGCGCTCTGGCGGCAGAAGGCGGCGACGGTCGCTCACGCGTTCAAGGACTCAGGAAGACCTTCGAAGCGGTCGAGGAGCTGAGCGAACGCGGTTCTCCCGCCGCAAGTCCAGAGAAGAAGGGTTCTCTTACGCCACGAAGGAGGCGCGAGTACCCTCGCTCGCCGTACGTCTTCCCGCCTACGTCGCCAACCAAGCATGGACGCAGCGATTCGACCGCGTCGGATCTTAGTGCGGCCAGTGTCGACTCGGTTGGCGGGACGTACGATGGCTTTGCGGCGAGCTCGAGGAGGCCGCATATGAAGCAGCTTTCGCTTGCTTCGTCGTCGTCGAGTAGCAAGGCGTCGTCGCGGACTTCGTTGCGCCTCGAGGATGCCTTCGGCTCATTGCCCTCGAACGAGGCGCTCATTCCGTCTCACTCGGCCTCGACTTCGTCCTTCTCTCCTACACTCGTGACCTCGCCTATCGATCTCGCCAAGCCTTCGCTCGACGTCTCGACAGCTCAAGGCTCTCTCCTCATTCCCGCCATTCGCGGCGACGATACGATCAAGACTGCCCGCGATACTGCCAATAGGCGCCGTGTCTCCTTCTACGACACCGACCCCCTCTCGTCCGCCACTCCAGCACAGCCGAACGAGGCGGAAGACATCGAGGCTGACGAAGCGGAGGAGACGCTCCGTCCCGTCCGCGCGCAAAACACGAGTGCCGGCTCCGCCGCTGGCTTCGCAAGTCCGCCCATGTCACCAACGAAAGGCTCTCTCGCGCTCGCCGAGCTGTTCGGGCTCGACGTCCCCGCCGGTCTTTCCGCGTCGGCGTCTGCGAAGGCTGCGGACGAAAAGAAGGACGAGGCCGACTTGATGACGATGTTTGTGTCGGATAGGCATGGCGATGCGGGCGATGAGAGCGATGAGACGGCGTCGAGGGAGAGGAGGAAGAAAGGCAGTCTTGTGCTGATCAAACGTGCGTGCCACCCTTCACCGAGTCCATCGTTACGCTGCTCAGACGCGCGCTGATCAACTTGACGTGCTGTTGTGCTGCACAGGCTCGCAATTCCACGCACTCCAGCAGCGGATCGACGAAGTCGAAGCCCAGCTCGCCCTCGCTCTCTCCAACACGCCCTCGTCAGCCGGTCGCTCAAGGTCGCACTCTGTCCATGGGCAGGAAGACGAAGACGCTGAGGAGTGGGCATACAAGGGCGACATGGTTGGCGAGGAGACGATTGGAAGGCTCGAGGGGAAGCTCCATGGGTGCCTTGGCGATTAGATCCGATGTTGCTGAACCCTAGGAGGCCCTCGCTGACATAGTCTTCCGCTGTGAACCACAGACTCGAGTTACAAGCCCAGACGCTGAGCGACCCTTCCCTCCCTTCCTCGCCCTCTCCCTCCGCTCGCGCCTTTGCCTCATCCGCCTCCAACTCGACTTCTCCCTCCGTCCATACTCGCTCTCGCTCCTCGACCCACACGCGCACCCGCACAGCCTCGACGCAGACGAGTCCGTCGATCTCGACTCGTCTCCGTCGTAGGAAGCCATCCGAGGGAGCCGAAGTCTGGGACGTCGGTGCCGGTCCGCCCGCTGGCTGGCCTAACATCGAGGGCTGGAGGCAGCTGAGCGGGTATGTCGTCGCTGCGAGTATCGGGATTGGGGTGAGTACGCCTTTGCCGTTCCTCCCGCTCGGCGTATCGGCACTCTCCGTCGCTCGAGCGAGTCTCGCAGCGTGTCCACCAAAGCTTGGAAATGTATAGATAGCTGACGGCCTACTCGCTGCACAGATCGTCGCCGGAGAAGTCGTCGCTGCGAAACTCTTTGGCTTGCGGCGCCGCTAGTCCTCCTGCCGCTCTTCGCCTTGCGTTTCTCCTGCCGTGACACATCCATATGTATCTTCTTTACAGTCTCGGGGCTCTTATATACCACTGTCCACGCCCGACACCCGCCTCTTGTCGTTGTTCCGCTTGCCTCTGCTCGTCTCTTGGTCGTCCTATCCCCTCTGTCGTTTTTCGCCTCTCGCACCGTTTGCATTGCAGTACTGTCCAGCTTGACCCCTGCGAGCAACGGTTTGAAGGACTTGGCGTCCATCCGCTCCTCGGAAGGTCAAGCACGGAGATAATCGTTCGACCCGCTCACACCACGCTCGTTCTGCCTTTTTGCCTGCCAGGACTGCTGCTAGCGTGTGGACGATGCCCGCCCGCCACACAAAGGGGCGCACACAGCCGCGCCGCACCTCCCTCACCGCTCCCTCGACTCTCGCAGCGCTCGCAGCGCTCCTCGCCATCGCACGCCTGCCGAGGGCGGATGCAGCCTACAAGCCGCTGAAGACGTACGCCGGGAGCAACTTTTTCGATGCGTGGGACTTCTACGGTGCGTGGTCGCTCCTTGATGGGGGTTCCGCGTTCGCCAGCGGAAGTGGGATGTGGGACTCGCTTGGCTGACCTCGTTCGCTGTGTCTGGTGTGCAGGTCACTACGACAACTTGACAAACGTGCGTACACGCCGCCGTCTCTACGCTGTCGCGTTGTTGCGCCCGCTCCCTCGGCTCCTTCAGCTTCCGGCTCGCCAAATATACCGAACTGACTCCTTCCATCTCGACTGCGTGTTGCAGGGCGATATCGACTTTGTCAACCGGACAGACTCGAGCGATCTGGCGTACATCAACTCAGCAGGCGTGAGTTGTCGCCCCTCTTCCGTTGCTCGAGTCTCGACGGTCCGTTGCGCGGCAAGCTGATCTGCGAGGGCACGCGTAGAATGCCATCATCAAGATGGACAACACGAGCACCGTCCTGTACCCGAACAAGCGACGAAGCGTGCGGATTCAATCGCAGGACACGGTGCGCATTCCTGTCTTTCTCCTCACCGTCCCGCTGACCTTGTCCCCCTGCAGTACCCGATCGGCTCGCTCTGGGTTTTTGATTTCGTGCACGTGCCGTACGGCTGCTCCGTCTGGCCGGCGGCGTGGTCTCAGGCGACCGTCTGGCCTCAAGGCGGCGAAATCGACACTTTCGAAGGCGTCAATCTGATGCAGACCAATCAGGTGCGCCTTCAGATCTTCTTGTCGAGCCAGGCGCACAGACTAATCCGCTTGCGAACACAGTACGCCTTGCACACGACGAGCGGATGTACCAACTCGAACTCGTCGGCAAGCAACTTCACCGGCACGCTGACTTGTGCGTGCGATGCTCCTCCCGTCCGCAAGTATTGAGCTGATGTCCTCGCGTCATAGACGGCGACTGCGACACCTCCGCGAACTCCAATTCAGGCTGTACCATCCTTGACCCGCGCACCTCTTCCTACGGCGCGGCCTTCGCCTCGAACGGCGGCGGAGTCTACGCGACCGAGTTCTCCAAGAACGGTATCTCGATTTGGTTCTTCCCGCGCGCCAACGTCCCGTCCGACTTGTCGTCGAACTCGTCTGCGCCGAACCCGACGGGCTGGGGAGAACCGGCGGCGAGGTATGGAGGGAGCAGCTGCGACGTGCCGACGTTCTTTGCGCCCCAACATCTCGTTATTGACATCACGGCGTGCGGTGAGTCGAGCTCGCCCGCTGCTCTGGCCTGCATGCGCGAGGCTGATGTGTGCCTTCTCCGCTTCCTTCCCTCACAGGTGACTGGGCGGGCCATGTGACGAACACGACGGGATGCCCGCTCAAGACCGACCTTTGCTACACCTCGTTCGTTCTCAAGTGGGTCCGCTTCCTCCCGCTGACCTTCGCAATCTCGCTTTCCGTTTCACCTCGCCCTCAGGTGCTCCCCCCGCTCTGTTGAGCGCGACACTGACTGTTGCTTGTCCGTCACGTAGCTCGAGCAACTACAACACAGCCTACTTCGAAATCCCCTCGATCCGCGTCTATTCCAACGCCGACCTCGCAGCCAACTCTTCCGCTTCAGCCACCGCCACGAACACCGCGACCTCCGCTTCCGCCTCGGGCTCGAGCGCGGTGAAGAGTGCGGCAGGGCGCACGAGGGCAGGAAGCTCGCTGGAGGCGGTTGTTGCGGGAGCCGCCGTGCTGATCGGCGGATGGGCGTTGCTGTGATGGGGAAGGAGGTTGTAACAGACACTGCATTGGATTTGTCGCGAGGTCCTTTGCGCTGACTGCTCATCGGACGGTTCGGGGAGGGAGAAGCGAGAGAGGTCCGACTGCAAGCAAGGCGAGGATAATCAAGTCAAGCTAAGCCCGTCCACTCCATCCCAAGCCAGAGCACTCCTCCTTCGAGCGTTGCTGCACATGCCATCGCTGTCCTCCTCATCCGATCCAGCCGTCAAATCAAGCGTCTCAACCCTCCTCAAGACCATCTTCTCCTTCCTTCTATCGATACACACCCTGACCTCCTGATTCATCTCCCGCTCGATCTCCTTCTCTCGCTCCGCGTAAGGGTCGGCGTCGTGCTCGCCGAGATAGGCCCAGGGGGACTTGATGCGTTCGGGGTGGACCCAGTGCGAGGGAGGGGTATACCGCGGCGAGGTGGGCGTGGCGCTGCGACTGGCGACGCTGAGATGCTCTGAGCGCGGAGAGGTAAGGCCGAAAGGAGTTGGCGAGAGAGCAATGCGAGACGGAAGTTCATCGTTGAGGAAGTCGTCGGAGAGTGGATCGTCGGGAACGTGAGATTGGAGACGGGCCGTGCGGTCGAAGTTGGATGCGAGAGTATCGAAGTTCATTTCGCGCGTCGCAAGCTCGCTCGCCTTGTCCGACGCCGTTGAAGACTCGTTCGAGGTGACACCGCCGCCGCGAAGCCGGAAGGCGACAGAGCGGGCGGGAAAGTCTGCGCAAGGTCGCGATTGAGAAAGCGGATCAGCGTGTGCCTCGCTCGGTGCGAACACCGCCAAAGGACCTCGCGCAACTCACCGAAGTGCCCAGTCGAAGCTGCTCCTGCATCCTTGCCCACCTCCTCCGCCATTGCCAGTTCCTTCTTCCGCTTCTCAACGTCGAGAACCTTGACGACTTTGCCGCGGCAGCGCAGCATACCCTTCTTTGCATCAAACTCGACCGCCTCCTTTCCCTCGTCCTCCTTCATTTGGACTTGGAGAACCATCATCTCGGTGCGATGACCCTGCTCGTCCGTCTGCCCAACCTCCGACCAGTCGACGACATCGTAAGGCGCGAGAAGCGAGACGAGTTCGACGCGCGTAAGGTCCGAGGGAAGCGGTCCGAGGAAGACGGCCGGAGGGCGGGAAGCGGCGATGATGTCGCGTTGGATTTGGCGGTTGGGAATAGCAGGGTCGGCGAGAGGGCCGTGGTGGCGGAAGCCAGTTGGCTCGTCGACGATCGAAGGCGAGGCAGGAGGCGAGATGAGGAGGATCTTACTGCCCTCGAGACCACTCCTGAACTTGCCATCCTGCGCAGTCTGGTTGCCGGCCGTGCGTTGCTGCGGTCTCGTAAGACGCATTGCGTCGAGGAACCGCCTTGCTTTGTCGGAAGCCGAATCGACGACTGTCGAGCCGAACGTCGCCTCGTCCGGGTGGGCGACCGCCATACCTTTGCAGGCTGGATCTTCGGTTGCTGAGCCGACGTGAACCTTGATCGCGGAAAGGGTGGACTCGCGAGACGGAGAAGGCGAGACGAGGGAAGCAGGCGCGTCCGGGTCGAAGCAGTCGTGGTCCCAACGACCGTCGTCCTTCGTCGACCTGCGTGGAGTCCGAGTCAGTGAGCTTGTCGCGGAGAGCTTGAGAGACTAGGCGCACCTCTTGCTGACGGCGTGAGCCTTGTTGCCGTGGTTGTACCGCTGCTCGAACTGCTCCTCATCCAGCTCCATCGCATCCTCCGCCTCTTGCTTCATCCGCTTCTCGACGAACCTCTCGTCGATCTTGCTGGCTCCCACCATCTCTGGCGCCTTCCGCTTGAGCTTGACCGCTCCGCCCCTCGTAGTTCCCCTCGACCTTCCCAACTCGCCCTCTTCCTCGACCGTCTCTTCAAACGTGCCCTTCCGGCCGCCCCGAACCTCCTTGGGCGACTCGAAGAACCCATACGACGCTGTGCCAAGCGGGACCGAGACGATGTCCGACGTCCCCTGCCGCCAACTCGAACGAATGGCCGGACTCCTCGACGAGTCGAAGAAACGGATCGGCGCGCGCTCAGTCGTGGCGTACATGAGGTCTGGGCTGCGAGATCGGTCTCGGAAAATTCGACGCGAGCGGTAGTCGCGGTCCCTGTAGCGGTCCGGTGTAGGCGACCTCGTCCTCCTGCGACGGCGAGGAGGAGGCGAAGGAGTGTCGGAGCGGCGGTAGCGGCGAGCGCAGCGGTCGTCCCGGTCGTAATAGTCGCGAGAACGACGTCGGTAATCGTCTCGGTAGCTGTACGAGCGGCGGGGGGGAGAGGGAGAGCGGCGACGAGGGTGTCGTGGAGGAGACGGAGTTCGCGGGTGGTGACGGCGAGAGTGGCTCGGAGGTGGCGTCGGAGAGCGGTATCGGGCCCATCGGGGACCCGAAGGCATGGCTGGAGCTGGTTGAGGCGAAGAAGATTGAGCCGAGTGAGGTGAAGAGACGAAGGGAGCGCGGGAGATGGGGCGAGGAAGGACGAGATGCGCGCGGGAAGTGGCCAAACAAAGCCTCCAAACAATGACAGCACTACATCGAGGGTAGTGACTGCAACTGAGCGAGGAAAGCGGGAGCAAGCACACCCGAAAAGGACCTTCGCAGCCTGGGGACACCGCTCTCCTCTCACCTCAGCGCGCTCCGTACCAGCTGATACATTCCGTCCAGATACACTCATACACAATCACCGCATCCTCCCCCTACTCGCGCCTCCCGCAACCATCCCAACCCCTCCACCTCCAGACTCGCGTTTGCCGAACCCGCGCAAGCCAAGGACGCGGCGGACGTCGTTGGTGAAGCGGAGAGAATCGAGCATGGGGAGGAGGTCGAGGAGGCATTCGTCGTTGGGGTCGTTGATCCAGCCCTCAATGGGGATACCGTTGGCTGTGCGGTGCGGAGGTCGCAAAGGACGAGCGTAGACGGTCAGCTACGGATCCCTCTGTGCAAACGCGAGCGCACGCACCTTGGTTTACAGCATAGCTTGCGGGCGAGTTGTCGACTAGGCAGACACGGCTGAGATCCGGCTCGACGACCGTGAGGTCCTTGACGTATGAGCCATTGCGCGGCATGCAGTCCTGATTCACGTCCGATGACGAAGGTCAGTTACTGCCCACAGACGAGCTCAAGTAGACCAAGGGAAAGCACGCAGACATACCGCACGAAACAACCGCGCAGCGACCATTCCTCCGCGCCCGTCTCCGCCGTCGAGCCAGTCGATGACGGGTTCGGCGTACTCCGGCAGGGAAGCGGTGAAGATAACGACGGTGTACCAGGACGAAACCTGTCCGGTTTGCCGGCTACTCATCAGCTCCGGGCTCGGAATGCGAGACCGCCCAGTCTGAAGGTAAGGCTCGCCCGCACCTTTCGCAAGAAGAAGTCCACCCAGGGCCGCTTGTAAACCGTATACACGGTGCTGCGTCCATCAAGCACGACCTCGACAACGCGCATCTTGAGGCCCTTCGGCGCCCGCCGTGCAAGCGAGCTAGATTGCCGCGAGGTCGAGTGGATGAGTGTCTCGTCGAGGTCGAGGACGAGGGTCTTTGGCGTGAGGCGAGGAGGAGGCTGAGGAGCGCGGGGAATGCCGGGTGAGGGAGTGGGAGAGGGAGACGGGGAGAGCATGCGGGAGTCGGAGGGAGGAAGGGAGCGTTGCGAGAGGGTCAGAGCGAGGCTGACGAATCTCGTCCGGCCTTTGCCTCTCTCCTCGTCGCCGTCCGCACCGTGCTCGGTCGAGAAAGTCGGTGCGAGAAGCGCGTTGTAGCCGGATCGAGGGGAGTAGGGGAGACCGAAGAGGGAGAGGAAGCGGCGGACGAGGACGTAGATCGAAGCGGTGATGCGGAACGGCCACCACCGTGCGAGGCGGGTCATCCACGGCCAGGCGGGCGACGAAGAGGCGGGATGAGGTTTGCCGGAGAGGGTTGACGAGTCGAGCGGAGGTTCCGGGTCCCGCAGCGCGACTGTGTCGTTGTACACCTGGGCGACGGGTACCTTCTCGTCGATGAAAGACGACTCAATCCCCTCGTTTCGCTCGAGTTCCGTCTTGACGGTCGCGCCGTCACGCAGCGGATCCTCCGTCGCGAGGATAGCCGCGCCCTCCGCACCCCTCGCCTTACCCTTCCAACTCGGCCGTCTACTGGGCGGTACGATCCCGATTCGCGGCGGTCCAGCAGCGAGCCCTTCCTCGTTCTGCCTTCGCTCGACCTCGCCGGCGAAGTCGCCCCGCCCCTCTTCCGCGCCCCTTCGCCGTTCCTCAGCCTCCATCTCGTCCATCTGCACCTGCACAGGTACATCCGACGCATCCTTTCGCGCGGGAGACGCGACACTGGCAGAGATCGGGAGTTCCGAGGTGCTCGCTCTCGGACTAGGAGGCGGTGCGGGTCGGAGGGTCGAGAGAAAATACTGCAGAGTGTTCATGGCGAGTCGATGGACGGGTCTGGCGGGTCAGGAAGCGAGGAGGAGAGGAGGTCGAACGTGCTGAGAGGGGGTCGGCGAACAGGCGGGGTTGGGTTGGGGCGAGAGGGCGGAAAGCAAAGACGGGCGGCGGTGGCGGGGTCGTGAGATGCAGGTGGTTCGTGAGAGACTGTCACACTCAGCAGGGCATCCGTTCGACGAGGTGAGGGCGACGAGAGTCCTTGGGGAGGGCGAGTGGGATGGGGCCGAACTCGACGGCGACGGCGCGAGATGGGCTGGCTGGCGGGTCGCGTGGGTCGTCAAATGCACCCTCGTAGTGTCTGGCTACTCAGTCGTGCGGTCCAGAGCCTGCGCGTGTCGGTGGGCACGTTCGTTTGCGAGAGGAGATCCGGCGACGAAGAGTGACGAGCGTGAGATGGAGCCGCGGGGTGCGAAAGCGATGGAATGTGAGGAGACTGTCTTCTGTAGCAGGAGGCGCGAATACCAGCTTCACAGCGAGATGTGAGCGGTGTGGTCGAGAGGAGAGCGCCGGGAAAGCGACGTCGTCAGGGTCGGCAACGAGGGACATCCTCCTTTGACGACGAGGCGACGCGGGCGCTGAGGTCGAGATGCAAGGAGAGTATACGAACCAGCCGGAAAGCGAGCGAAGCTGCGGAAGCGGGTGAACAGCCTTCTCGCCGTTTTCTCCTCCCTCTTCTGCCCGTACATGCCGAACTCAGTCAATACGGACGCGTTGCATCTAGAGGGATACAAGAACGACGTTGCGGATGCTGGAGAGTCCATACGGACGAACGCGAGGCGTCCGTCGTGGATGTTGCCGCCTGTTCGCCCTCATCGAGGCGAAAATCGACGTCGACCACCGTCTAAGGCTGGACGTTCTGCGCGAACTGGCCGATAACGTTGCCCGTGTCGTACTCGCAGACGAGGAACTCCGAGTTGCCGTACTGCGCATCGAAGATCGAGCCTGGCGCGCAGACTTGGAGAGCGCAGCCGAGTTTGGTCGCCGACTTCCACACCTGCACGAGCTTGAGGATCAGCGCAAGCTCAACGACAAGCTTGAAGACCACGCACCATCTGCGTAAAGTGCGAGTACGTCGGGTTTGCCGGGTCGTAGTTGGGCGCCTCGTCCTCCCACAACTGAATCCCCGCCAACGCAGCCGCCACGCCCGTCCCCTCCCCGGCATTCGCAGCCAAGTTCTCTCCATACGGCCCGACTGCGCCCTGAGAGTGCTGGAAAACACAGTGCGACGCCCAAGAAGCCGCAGCGTCGGCCTGGGTCTGCGACCAGGTCAAGGGTGCGGCGCCGTGCAGAGCGCGGAAACGGTTGTGTTCGTCCAAAACGGCGGTGCGAATGTCGGCTCCTGCGGTGGAGGTCGGGGCGGCGGAGGTTGTAGTGGTTGTGCGGGAGGAGGAGGATACAGTCACGAGGGGCGAACCAGCGGCGGAGGTGGTGGGCGCGCGGGTACTGCTATGGCGTAGGCGTGCAGAGTGAATGATTCGCATTGACGGCGGCAAGAGATATAAGGGAGCGCAAGGAAGCGTCAGCACAGATCGAACGAACAGAAGAACGGAGGAAGACGCACGTCGTCGTCGCGGCGCGACTAGTCGTCGTCGCAGGCCTGCTCGTCGTGGTCGCACTACTCGTGGGCGGCCTACTCATCGTCGTGGTCGTTGCAGCCCGACTGCTCGTCGTCGTCACAGGCCGACTCAACGTCGCCGCCGAGCTCTTCGGGTTGCTCACTGGCGCAGGATAAAACGTCGGCCCCGCACTCGTCGCAGTCCGATCCTTCCAGAGCACGCGAGTGATACTGCGGTCCTTGAAGAGGACGCGGCTGATGGGTGCGGAGGTGGTGGCGCGCTTGTCGTGCTCGATGGGGGCGGGGGCGGCGGAGGTGCCGAGTGCGTAGAGGAGGAGGGTTGCGGAGGAGAGGGTGAGGGTCTTCATGGTGTCGGTCGAGGATGGAGTGTGTCGGAGGAGAGGAGGGTGAAGTAGAGAGGGAAGAGGTGGAAAGGCGAGTCGGAAGTCGCTGCGTCGACGACTGTGGCGGGGCTGCGATGTCTAGCCGCTTAAAGTCGCACTCAACGTCTACCGCGCAACGAATGAAGTCAGTCCTACGCCGTCGAAGCGAGTCTCGATGCGCCAGTTCGCTCAGAAGCGACGGGCAATGAACGCACAATCGCTCAGAGAGCCGGGTAATGAAGCGTGGCCAAGCGGATGCTAGCGCGTGTAGGGGCTCTGGAAGGTGCCGAACGAGATGCGGCGGTTCCGTCAACGTGCGAACGAAAGCGCCACTCACGCAAGGTCGTCGCCTGTGAGCGGGAGGAGGACGAGCGAGGTCGGACGCGTGCGAGTGAGCGGTAGAGGGCAAAGCAGCGAGCGAGCACTTCCCAACGATCCCTTGCTAGCGCGCCATCCCTCCCTCGAAGCCAGCGAAGCCGTCCACCTCGCCCAAAGAAGCCTTCCTCATCCGGAGGGACGGCGCGATGGTCGACTTCTTTGCGAGCCAAGCGCCGGCTGAGGAAACGACTGGGTTCCGCGTACGGTCCCGCTACTGATAGGCGTCTGCGTGCGCTCATCGAGGCGCTTGGAGGCGCGTGAGGGCGAGGGCACCGCTTCATCAGTTAGTGAGGCGGGAGGGAGGAAGGGCGACGATCGCGTTTGACGGCGGGCGAGTGTCCCTGGGGCGTTTATGGGTAGCCCAAATGGCCGTCACTTCGTCTGCACGTCTCCGCGATCCTGCGTCGTAGCGTTTGCGCCTTGCGAAAGTCGAGGAGGAGGAGCGGGTCAGTGAGCGTGTACGAAGGCGTTCGTAGCCACTCTGGCGCAACGCAGCGTTAGTTGACGAGCACATCGTCACCGACAGCGCCTTCCAGCCGGTCCAAAGCTGTGTGCGTGGCGAGCGAGACGTCAACCGGTGTCTTCATCCGCTCTTCGCTCTTCGACCTCGACAACACGCCTCACTTGCATGCTGGCTTGCTAGGTACCGCTCAGAAGGCTTTGGCCATGCCCGTCAACCTGCTTCTCGCGCCGCGCTCTGCCCCGTGAATTGCTCTCCTGCTCCTCGACCCGGGTCCATCTCGCCAGCTATGCGCTTGACCACCCGCCGGGGACGCTGTGCGGCGCGGTGCAAGACGTCGTAAACGCGTCAAGGAAGGGCCCGCTTCCCGGAGACCGCCCAAAAACCTGCTTCACCTCGACGAACGGCTTCCTTTCCTCAAGGACGTCCCGCTCCACTCCCCCACGCTTGCACTGCTTCCGCCCGCGTCGAACGAAGGCGGCGACGACGATCTCGAGGCGATGCTTCTTCTCCGCAGCTAGGAGACGGTATCACGACTGCCCCTCCGCCTTTCTCCCCTCATATTGCGTGATTATCGGTCAGAAGGGACGAGGTGCGTCAGCTGTCCTCGACTCGCCGACGCCCTACTGACACGTTCGCTCTCTCCCACACACTGCCTGCTTCCCTCTGCGACGCCCGCTCGCGACACACCGACGCCGTTTTCTCGCCCTCGGCACGTGACCTGTGCGCTCCAGACCCCTTCGAGGCGGCCCCGACTTCGGCTCGCTCAAATTCCCTCGCATTCTCTTCCCTCGACCTCTCCGTCCTCGACAGCGAACGCACGGCAAACGAGCGCGACACTGCAAATTATCGACGACGAGCGACCGCATCACCCGCCTCGAACAAGCCCGCCCTCGAACCGCTCGCTCATCGCTTCGGCACGCGACTCTTTTGTTTCCCGCGCACTCAGTCAGCCCATGGCTACCGCGACGACCACGACTGTCCCGCCCTTTGCGGCCAAGGAGACGCTGTCGCTCCCTCTCAAAGCAGACGCCGCGCCCTCGCACGCCCAGTCAGCCTCAGCCGCCGCCGCGGGTCTTCCGACGCCCCCTCTCACACGACCCTCTTCGCCCTCCCTTTCTCGCAAGGCAGCCACGCCCTATGCCCGCCCTTCGACACACCACCTCGACGAGTACCGGGCCGCCGAGTTGACGCCCGCCATTGGTCTCCAGTTCACGCGCGAGTTGCAGGTACGGGACGTGTTGAGGCTGCCTGAGGACGACCCGAAGCGGGAGGAGATGCTCAGGGAGCTGGCGTACCTCAGTGCGTTGCTTTCGCTCGTTCACTGTTGCGGAAGTCGAGAAAACGGATGTTGACCGGAGGTTTGCTTTGGCCTTCTTCCTCTCCATTCCCGTCGACACCTCGTTGCACATTCTGCGACTTCCTTGCCAATCTTCCAGTCTCCTTCCACGGCGTCTGCGTCTTCCCCGCGCAAGACCTCACGCCGGACGAACTGTCCTCCCTCGCCCTCGCACTCGGCAAAGCCTCCGGCGCACCCTCCGACTCGAGCCTGCACATCCACCCCACCGCCGAGCTGGGAGAAAACGGTCGTCCGACGGTTGGAGCGATCTCGAATGTTGCGGGAGCGATGGGACGGCAGATTAATTTTCAGGATGAGCGGTCGGCGTTGGCGTCGCAGGGCATTCACTCGGACATCGTGAGTTGCCACAGCGAGCTAATCAGTCTGTTCGGAGCGAATATTGACTTTCCCTCGCTGCGCAGTCCTTCGAGCAACGCCCGGCACGCTACTCTGCCCTGCGCATGACGACCTTGCCCCCGACTGGCGGCGATACGATGTTCTACAGCTCCTACGCGCACGCCTCGATGCTCTCCCCCGCCATGTTTGCCATGCTCTCCTCTCTCTCGGCCATCCACTCCGGCCGTGTCTTCCGCGACCAAGCGCGCCGATTCGGATACGACTTGCACCTCGGTCCGCGCGGAGCGCCCGAAAACGTCGGCGACGACTTCGAGGCTCTCCATCCCGTCATTCGCACGAACGCCGTGACGGGCTTCCATGCGCTCAATGTCAACCCGACTTTCACCGAACGGATTGTCGGACTCACGCTCGACGAGTCGCGCGCGATCCTCGACTACCTCTACAAGGTGCAGGCTCAGGCGCATGACGCGCAGGTACGGATCAGGTGGGAGAAGGACACGTTGTGCATCTGGGATAACGCGGCGGTCCTTCATGCGGCGACGTTCGACTTCAAGGGCCATGAGCGGTCGGGCGACAGGACGGTCTGCGTAGGCGAGAAGCCGTACTTTGATGGCGCGAACGGGACGACGAGGAAGGAGGCGCTCGGGTCGGTCGTCTAGGCGGCGCGCGACTTCCCTTTCTCTCCCTCTTCCCCTCGCTCGCGTCCTTCGCCTTTCGCTCACTCGTCGTGCCTTCCCTTTCATCTGTGCATTGTTGTCGTCTACCTCCCCCTCCTTCATCCCTCACCCTCCCACAAAAAGCCGTTTCAACCTCGGCCCCCCTCTCTCCTCTCGCTCTTTATACCCACGCATCACGGTCCTCCTTATTCTCCCTTCTCAACTCATGCTTGTTGGTCTCAACTACCCGCACCCAATCGTTTCTTGCAAGTCGTCGTTTCCACCCTCGCACCTTGAGAGCTACACGCCCAATCGCCGCCCAATCTCCTCCGCAACCCTCCTCGCGTCCGCTCGGCCCTTTGAGCGCTTCATAGCCTCCCCGACGAGGCGCTGGATGACCTTCGTTTGGCCAGCGCGGATCTTGGAGACTTCGAGGGGGTGGGAAGAGATGATAGAGTCGATGAGGGCGGTCAAGTCGTTGTCCTGGGCTGCTGCGTCGGGTGCCGAGGAGGACGGAGACGGTGCAGGCCGAGCCGCGAGTTCCCGTCTCAACACCTCCGCAAACCCACCCTTCCCTCCCCGCCCCTCGCGCGACGCAGCGACGTACTCGCCCAAAACCGCCTTTGCCTCCGTCCCATTCATCCGCTTGCTGGTCACCGCATCAATCAGTGCGCCGAGGTCTGAGGGAGAAAGAGGCGAGGTGGAGAGGGTGCAGGAGTTGCGGGTTAGGACGCCGAGGAGGGTGTGGATCAACCTGCCCACCCCACCCTCTGCATCAGTGCGATGTGGAAAAAGAAGGGAGAAAAGAAGGCAAGAAGGGAAAGCGCACCAATTCATGACGACCTCTGGCTCCCTCGCCTCGCCGCCCTTGACAATCTCCTCAAACCACCTCACCCCGACCCCCTGATCCCCCTCTCCCTCCGCACCTTCCTCTCCCTCCCCAAGCGCCACTAAAACTCCCACTTCCCTCCTGCCCAATCCATACGTCTCGCGCACACGTTCCTCCCTCTCAAGCGGTAACTCGCCTACCTCCCCCCGCAACTTGCTCACCAATTCCGCTGGGACAGCGAGCGGAGAGAGTTCGGGATCAGGCATGTATCGGTAGTCGGGAGACGACTCTTTCGAGCGGAGGTGGAAGGTTGAGAGGGTGAGGGCTGAGAAACCGAGGGTTGAGGACTCGACCTCTTCGCCTTTTTGCAGGAGCGCGATTTGCCGCTGAATCTCGGATTCTGCACGGGGGATGCGACGAGTCAGTCTCGAGGGAGGAGGGTCGGGAGGAGGGAGAGAGGAAGGGGAGGGGAGGAAGGGGGACAGACCGATCGCTGCACTAATGAACCTCACGCCGTTGAGGTTCTTGACTTCGCACCGCGTGCCGGAACCGGGTGACGAGAGAGGGGAGACGGAGACGTTTACGTCGCAGCGCAACTCGCCCTGCAGTGATTCGCGTCAGCCGTTTTTGGAGGAGGCGGGGAGAGAAAGGGAGGGAGGGCAAGGGAAGCGCACCTTGTCCATATTCGCCCCACTCACTCCCGAGCTCCTCAGAATACTCTGCAAAGCCTTGACGAACGCCGCCGCCTCCTCCGGACTCCTACGCGAATTTCCCCAGCCAACATCAGCTTGGGAGGGGAGAGGGGGGAGGGAAGGCGCGACGAACCGCATATCAGGTTTCGTGACGATCTCGATCAGCGCTGCACCTGCGCGGTTCAGGTCGACGAGGGTTCCTGGGCCGGAGGGGAGGGAGGGATCGTGGAAGGATTTGGCGGTGTCCTGTGCGTCCCCATCCGCTTCTCTAATCAGTCTACTCCACTCGAACGAGAGAAGGGAGAGAGGAGGAGAAGGAAGGGCGGGACGCACCTGCTCCAACTGGACCTGTTCCAATCTCACAGTGAAGAACTCGTCCCCCTCTTCCTGCTTCGCACCGCCCTCATCTCCCGCTTTCCCCTTCCCCTTCTTAGCCCCTTTCGAGCGTAGAGGAGGGGTACGGACGCGCACGTATCCGCCCGTCGCAAGTGGAGCTGTCCAACCCGCACACAAATACAAACTACATCAATCTCCCTCTCCCTTCAGAGAGATCGCGTAAACGTACAGTAACGCTGCGTGATCTGCCACCCAGGCGTCAAGTCTGGATAGAAATAGTGTTTCCTGTCGAAGCGCGAGAGGGAATTGATTTGGGATTTGAGCGCGAGGGAGGCGAGGAGGGCGAGGCGCAGGGGTGTTGGGTGGAGAGTCTGCGCGCGAAGGTGTTGCATTAGTTGGGGAGAGAAAGGGAGGGAGGTAGGGAGAGGAAGGAGGGGAGGGGAAGAGGGACGGACGGGGAGCGTGCCGGGCAAGGCGGCGTCAAAGGGCGCGACGTGTGTGTTGGGCGTCGCATCGTACGTCGCCGTCTCATCTGTGCGCGTGACAAGCCAAACCCGCACGAGCAAGCGAGCGAGATGTCAACTCCCCCTCCTCCTCCTCGAGAGGATGAGCAAGTCCTGTACGCACGGGAGAAGAGTTTCGGATTCCCCTTGAGCTGTACGTGCAGTTCGAGTCCGATTGTGGGCTGCCACCCTTGCCACCGCGTGTCGTGGCGTGGTTGGAGGGGTGCGGCTGTCGAGGCGGTGCGGTGTGAGGCGGGCGAGGGAGCGACGAGGGCGAGGGTGCGCAGGCGAGGGCGGGGCATGGCCAGCGGGAGACTAGTAGCTCTGTAGCTACTTGGTAAGTTCAATAGCGAGTCACAGTCGTGTTAAGCGAGTCAGTCTCCACTCGACATCCCTCTCCTCAACGTCGTCCTCGTCCTCGCTCTCACTCTCACTCTCACTCTTCTCTTGCCAGGACAGCGGCGTGCAGCCATTCACCGCACACTCTCACGCTCACTCGTGCTCCCGCTCACCCGGGCACACATGTCGTCTGCCACCCGCCTGCCCGCCTCTCACCTCTACCTCTTCCAGCTCCCGACTGACCTCATCAACCACCTCACACCGCGCCAACTCGTCATCCCGCCAGACCATCCCTTGCACCCCTCGAACCGCACCGCCGAACCCACTCCTGCGACCCAAGACCTCCCACTCGGCCTCGATGACGGCAGGAGGGGAGGAGCGTACACCTGCGCATTGACGGGCGCGTCGTTCGATACGCTCGAGGGGTTGAAGCAGCACTACAGGACGGACTGGTACAGGTACAACGTCAAGTTGAAGTTGCAGGGGAAACCGACACCCGTGAGCGAGCAGGCGTTCAATCAGCTAGTCGAAGGTACGTTGGCGCTGCTCTTTCCCTTTTATCCCTGTTGAAGGGGAGTGAGGAGATGCTCATATAGTGGTTGACGGGGGCGCGCAGACCTATCCGACTCGCTCTCTGGCTCCGACTCCTCCCTCTCCGACAGCGACTCCTCCCTCTCCTCCTCCTCTCCCTCCTCTTCCCGCCCCACTACCAGCACATCAGCCGACCCCTCCCTTTCCCGCCTCCTCGCCAAAACAACCCTCTCCTCCCCCTCCCCCTCCGCCCTCGACGACTCAGACCTCGACTCGGCCCTTCTCGCCGGTCCCAAGTCGCCCCTCGAGTGGTTCGACGCGCCCACCTCTCCCGAAGGCTTAGAAACGCAGTATGGGATCCACCGCGCTGCGTTGCCTGAAGCGGGGGCGCGGAAGAGGTTGCTCCCGAGTAAGGAGGAGGGAGAGGCGGTCCTTTCTGAACTGCGCGCGCTGCAGCTGCCTGAGAAGGAGGGAGAAGGAGGAGAGAGGAAGTGGACGATGCTCATGTTCGGAGGAGGACACTTTGCTGGATGGGTCATCTCCCTCCGCCCTAAACTCGTGAGTGGCTCCAAGGGGGGAAAGGGGAAGGAGCGGGAAGTGGTGGTTCTTGAATCAAAGACGTTTCATCGGTACACCAGTGCGTCTTCTCCCCCTCCCCTTTCCTTCGCCGACCCGGACGGTATGACTGATAAGGATGGGCCTTGACAGCGCGGAGGAAACAGGGAGGTGGACAAGGCGCGAACGACGCGGCGATTGGGAAGGCCAAGAGTGCGGGAGCGCAGATTCGCCGACACAACGAGGCGATGCTGAACGATGTGCGTCTCGTTTCGCTCTCTTGTCCTCGTCGTCTCTTCCCCCCTCTCGCCCTGGCTTCCAGACGACGTGGGTGGGGTTAGTCACGAGGAAAACGAAGCTGACGATATCCGTCGCTGCATACGCGCGCTCGCAGGAAGTCGGCGCGCTCCTCACCTCCTGGTCCTCCCACATCTCCTCCTCCTCCCTCATCTTCCTCCGCGCCTCGAAATCCTCCTACAAAACCTTCTTCTTCCCTTCCTCCCCCCTCGTCCGCACCGACCCGCGCATCAGGGGCTTCGGGTTCCCTACCAAGCGACCGACCCTGAGCGAGTTGGGCAGGTGTTGGGCCGAGTTGACGAGGGTCAGGGTGGGGCATCTCTCGAGGGGAGAACTGGAGGCGCTCGATAGGGAGTACTTGAAGTCGATTGCGCCGCCGCCTGCACCGGTGAGGAAGGAGGAGAAGGAGCGCAAGGAGGAGAAGGCGGAGGAGCAGCCGAAGCTCTCGAAGGAGGAAGAACTCGTCCGAGATCGCTGGACTCGCTTGACGGAGATGGTTCGCAAAGGACGCCTCGACTCGACGCGGACGTTTCTCGACAAATACGGCGCCGACCTCTCCCTCTCCGGCGAGGTGTGGGGCGTCTTGCCAGAGTGGATGCCTGAAGCGCGTCAGACGCCCACGCTCCTCCATCTCGCGGCTGCGGCTGGACAACCCCAGCTCGTGCGGTTATTCCTCGACCCGCCCTACAACGCCTCGCCCTACCCATACCCTCCCTCTCCCTCTCCCACCTCCCCAAGCAAAGTACCCTACGACCTTTCCCCCTCACGCCCAACACGCAACGAATTCCGATTCGCGTTCCACCGCGAACCGGAGAAGTGGGATTGGAGTGGGAGGGGACGGGTGCCGGGGGGTTTGGATGAGAGGGTGGAGAGGGAGAGGGAGAGGAGGGAGGAGGAGAAGCGTGAGCGTGTTAGGGCGCGGGAGAGGGAGAGGGAGGAGCAGGAGCGGAAGAGGGAGGAGGAAGAGAGGAGGGCAGAGGAGGGGATGAGGGAAAAGGCGAGGGAGCTTGCGGCGTCGGCTGCGGGAGGGAGCGGGCCGAAGAGGTTGGGAGGAGGTCCGCCGATGCCGGTCAAGGAGCGCGAGAGGGCGGGATTGAGCGAGGAGCAGAAGATGAGGGTCATGAGGGAGGAGAGGGCGAGGGCGGCAGAGGCGAGGTTGAAGCGTTTGGGTGGATGAGTGGGCGGACGTGTAGGGCGTACGCTGGAAAGGTGGAAGGAGGCTTTGCGCTTGATCGTTCGAACGAGTGAGAGTCGACGGATGAGCAAGCGACTTGGGGCTGCACAACGACTTGCGAAGGTTTGGGCTTTCCGTTCTCTCGTGAAACTCGTTCTCGCCGCGATATCGACATACAAATTCGAGTGATACAGTCTAATCGCCTCTAAGTGAAAGATCAGGTCTAGCAGGAGAAGAGGAAGGAGAGGGTGCTGCGGCCTAGAAAGCCCTCGCCGCCTGTTGCGCCGCCCAGGCTTGCGGAGTTGTCCCGTATCGGCGGGCGGCTCGGAGGGAGATGCGAGAGAGAGAGTGAAGATTGGAGCTGTGCTGTGGCTGGGCAAACAAAGCGTCAGCAAGGCGAGAGAAGGCTGTAAGGAAAGTTTAGACGTGCCGTGTCGTGGATCCGCGAGCGAATGAGCAGCTGCGCGTGACGACCCTCATCAGTTTGCACCACTCCGCCGTGAAACATCACGAAAGAGGAGAGAACGCACCACGCTGTCGATGGCCGGCAGCATCTTCGTCTTGCAGTACCCCTCGATAAGCTCGATCCGCACGTTCTCCAGCCGCTCCCAGTCTTCGAGGAAAGCGCCACAGTGACGCTCCCAATAGCTTTGAACGGCGCTGAGATGCCACGACCGCATCCGCGCGTCGTGCGGCGTTTCGGCGCTTGACCAAGTTGGTCGCTTGGCGTGGTGCTCGAGATATTCGTGGCGCCACTTCTGAAGCTTCTCGCGCCTGGTGACGTCAAGTTCATAGAGGGCGATGACCGACTCGAGTCTGAGGTCGTAGACGTCGAGGACGGCGTAGCGAAAGACGGACTCCGGATGCGGCTGCGAAATCCACGAAAAGTTGAGCTCACGCATGAGAGGGCTGGTCAAGCGAGAAGTCTCGCAGAGGAGGCACTACGTACCACTTCGTCGGGACCGCGAGGGCGAGCAGCCTGCTTTACCAAGGAGTCGATGAGGTCCAGCGGGAGGGAAGCGAAGAAAGTGAAGGGGATGGCGGTCTGCAGTTCTGACATGCTTTGGTTGACGACATGAGGCAGGTGCAGCATGACGGCGGCACGAAAGTGCGAGAGAAGGCGGAGATACCGTCCGCCCAGTTCGGCGTTGACGAGGAGGCGGTCATGCGAAGGCTGCGAAGAACGACATACACGCCTCAGCGACACTTGCAGTTGGGCGAGGAGTAAACGGTACAAGAAAGCAGGCTCACCAGCGGTTCACCGGGTAGCCAAATCTCGATGTAGTGCAATTGCTGCAGGAACGCGTCTTTTGCCGCCGCTGAGACTTCGTTCACCCGGCTCGGATTGGGAAACGCGTAGTGGACCTCGAGGCGTGTCAAAGCGGCTTGGAAGCCCTTCAGCGCAAAGTTCCGTCAGCTTTTTGACGATCGGAGGTGAAGGATGCCTCGCACTGCAGGTTCTTGTTCCCCGTGCTCTCTGGGAACAGGCAAGAATGCATTCCCGAGAGCCTAACACTGTTGCGTAAGCGATGCCTCAACCCGAAAAGCGAAAGAGTTGGAACTCACTTGGCTAATCTCGCTTACGCCGCGACTCGAGACAACCCATGAAGTCAGGCGCCGAAGGGTTGTGTGTACATAGCCCCACATCTGGGGCATCCACCGGTGCCACCAAGCACCGATTGTCGGATCACAGAAGTCCTTCGCGCCGTTGATCACTCGTGAGGGCAAGTACCGCGCCTCCATCGCTCTGACAAGCAGGTCGGCGTCGACTGTGACGCTCGACATGGTCGGGAACGGTGCGTTCGAGTCAAGGAAGAGAAGTGTCCGAAGTTGTGCGGGAGGACTGCCACGCGCGAAAAGTGGCAGGTCGTCGGCTGGTGTCGGGAGCGCCGCCAGGTGAGCCATTGCTGCTGAGGCAAGGATGCGGCGGAAGCAGGGACGCGGCGGAAGGGAAGAAAGCTCAGCGAGGAACTGGACGTGAGTTCCGCCAACGGAGAGTCCGCGGACACAGCCTGAGCACGGTCGCAGACAGGCACGTCGCACGGAGGTCCACTGCAAGACGCTAGCAAGACGCCTGTCAACTTGACGAAGAGCCTTGCACGGAGCGAGGGTTGAGTCGCAGTCGGGGGGAAGTCGAGGAGGACGATTGGAGGCGGGGGAGCGTGGGAGAGGGTGTGAGTCGTAACAGCTTGTGGGAAGGTTCCCGGTGTTGCAAGCAAAGCATCGCAGGCCAAGCAGATAGCTCAGCGAGGGTGCAAGCGGGTGTGGACGAGGCGAAGGAGGGCGAGGAGGAGGAGCTGATCTCGACAGCTCACTCTTGCCGCTTGGACTGCTCTTGAAGACTTCGGAGCTGCGTACACAGGATGCACCGGTCCCGTCAGCCCCGCCCAGCCCCTTCTCAGCGCGCCGGCGCACCTCCCTCGCCGTCCTCGACTTCTCATCAGCTGGAACGGAGGACTCGGTGGAATGGGCGACTGGAGCAGTGTGCGGTCCGCAGGACGGACGAGGAACGCTCATAGAGCGGACCCTGACCCTGACTCGCCCGGACTCGCGAGGACGGCGCGTAACGACTTGCTCCTCGACCTTTCCCACCACGACGCTCCCGACTAATTTCTCGCGGGCTCAGGATTGCTTACATTGCCTGGTGCCGCCTCAGTGGATCACAGTATCGAGCTGAACTCGCTACACCGCTGCCCGCCTGCTCTCTCACCCTCGGGCTTCGTCTCTTCCCTCTCCCCGACTCGCTTACTCAGGGTGACAGAGCATTTCAATCGCTTTTATGCGGCGCAAACGAGCTGCTGCACTCTCCTTCTTCACTCTATACACCCTGTCAACACACTCTCCCGCCCTCCCACTCGCCCGCTCAAACAACAACAATGCCCGCCCTCTCCCCGGTCACACTCGTCGTCGGCGCAACTGGCAAGCAAGGCTCAGCTGTCGTCCGCGCCCTCCAAGCCCTGCCTCAGCCGCCGCAAATCCGCGCCCTCTCGCGCAACCCGTTTTCGCCTGCCGCACAGAAGCTCAAGGACCAGGGCATCGAGGTCGTCAAGGGCGACCTGACCGACCCATCCAGCCTCGACGAGGCACTCGTCGGCGTCGCTTCCGCCTTCTTCGGTTTGTTCAGCTTCCGTTGAGTTGTGCAACTAAGCAGGGCTGACTCTCTGGACCTGCGCAGTCACGACTCTCCCGACGAAAGGCCAGCCGACGGAGGACCAGCAAGGCAAGAACTTCATCGCCGCCGCTCAACGCGCCTCACTCCCCTTCCTCGTCTTCTCGTCCGTCGCCAATGCCACTCCCACAATTGGCGTCCCTCACTTCGAGACCAAGGCGGTCATCGAGGAGGCGCTCAAGGCGAGCGGCTTGCGGTACGCGGTGGTTGCGCCAGTCGCCTTTGCGGACAATGTGCGTCGTCTGTACTCATCCTCAGCAGGAAAAGCGCGCCGCTGACCCTCTTGCTGCTCGCAGTACCCGACTGAGGCCGGCTTCGCGCTCACGATGGCGCTCGGTTTCTTCGACGCCGCGCTCAAGGGCAAGAAGCTCCAGCTCGTCTCGACGGACGACATTGGTGCGCCTCCAACGCTCCTATACTCCTTAGCAGCACATGCTGACGCTCGCTTCGCACAGGCTACGTCGCCGCTGAGATGCTGAACAATCCGGCTCGCTTCGCCGGCCGCCACGTCGACCTGGCAAGCGACTCTCTCACGATGCGCGAAGTCCAGCAGACCTACTCGCGCGTCCTCGGCCGTCGTGTCTCCAAGGCGTGGCTGCCAGGCGCCGTCGTCGCGCTCATCCCGCACGACTTCAAGCAGATGATGCGCTGGTTCCACGACGTCGGCTACTCGGCGGATATCGCGGCGTTGAAGCAGGAGTTCCCGAAGCTCAAGTCCTTCGAGCAGTGGTTGCGGGATCAGCGGAAGCAGTAGCGGCATTTGACTTCCTTCTCCTCTTCGAACAGACTGTGCCCGTCGTACATCTTAATGCAAGCTCTCAAGTATTCTCTCCTGCGCTCCGTGCGAGAGCCAGACGATGGCAGCGAAGCGCAAGTCTCGAGAGCAAGTCGAACGCTAGTCCAGTGGTCGTGCAAGTTACAGTTCGTTCTTCTCATGCACCTTCTCCTCCGTTCCCGAAGCAGTCACGCCAACCTTGACCTTCTCCTGCTCCTTCGCGAACTGCTGCGCCGTCCGCTCGGCGGGAGAAGGAATAAAGGCGAAGATGGCGGACTTGGTCGAGGTGAGAGTGCGGCGGCAGGCCATCGTCCAGACGGAGACGGCGACAGCGCCTGCAAGATCGGAAACGTCAGCGCAAAGGCGAACGCGAGTGAAGGGATCTCGTGGCCGCGCAAACGCACCTGCGGGAGCGCTGGGGAAACTCAACCACCATCCCAGCGGGCCGAACCAGTTCTTCGGCAGCCAGAAGACGGGTGTGCGGCGGTGGTAGCTCGAGACGATGAAGGGAAGGACGGTCGTGAGAACCCAGAGGGCGGACTTGAACGTCTTGTTGAACTGCTGGCGGTGAGCGGACGAATCGGCGTCTACGAGTTCGACTGGTTCAGCTTCTCTCGCGGTCGCAGCGAGAGGCCTGGCACTCACTGGACGATTCAAGGTCCTGCACGGCCTTGTCAAGCTTCCTCCTGATCCTCGCCCACTTGCTGAACTCGTCCTGCGAACTCGTCGCCGCCAAATCTGCCCGCAATTTCAGGATCTCTGCCTTCTGCGCACGTTGCTGCTTCGCTGCTGGTGCGAATGGCGCATAGATCTGCGGGCGTGAAGCGTTGTGAGCGTGTCGAGAGATGCGAGTAAGTGGGGAGGAAGAGGACGCACGTATCCCGCGAGCGTGTCTGTCCCGACCCAGCCGAGCAGTTCTACGACGAACGTAGTGAGCAGCAGCCACGCAATCAGCTCCATAGCGCCGTCAGCAGTGGTTGACCCGCACACAACCCTCACGTCGCCCCTCTCGCTCGAACTGGTCACTCGTGCTCGCGCTCACACGCTCTGACAGGCTGTTGCTGCTACCAGACCCTCTCACGGACTTGTCTTGAACGACTCGACGCTTCGCCGCTGAGCCCCACGCCCCTCGTCTGCCCGCTCACTCATCGCCCAACTCTCATCGCCACAACCCGTCCGCGATGTCGCTCGCTCAGGCGTTCGCGCTCAAGGTCGATCCGTCTGCGCCTTCGAAGGCAGAAGAGTTCCGTCAGGACCTCAACGTACGGCTAACTTGTCCAGACTGCGGCGACACGGGTCAAGTCATCGAGGAGTTCAGCTCAGGGGACCTCGTCTGCGGGAACTGCGGTGCGCGCGAATGCTCATTGTAGATTGAGAAAGCGGAGCTGACCCCGCCATGCCCATCGCGCAGGTCTGGTGTTGGGAGACAAGGTTGTGGACACGCGGTCAGAATGTGAGCGAGCTCTCCTCCTCTCCTCTGCCCTCCAACTCGACTCGGATACGATGCCAAGTTGCTGCGGTCGGAGGAGAAGGCGGTCAGCACGCACGGGCGGACATGTGGGAGTTCCAGGCGGTCTCAAGGACCTGTCCTGGCGCCGCTCCCGCTGGGAAAACGGCGTGATGGCTCTCACTGTTCTTCGTGTCTGTCAAGTATCTGTATTGAACAATCGGTCTTTCCCCCCGCACGCTCCCAGGGCGAACGTTCGCCGACTCTGACGGCGACGACCCTTCGCGTGTCGGTGGTCCCGCCGACCCGCTCCTCGACAGCACCGATCAGCTCAGCACCGTCATCTCGTTCAAAGACAACAATACGGGAGTCGCGCGAGCACTGCAGATGGCCGCAAGCCGGGTAGCGAAAGATGCGCAGGGCGGAAGCGGGCGAGACTTGCAGGGGGCGTTTCGCGAGATTGCGACCATGTGCGAGGCGATCAGCTTGCCCAAGGCCATCATCGACACGAGCAAGATGCTATTCAAGCGCGTGGACGAGGAGAAGGCGCTGCGAGGGAAGAGCGAAGCGGCCATCATTGCGGCGTGCATCTTTATCGCTTGCCGGCAAGGACGGGTACCACGGACTTTCAAGGAGATCGTCGCGCTGACGAACGTCTCGAAGAAGGTATGTTCGCTCGAGGCACGTCGTCCTTTTCACCTCCGTTCGGCGTTACTGACAGCACCTTTGGCTTTGCAGGAGATTGCCGGCGCTTTCAAGCAGATCGACAAGCTCTTCGACACCTCTTCTCCTCACGGCGCCTCCTCGACCGACCTCGACTCGCTCATCTCCCGAATCTGCAACCACCTCGCCCTCCCCGTTCCCCTTCAACGAGCCTGCTCGCTCTGCGGTCAAAAGACGGTCGACGACGGCGTCCTTGCTGGACGCAACCCGATCACGATCGCGAGCTCGTGTATCTTGTTCGTCTCGACGCTGTGGGGGAGGAGGGTTGACCCTAAGGAGATTGCGAAGGTGGGAGGAGTGCAGGACTCGACGATTCGGACGGGTTACAGGTGCGCGGCCGTCCTCTGCCGTCTCTCGATCTTTCCCACCTCTGACACTCGACGACGCCCTTATCCGCAGGCTACTGTTGACGGTCAAGGAGCGCCTTGTCGATTCGCGATGGTTCGATGCCTCTCGACCAGCAGATCAGCGAGCCGACTGGGCGAACATCACCAGTCGCTCCTCGTCCAGCGCGGCGGTTTCTGCGGTAGGTGAGGACGACGACTACGCTTGAGGCGGATTGGGTGGGCGAGTTGAGGAGGTAGACTGCTTTTGACCTTCGCAATGAACGAGATTGCGTTCCTCGTATCTGTCCGCCTGCGAGGGGATTCTCTGACTTGTGCGCGCTCATGTTGAGCAGAGCTTGCTGACTTGAGAGGTTTAGGGAAGCTGTATTGCACTTTGTGAAGGGGAAAGGGAGGAAGCGACAGTATGAGAAAGGGAGGACACGGCGATGAGAAAAGGTCGCTTCGTTCTTGTTTACTTGACCTGACATCCGTAAGGTATCAGGCAACGTCCACGAGCAGCCCGAGCTGGTCCTTCTCGCCCTTCTCAGCCATGTCCGTTGGCTCTATCGTCGCATCTTGCTCGAGCGGGATCTCCTGCTTGTCGATGGCGTAGACGAGGAGCGCGACAGTCAACGCCACGTGGAAAACAACGGTAGTAAAGGCGTCGAAGGCAAAGGGAAGGCGTTGAAGGATGGAGCGCACGAGCAAGGGCGCTGTTACGACGAGGAGGACATTCGCAGCGATGGCGCGGCGAGGGAGAGGGTGACGGGCAAAGCCGTACTCAGGTTTGCCTGTGATGAAGAATGCATGGCGGCAGAACCACAACAAAGGCAGGCAGATGTAGAGGAGGAAGCAGCCCCAAAGGGCGAGAAGGGCGACGAGGGGAAAGAGCTGAGGAGCATGAGGACCGTTCCGACAAAGCTGAGGACTCCGACTCCTACAAACCACACAACCACCGTGTGCGTGGTTATGATTGCCTTGCCCGCTTCACTCGACTCCGGCGCGAAGAAGTAGTGAACGATCGCTATGAGGAACTCGTAGGTGTGGACTGCGGGGCTCTTGACAAAGGCGGAGGTTGCTGTGCGATAGCTCAGGCGGCCCACCTCGATTGTAAAGGCGACACGCGCCCAGACAATGAGGGCGTCGCGAAGAACGCCGTGCCAGGTAGGCTTGCTGCTCCAGGCGTTCAGTCCGGCCAACTCGATCTCGGTCATCTCCTCGCTGCGTCCCGGGTCTTCAGGCAAGAGCTTCTGTACGGACTCCTCCCAGTCTTTCCTCCAGCGAATCAAGGCGTCGCGGCAGGGTGTAGCGCGAGGGCGGGCGGCGGTGTCAGCGGCGATGGCCATGCTGTGGTGTAGCTGTCGCGTAAGCAATGCAAGAAACAGCCAGTCGCAAGCCTGACGAGTAGAGGGGTTGGAGTGAATGGTTGGAGGGGAAAGAGGCGCGAGTGGGCAAGGCTCGACAGCTGACTCTCTCGGCCCGGCAAGTTGCACAGCCTTCCCGCTGGGCTCGTCACAGCGTGTGGATTGCACAGCAAGAGCAGGGCGAAGAACGACCCAGGTACGATGTCATCAATCTGCCCTGCTCCGCCCCGAATCCTTCTGCCAGTTGATCCAGACGATAAGCGATGCAGTTGTGAGGTAGGTATGCACGAAGAGTGAGACGTGAGGGGCAAGACGAATGTGCGGGAGTGGCAGAAGAGCCAACAGCAGCGATGGAAGAGGGATGTGTGCAAGACTCGCGATGGTTCGCGCCGTGAGGCAAGAAGGCGAGCGGAGAACTCCGGCCATTCCTTTGAAGAGGTAGTAGAGGGTGTAGATGAGGGGTACAAGCGACCCAAGGCACAGAAGGAACCCGGGGAATCCAACAATGATCAGCAGGAAGAGGTTACCAAAGGTGATGCCGCAGACAACGACAGACAGCATAAGGATACCTAGTAGCCAAGAACCGAAGGCCTCGCTGGTTACCACCGTGTAGCCCTCTACCGAAGGCATCGCTTGGTATGGCTGCACAAAGAACTCTTGAGTAAAGGTTTGTAAGGTGCGAGCGATGCAGCGCCAAGGAAGCGATTCGCCGTCGCATGTTGTCAGTGGCAATCCGTCTATTGTGAAGAACTCCAGCCCCAAGCTCAACGCGGTGTCGAAGAGGAGCATGTCGCGGAACAGGCCGACCACCGTGAGGTTGCCATCCCACGGCCAGCACAAGCACGAGTCGTGCTCCGATCGCTCAGTCCGGCTCCTTGGAGAGCTGTCACGCCGCTGTGTCATGGGGCGATGCCTACGAGGGACTGGTCGTGGGTGACGAAGAGCCGGTCGCCTTTGGGTGATGAGGAGAAGAGCGCCACGGGAGGGGTTGCGAGTGCCGGTCAAGGAAGCCAGCAGTAGAAGTGGGTGCTAGAAATCGGGTCCCGCTCTCCGAACAGCCTTCAACGTTGAGCGAGTGAACGGTCGAAAGTCAAAAGGAGAGGAGCAGGACGGGTCGGCGGGTTGGCTGCGTCTGTGCATTCGCTCCTTTCCTTTCTAGTTCGCTGAGAAGGTACGACATTGACATACAGAACCTACGGACGATCCACTCATTGGCAGGCTCATCCCGCCCGTCCACCCTCCTCTCTTCACTCGTTTTTGCCCTGGCCCTCAGCCTCCTTGACCTGCAGCTTGACCGCGCCCGTCTGGCGTCCAGCCCACCACACGAGGTACGCACCCGTTGACGCTGTGTAGATGACGGCGCAGGACTTGGAGTCGAAGCGGACGGGGAGGAGGGCGAGGAGGATGCGGATCGTAAGCGGAATGATGGGAGTAACCCAGAGGGCGCGCAGGCGCGTGTGGCTGGCAGGTGGGGTAGGATCAGAGGAGACGACCTTGTTTGTCTCCAATACGTAGGTGAGGTAGTGGACGCCCAGGGCAACGGCGAAGAGCATATGAAGAAGAGTGACAAGACCGAATGCGACGGCAAAAATTCCCGTGGCGATGGAAAAAATGAGCACAAGAAAGAGCAGACAAAGGATACCAGTGCCCGACGTCGCGACAGCTGACAAGAGCGGAAAACCTGCACCCGGGTCGTTGCGCGGGAGTCTGTCAAACCAGTACGCAGCCACCTCGCGCCATAGTCCGGAGAAGTCCTCCACCATCGGGCGCAACGTGTCAAGAGTTAATCCGAACATCGCACGCCCGGCAGCCAGCAATATGCAGACGAGGACGGTATCGCGGAGGAAGCCGAGCACGGTGGCCTGCCCATTCCAAGGCCAACAGAGCTCGGGTGGGTCATGCGGTGATTGAAGCTTTGCCGCCGTCGCAGGCGTGGTAGCTGCGGTGGGGCTGCTCATGGATGTGGGAGCAGTCGGGACTGGGAGAGTTGCGGGAGCGAGGGGAGGCATGTGCGAGAGCGTGGCGCTGGTTGCGGCGGTCGACATGGCTCGGATAGAGTCTAGCTGAGCACTTCGCAGAGTCGCAGCGGGGTCGAGCGAGGCTGCGAGTGAGGAGGAGCGCAAGAGGCGGGTCACGAGGAGCGTGACATGGCAATGTCGTCCCCTCGCTTGATGAAAACGCTGATAATGCCTGTGAGTATATCAGAAGCTGCCTGCGAAAGCGCGCGAGCGAACTGAGGAGACCTCCGCACGCTTGCTTTGGCTTTCCTCCTCGCTCGCGTTCTCGCTGCCCAAAGGTCTATCGTAGCTCACTTCCCTTGTATTGCACGATAAAAAGTACATCCCTCACTCACCCGCTCCTCCCGTCCGCCCGTCACGGCTTGTCCGCCCCATCCTCCTCACCGTCCTTGTACAGCTCCTCCTCCTCATCCGGCACCCTGTGCCACCGTTTCTGCCACTCCGCCCAGCGCACAAGGTGGTAGACTGTCGAGTCGATGTAGACGAGCGTCCACGAGGTGGTGCTGAGGCGGAAGTCAAGGAGGACGAGGAGAGTGTGCGTGAGGAGCGGGACGAGCGGGGTCGCGAGGAGGGTGGCGATGGCGCGACGTGAGGGCGGAGCGTTCGTCAAGAAGGCGAGTTTGACGCCATGCAAGATGTGTTTCAGGTAATATCCGACGAGAACACCGGGGAACAGAAGGAGGGTACCCTCGAAGACAGCCAGCAGCATCCACATGAGGCAGATGTAGAGGAAGATGAGGATGAGTCCAATGGGGACTAGGATACAACCGCTGATCCACATCATCGCAACGAACAGAAGGTAGAGCAAGTCCCGCTGCACAACGCCGCAATCCGTGCAAACTTGAGCGGAAGGGGGCCCGCTGAAGAAGAAGTCAACCATGTCGGCAGATGACTGGGGCAGTGCGCTGTTGAATTCAAGGCAAATGGGAAGCGATGCGCCAATGACCAGCTTGGCGAGGAGGACGAGTCCCAAGACGATGTACGAGTCGCGGACAAGGCCAATCAGGGTGCACTGCTCGCCCCAGATCCAATCGAGCAAGTTCAGCACAGGGTCGTCCACTTCGTTCCTGTTCGGTGTGGGCTGCGCATCATCGCCCGGCGAGGTTGGGGGAGTAGTACTGCCGTAGTCTGCAGCGGGAGGGGCGAGGAGCGGGTCGTTCGACGCCGAGCGGGCGCGGCCTGGGCTAGTCGTGCTGCGCGTAGCTGTAGCTGTGGCCATCGAGAGCGTACAGCGAGGTTGAGTGCGAGCGAGTGAAGGGAAGGAGGTCAAGAGGCGCGAGTCGAGTGAAGGAAGGGCGCCTGGAAAATCAACAGCCACTCCTTTCGATGCGGCAGTAGCTGGACAATTCTCATGAGTCCATCGTACATTGCTCGCAGCACTCGAACAGCCACTTGAGCGAGTGCGAGCGACGTCGTCCTCCCGCTTGCGACGCCCACCAAGTCACGCTCGTTCGCCTCACTCGCCCATCGCTGGTCTGCCCGCTCGAAGCCACCGAACGACAGCACTGCCAGCACAGGTCACCCTCGAGCCACTCAGACCCCGCCCCACAGCCCACCATTCCCGCTCAGGCGACTGCCACACCCGTCAACTCGCACCCCATTTTGACAGGCCACAACCAGCTCGCGTGAGGCTCATCCACTCCCAGACACACTCAGAAACATGGTGTTGACACGTTCCAGCAGCGCCGCGCCGGCACGCATCTCGAGGGCCTTTCGGGAGAGACATGACTCGCCCAAGGGCGAAGTCATCACCACCCGCGCCCAAGCGGGCCTGCTGATCCGCCACGACCAGCAACAGCAGCAGCGTCCGGCGTCGCCGCTCTTTGGCGCGTCGCCGTTCGTCGCGGCGGATGGAGGAGCGGCCGCCGACTCGCTCGCAGAGTTGGACGCCCTCTTCGCTTCCTCCCAGCAGTGGGACACCTGCGCTGCGAGTGAGTTCTGCGCTCTCCTGTCCCCCTTCTACCCCTTCAGCATCGACGCACTCGCGCGTGGCGACCTCGTCGACATCTCCATCCCGCCGCCACCGTCTCGCAGCAGCAAGGAGACTGACTTGCTTGCGACTGCAGACGGTCTCAACGAGTTCCTCGCCGAAGACCTGTTCAACTTTGGCACCGACAACTCGGCCGTCCAACTCAACCCTTCGCAGCAGCAGCAGTCGTCCACCCCGAACCCCGGCCCTCCCCTCATCCCTCTTGACACCCGTCCTAGGCCGACTGCCGCCCCTTCGCTCGGCCAGTCCCTCTCTTTCCCCGACATCAACTCGTCGACGTCCTTCTCCGAGCCGCAGGCCCGCGCGTTCCAACTCGACGCGAGCCTCCAGTCGCCGCTGTTCGACAACTCGCCGTACGGCGGCAGCGAGCTCGACGGGTTCAACTTTGTCGCGCCCGACTTTTCGCCCGCCTGGTCCGATGCGTCGCCCCAGCTCTTCGAGGGCAGCGCCAGTCCGGAACTCGGCTTGCTCGACTTGTCGTTCGCGAACGCCTCGCTCTTTGGCGGCGCTGGATCCAGCAGCGTCGCTCCGCCCGTCGTCAACCCGCCTACGCCCGTCTACTCTCCCGTGATCCCGGCGACCCAGCTCGAAGACATCCAAGTCTCGCCGCCGACCATGCTCCCGCCTCCCCTCGCCTCCGCACCAACTGCGACTCCACTCGTCCTCCCCGCTCTTCCCGCCCCCGCCCCTGCCCCCGCAGAAGAGTCAACCCCGGAGGAAGCCGAAGTGGAGGACGACTCGCACGACGCGGACTACAACCCTCGCTCGTCGTCCGCCGGTCCGACCCGCACCGTCCCTCGCCGCTCGACCACCTCGACCTACGCGACGCGCGACCGCACGCGCAAAGCGACGTCCCCGATCCCTCTCAAGCTCCCGGGCGTGGGCGTCCAACGCATCGCGCTCGACGCGCCGATCCAGAAGCGCAAGTACACGGTCGACTCTCGCACGAGCGAGAAGAAGGTCCCCAAGTCGCTTCAGCGCCGGATCGAGCGCGCGAGGAAGAGGGGCGAGGAGGTCCCGACGGAGGAGGAGGCGGCTGCTGAGGCTGCGCGGAGGAGGGAGCAGAATACGAGGGCGGCGAGGGAGAGTCGGGCGAAGAAGGCGCAGGCGTTTGAGGATCTCAAGGCGAGGGTTGGAGAGCTCGAGGGCGTGTTGGAGGAGAGGGATGAGGTGATTAGGGTGCAGGCGGAGGAGATTAGGGAGTTGAAGAGGAGGCTGGGGGAGTGTGAGGCCGGAGACGCGGGCACGAGGAAGAGGGTCAAGTACGAGGAGTGAAGCGGGAGAATGAACGGAACGAGCGGAGGAGGACGCGACGACGACGACGAGTACAGCCAACGACGACCTGGAGGAAGACCGACCACCACCACCACCACCCCCTCGCGAACCACCGGAAAACACTCAAAAACACCCCGTCTCGCCGACTACCCACCCGAACCCAGATAAAAAAAGGAAATCTGTACGACGCGCCTCACCGTGTACACCTGTTCTTTCGGTCGCCCTTTCGCCTTCCGGCTTTGTCTGTACTCGTCGACTACGAACTTCCGCCTCCGCTCCAACAAACAATCGGTACACAACATCCGTTCCCACACCCACCACACCGTGTCTATAGTCGCCGCTCCTTCTTCCAACACACACCTCGGCTTCCTTCTCTCTATTCGTGCCGTTCGACCCTCGCTTTCGACTCTTTCGCCTTCCGCCCCCGTTCTCGACGATGCGCCCCCAGTCCTCGTCGTCGTCTCGTCAGTATAGGGAGAAGCGGAGGAGGGAGCGAGGTTGTCGAGGGGGAGAGGCGAGGATGGGGGGGATGGGACCAAAGACGACCTCTTCATTGAGCTCGCTCGTCGCGGTCCTTTCTTCCTTCTCTGTCTCGCCTCTCCCCTTTGCGTCTCCTTTTCGTGGCGGGGACGATGCGAACACCCAGAAAACACCAGAAACGACCCGGCTGTTCGCGGCGGTGGCGGCGGACCCTCTCCTCTCCGCTCGACGATGGATAGCTGCCCCCTCGCTCGTTGTGTCAGGATGCCTGTCTAGCCTTGCAAAGTACTGTCGTTGCAGCCGGAATTCACGAGCGCGAGTTTGAGAGAGAGAGTGAGGGAGCGAGGGAGCGAAGGAGCATTCCTTGGTGTTCGTCCTCGATTGACTTGCCGACTTTGGCCGCGCTCTCGCTCCTTGTCTTCCTGCTCTTCACTCGACTCGAACAAGTCAGCACACTCGAAAGAACACACTCCAGCGAAAGCAGCACCCGTCTTCGCTCTCCCTCTCTCTCTCTGCGTCCTACCCCTCGTCATCTACTTCGGCTCGCCCTCTCTCCTCGGCATACGCTCGAGCAGTTCGCTCCCTAACACCCTATCCACACTCTCAAGTGCGTTCACATTCCCGCTGTCCCTCCCGCGCCGTCCCACGCACGACTGACACTCTTGCTCCTCGGCAGCCGACACCGCATCTTGCCCATAACCCACAATGGGGCAAGACTACTACAAGCTCCTCGGCATCTCCAAGGGCGCCTCGGACGACGAGATCAAAAAAGCGTATAAGAAACTCGCGCTCAAACACCACCCTGACCGCAACCAGGGCTCGGAGGAGGCGGCCAAGAAGTTCAAGGAGGTCAGCGAGGCGTACGAGGTTCTGGCGGTGAGTACCGGGCGTTCCTTTCGAGCTGTCTCTCACGCGGTTCAAGGAGCGGGCGGGTCAGTGTGCGACCTGAGACTGACCTTCGTCGCACTTCGCTCTCTCGCAGGACAAGGACAAGCGCGCTATCTACGACCAGTTCGGCGAGGAGGGGCTGAAAGGCGGCTTTGGCGGCGGCGCAGGAGGCGCACAAGGAGCCGGCATGGGCGGTGGCTTCAACCCCTTCGCAGGCGGCGCAGGCGGAGGATTCCCCGGCGGGACGTTCTCCTTCTCCTCCTCTGGCGGCCGGCCGGGCGGAGGGTTCACCCCGAGCGATCCGAACGATATCTTCTCGGCGTTGTTTGGGTCAATGGGGGGAGGGATGGGCGGGATGGGAGGCGGAGGAGGAGCGAGGAGGGCGAGGGGAGGAGCGGGTGGGAACCCGTTTGCGAGTATGGGCGGGATGGGAGGGATGGGCGGAGGAGGAGGTGGGTTCCCGGGTGGGTTTGGGATGGACATCGATTCGGACGAGGACTTTGCGCACGCCGGTCAGAAGCGGCCGCCTCCTCCACCTGAAATCGGTGCGTCTGCCCGCTTCTCGTGCTCGCTACTCACAGTCCGCTGACGATGTTCTGCACCGCTCCCAGTCAAGCCGCTGCCCGTCTCGCTCGAGGACCTGTACAAGGGCACGACGAAGAAGCTCAAGGTCACCAAGAAGCGGCTGAACGGACAAGAAGAGGCAAACGTCGTCGAAGGTGAGCCGCGTCATTCTCCCCTCCCGACTCGTGCGCCCTTACTGATCCGCTCGACGTACGCAGCCCCGATCAAGGCAGGCTACAAGGCCGGCACCAAGATCCGCTTCGCCAAGGCCGGCAACGAAGCGGCAGGCGGTTTCCAGGACATCGTCTTCGTCCTCGAGGAGAAGCCTCATCCGACGTTCAAGCGAGAAGGCGACGACCTCATCTACACCTTCAAGGTCCCGCTCATCGACGCCCTCTGCGGCCCGGCAGGCGGCGGCTCGCCTACCAAGACGCTCACGCACCTCGACGGCCGGACGATCAACTTCAACGTCCCGTATCCGCGTGGAGGAGGCGCTCCGCTCAAGCCTGGACAGGAGATTCGCATCGCGGGCGAGGGGATGCCCATCACGAGGAAGAACGCGCCGAAGCCCAAGGGCGACTTGGTCGTTCGGATCGAGGTCGTCTTCCCCGATCGCATCTCGAGTGCGCAGGCTGAGGGCGTCAGGAAGGTGCTCGGTTGAGGCGACTTCCCTCCGTTCCTCTCGACACTTTGCCTCGCATTGCCATCTCTTCCTTTCGCCTCTCCGCCTCGCCTACCGTACATTCGCGTCGTCGCCTACATAAGCCGTCCCAAGCAGTCCCAGCAGTCCTCCCGTTGTCTAGCATCTTTGCCTCGAGTAAAAAGGCGTCTCTTCCTCGCAATGTAGCCATCCTTTCCGCTTCCCGCCAATTCCGCTGGGCTTTGTCACGCTCTTCAAGACGTCTGCTACTCCTTGAGTCCCCCTGCAAGTGAAATGAGAGAGAGTGACGAAGTGCTTCTGCCGAGCGACGACGTCTGCGAACTTGGGTTCTCACCAACTCTGGCTCGCTCGCTCTGCTGACCCGCAGGACCACTCCGATGGTCTCTGCACTGCTCAGGAACGCCACTCGCGCACGCACGCGCTCCCCCGTCCTCCCCTTCACCCACCTCCGCCACCCTCATCCTTCAACCCTCGCCGGCGCAGCTTTCCCCGCTCGACAGCTGCACGTCCGCTCTGTTTCGATCTTTACGGGACTTGGGAGGCTCGCGGGACGGACTGCGGGCCGTGGCGCGCTTGGATTGGGGGTGGGAGCTGGTGCGCTCACTTGGGCGGAATGGAAGGTCGATGGTGCGTCCCTCACTCGCGCAAACTGGGCGTACGGACGTCCAGCTGACACGATCCGGTAACAGGCTTCAAGCAGAACGCGGTCACGACGCTGTCTGATATCAACGACAAGCTCGGAGTCGCCTATGACACCGCGTCGACTTCGATCTCTTCGACCTTGCGCTCGCTGACGGAACAAGGGAGCGAGACTTACAAGTCTGTCAGTGAGACGGCGTCGACTGTCTGGGCTGAGGCGGCGCTTGGACTGGAGGGACGGCTGGCCAGGTTCAGGGACAGGGTGAGGGAGACTTTCGAGCGGAAAGAGGAGGACGAGGGAGACGAGGAGTATGGCGGCGAGGAGAGCGGGTACACGCGGGGGAACGGCAAGAAGCCGCAGCGAGACCCGGCGCCGCTCGCAACGGTCGCAGCGACCATGGCGGCTTCGTTGCCCGTCGTCGTCGACGCGGCGGAACCGTCCGCCGACTCGAGCGAGGACCTCATGCTCCTCACCCGCAGACTGATCGAGATCCGCTCGATCTTGCTCAGTATCGGCGAGGAGGCGGGCTTGACCCTGCCGAGTATCGTCGTCATTGGCAGTCAGAGCAGCGGGAAGAGCAGTGTGCTCGAGGCGATTGTCGGGCGCGAGTTCCTGCCCAAGTGCGTCCGCAGGCTTCTCTGTAGTGATGCACAAGCTGACGTCTCCGTGCAGGGGCGAGAACATGGTCACTCGACGACCCATCGAGCTCACACTCGTCCATACGCCCGCGACTCCCTCCGATCCTCGACCGGCCACCTTTGCCGAATTCCCCTCCCTCGGTCCCGGTCACATCACCGACTTCTCCATCGTCCAACAAACGCTCGTCGACTTGAACCTCTCCGTTCCCGCCGCCGAATGCGTCTCCGACTCGCCCATCCAGCTCCGCATCCATTCTCCCCACGTCCCCGACCTCAGCATGGTCGACTTGCCCGGCTACGTCCAGGTCGCAAGCATGGACCAGCCTGAAGAGCTGAAGGACAAGATTGCGGCTCTCTGCGACAAGTACATCCGCTCGCCCAACATCATCCTCGCCGTCTGCGCTGCCGACGTCGACCTCGCCAACTCGCCCGCCTTGCGAGCAGCGAAGAAGGTCGATCCGCTCGGCATGCGCACCATCGGCGTAGTTACGAAGATGGACTTGATCGAGCCTGCGCAGGGTGCCGCCGTCTTGTCCAACAACCGATACCCTCTCGCGCTCGGCTACGTCGGCGTCGTCTGTCGCGCAGCGAAGCATCACTCGCGGTCGCTGCTCAAGCGGTCGAACCCGGCGGACGACGAGGGCAGCTTGATCGGGCCGATCCGGCAGCAGGAAGAGACGTTCTTCGGTGGCAACGCGGACGAGTTCTCGCGTGAGGGCATCCTCGTCGGCACCGACACGCTCAAGAAGCGTCTCATGCACGTCCTCGAGGAGTCGATGGCCTCGTCGCTGCACACCATCTCGAATGCCGTTGCGCTCGAACTCGAGGAGGCGACCTACCAGTTCAAGGTCCAGTACAACGACCGCGCCATCTCTGCCGAGTCGTATGTCGCCGAGACACTCGACCTCCTCAAGGCCAAGATCGGCACGCTTGGCAAGAGCTTGACGAAGAAGGACGTGCGGAGACTGCTCAAGTCGTTCCTCGACGAGCAAGTCCTCGACCTTCTCGCTTCGCAGTACTGGAGCGATCCGCGAACGCCCGAACTCGGTACCCTCGCCAACGACCGGTCCGTCAGTCCCGAAGATCTCGACGTCTACTGGCAACGGAAGCTCGATGCGCTCGCCTCGTCCATCACCAAGTCGGGTGTTGGCCGCGCATCGACTCAGCTCGTCGTCGACGCCATCCGCGCCCGTCTCGCCACTCTCGCCGCCGAAGAACCCCTCATCTACCACCCCGATGCTGCCGAGCGAATCAACGCGACAGCCGACGCCATCCTCCGCGAACGCTTCACCCTCACCAGCGACCAGGTTGAGAACTCGGTCAAGCCGTTCAAGTACGAGGTCGAGGTTGATCCGGCAGAGTGGGAGGCGGGACGGCAGCAGTCGGTCGAGTTGTTGCAGCGCGAGCTGAGCATGTGCGATGCGGCGCTGTCGAAGATCAGGGACGCGGTCGGTGGGCGGAAACTGCGAGGTGCGATGGAGTACGTCGGTGAGCTGGAGGAGAAGGAGCGGAGACGGCGTGAGCGGAGAAGGGAGGCGCGGTTGGCAGGACAGGAGGACTGGGCGGACGAGAACGAAGACCTTGCCGACCCGAACCGCCCGGCCTTCAACCCGGCTCTCCTCGCAAAAGGTGTGTCCCGTCATCGACCCTCTCTCATATCGCGCTAACGATCGGCTCCAAAGCTCGTGAAGCCATGTTTCTTTCATCGCGATCTTCCATCCTCCGACTTCGGCTGCTCGCGCTCAAGTCTCGTCGGTGCAAGACGGGTCCGGAACAGAAAGCGTTCTGCCCTGAAGCCTTCCTCAACATCGTTGCCGACAAGCTGTCGAGCACGGCGGTGCAGTTTATCAACGTGAGTCGGCCGGAAGAGGCGAAGAACCGTCACTGCTCTCGACCCTGCCAGGATCTCTCCTCGGCGTCGTGAACGTTCTCCCGCGAACGAGAGCACTGATCATCTTCTGCTTGAACAGATCGAGCTGCTTGTCGAGTTCTTCTACCAGGTGCGCCCGGCGTGCTTCTCTCGCGTCCTCGTCATCCCTCTAACTTCTTCGCTTGTCGACCCCTCTCAGTTCCCTCGCGACCTCGACACACGACTCTCACACGACCTGGACCGCGCCGAAATCGTTCGCTTCGCCCGCGAGAACCCGGTCATCTCTCGTCATCTGGCCCTCCAGGAGCGCAAGGAGAAGCTCGAACTTGTGCGTCCCGTCTCTCCCTCTTGCCTGTCTTCCATTCGCTTTCCCGCTGACATGCGCTCTGCTCAGGTTGCGGAGAAGCTCGACAGCCTCGTCAAACTTCAGCGGGACAAGGCGCAGCAGCAGCACCCGCGCCAACGGCAAGACGGCCGCCGAGGACTCTTCGGCATGTTCTGAGCGTCTGCTTCATCAAAGCAGCGTCCGCCCCGCCTATCGCAACTACTCACGACTGGTTCGCCTTCTCGACTTCTCCGCTTCCGCGCCTCTTTCACTTGCCGTCGTTCCCGTGTATCGCTGCCGCCGTTTCGTCCGTATGCAGTTCCTTCGTCGTTGTAGAACAGCTACCAGCAATCAGATCACACCTTTCGCCTCGCCCTCGCCTTGCAGTCGCCGCCGTCCATGAGCACTCGCTCGATACTCGGCGTCCAGGAAAGGCGGACAGCCGGTGGAGTCGTTCGACGGTCGCTCACACCGACACTGCGGCTCCCCGTCGGTTTCGCGGAATTGACAGGGTGGTTCGGCCGTCGCAAGATGTACAGAGGCGACGCATCAATGGCGACCGAGACTGCAACCGGCCCAAGGGGTTCAGGTACAGTCTGCCCATAACTGCTGATCGACATGGTTTGCGCTCTGTGATTCGCTGATGAGGCTTTTCATTACGGCAGGCACGCTAGTGGAGGCGGCCGAAGGGTCGTCCTTCCGTCGAACGACAACCCTTCCCTCGTCTCCGCTTCGGAAGCGAGTGCAGTCGGTCGACGATGTGGGGATCGCACTCGCTCTTCAGTCTGCGCTCAGCCGTTCCCTCTCTCTTCCCTTCCTCTCCCTCACACCCAGCCCTCGACGTCGTCGCCGTCCTCCCTTCGTCGACTTCACTCCGTCCTCTCCAAGCATGCTCGCTTCCGCCGCTCTCCTCGCCCTCGCCGGCGCAGCTAGCGTCTCTGCCATCGTCGTCCCCAACGGCGAGATTGCACGCCTCAAGCGCGACTACATCCGCACCCTTAGCGAGCGCTCGAAGCTCGCCAAGCGCCAGTCTGTCACCAGCGGTGGTGCGTCTCCTTGTCCCCTTCCCCCCGTCGACTCCTCGCTCTCGCTTGGTCGCGGATGCCTCATTGTCACCGAGGCCGCGTGCTGACTCGCCGTTGCCTCGAACAGCCGACGACGTTACCGTCCTCAACTTTGCCCTCACCCTCGAGCACCTCGAGGCCAAGTTCTACCACGATGGTGAGTTCGTCCGCTGTCTGGTCGGCGCCAAAGGGATTGCTGCGCTTGCATAGCGGACGAAGGGCGATCGCAACGAGTTTGGGAAGGCCAGGTCGCTGACATCCTCCTTCCCCCTCCTGCAGCCCTTCAGAAGTTCAACCAGTCGGCGTTCGACCAGGCTGGCTACTCGGGTCTCTACCCTGTCCTCCAGCAGGTCGCGAAGGACGAGCAGGCCCACGTTGACTTCCTCACCACCGCCCTCTCCGCCGCCGGCGCGACTCCCGTGCAGGCTGTGCGTCGTGCTTCCGCTAGCGCTTCCTCTAGATGAGTAACAGCACGGCTGACCAATCTTCTCGCTCGCAGTGCAACTACACCTTCCCCTACACCGACATTCCCTCCTTCCTCGGTCTCTCGCAGGTCGTCGAGGGTGTCGGCGTGAGCGCCTACCTCGGCGCTGCCGGCTCGATCAACGACACGTCGTACTTGACGGCTGCCGGATCGATCCTGACCGTCGAGGCCCGCCACAACGCCTTCATCCGCTTCGTCAACGCCTACACTCCCTTCCCCCAGCCCGAGGACACCCCGCAGTCGGCGTCCAACGTCGTCACCATCGTCACCCCCTTCTTCACGTCGTGCCCGTCCGGCTCGGCACCTACCATCCAGGGTCACCCCGCCCTCAACGTGACGAGCAAGAACTTCACTATGGGCGCCGAGCTCAAGATTGCCCCGACCAACGCCTCGGCCGTTAACACCAACAACGGCCAGCTCTACTGCGGCTTTGCGTCGGGTCTCGCTGCCGGCTTCTCCAACTGGACCAACGGCGCCTGCATGATCCCGACCGCCAACATCAGCTCTCAAGGTCAAACTTACGTCGTCCTGACCACTGGCCCGTCCCTTGACGACAAGTCGACGGTAGCAGGACCTGCCATCATTGACTTGTCTGTCCAGGTGCGTCGGGAAGAAGCGATGTACGAGGAGGAGGAGAACTTACCCTTTTTCTCGCCGCAGAACGTCACCGTTACCCTCCCCTCGCACAACATGACCTCGTCTGGCTCGTCGTCTGGCTCTGGCTCGTCCGGCAGCTCGTCGAAGGGCTCGGCCGGTTCGTCCAACTCCAACATGACGAGCGGCGCTTCGACCGTCAAGATGGGCTTCGCCGGTGCTGCTACTGCAGTCCTTGGCGTGGTCGTCTTGATGGCTTGAGCGTCTGCTATCGGTTTCGAAGCAGGTTGGTGACCTGCCTTTGTCGCAGACTGCAACGGCAAGAAGAAGGACAAGGGCTACTGAGGCGTCGTCGACCGACAACTCCCCTCTCTTCTCTCGTCCCTCCTTCCTGTAGCTTATGCACACGCGACAAACACGCTCACTCGCCTTGTATCCGCTCTTTCCCCTCGTACTTACTTCCCTTCGCGTCCTCGAACGTGATCTTGCAAATGACTTCAAGTTTCGTACTGCTCTACCAGCCGTCCGCGCCCTTCATTTCAGCGAGAAAGCGGTACTCCGCCTGCGTAAGCTCGTTGTCCTCAACCTCGGCGAAAGTCTCCCTCCATCTCGCGCTGCCTCCGTCCCTTACGCTGCGTTCCGTCGCCCGTCGTCTCGCTTCCCTCGTCGTCTGTGTCTTGCTCGTCGGCTTCGATGCACGCTTTGTACCACGCGGTTGAGTCGCGGCCGATCTCTTCCATCGTGCGGCGCGTGAGGAGCGAGCGGTCGCGCGGGATGTCGAGGTTCTCGGTCGAGGCGAGCGATTTGGACTTGGCGGCGTGCAGAGTCAGAAGCCACTGCGATGCATAGCTGTGAGCCGCAGCAGCGAGAGTAACGAGAGAAGAGGGGGACGCACGATACGATGCGCTTCGAGCTGGCCAGTGTACTTTGACCTGGTGAAATCAGCGGCATCAGCGAGAGTCCTGTCTGTCACCAGCGAAAAGTGACGCACACGTTGTGCTTGACCTCGTCCGAGCCGTGCACGAAGGACAAGCGAAGCCCTTGGTAGCGCTCGCCGTTCTGCGGACGGGAAATGGATTCAGTCAAAGTCGAGCAGAGGTGGAGGACGGGGAGTACGAGCTCGAGCACAAATCCGTGTCGCTTGCCGTCGTCTCGAGGCGCCGGTTGTCGAGGCCAGCGTCCGACTGCAGGAGTCTCGAGGCCAACGCAACGATGCCAGGCTGGAGGAAGGGTCGTTCGTTAGTTCTGCTCGGTGAGGGCATAACGAGACGCGCGAGTCAGACGCACCATCGCGGAACAGGTGCTCTTGAAAGTCGTCTTCCTCGACCGGCGTTGCATCTTCGTCGGTCGTCTCCGCATCATCGATGCCTTCCGAGCGGGTCTTCTCATCTTGACGTTCGGCGCGCATCGACTTGTAGACCTGCGGTTACGGACGGAGTAAGCTCGCGGAGAGTCGTAGGGGACGCGAGAGGACCGCACCTTGTAAGTGCCGATATCCCAGACGCCCGTGATGTTCGGTCCTTTCGGATCGCGCCCTTCGAAGAGACTGTATGACATAGGGTGTGGGTTCGTTTCGATGGCTTGTCGGCGCAGCTGCTTCGTCGGATCGGCAAGGGTAGCTGGAATAGCCCACGACGTTGTGCGGCCGTCGAGCTGGACGCGCAAGTCGTAGTGATCCCGCGTGGCCCAATGGTTCTGGACGATGTAGAAGTTGCGCTGAGAAAGCTGGCGAACGGACAAGATGAGCTGGAAGAGCGTGCGGAGAGCAAGACGGGGACGAACAGCCGGATATTCTGCGAACCACTCCTCCACCTCCCTTGGCGTTGCGAAAGGCGTCTGGAAGTCCTTCGCCCTGTAACGCTTGATCCTCTGCCGCTTCGCTGGCCTCGCTTCGAGCTCCTCTTTCCCCTTCCGCTTCGCCGCGACCTGGGCAGCCTGGAAAGCAGCAGGCGACATGTAGCCGAACTTGCGCTGGCTCAGCACGCGCGAGTCGACCATTCTGACAGTCTTGACGAGCTCCACGGGCTTTTCTAGCTTGTGAGCGGGTGAGTGGACGAGGACAAGCTGTGTGGGGAGGTGGTTGACCTTTCCCTCGTCTCTTGAACTCGCTCTTTCGCTTCTTTGCTCGCCTGGACAGCAGCAACAGCTTTCTGCTACTAGTACTACGACCCTCACGCTTCCCCGAAGTCCCCTCGCCCTTCCACGCTCCTCGTCGACCTCATCAGCGAACAAGGCGGGACACTCGTCGGAAGAGACGACAACGCGATGTGAGTGCGCCCGGAGCACGCACTTCAGCTCAGAAGCACTCATTCCATTCTCTGCAGGTCGAAAGCGCCGGGCACGAGGGACTCTCTCCGCGCTCAGCCCCCTCTCGCTGCCGGGGATACCGACGCAACCTCGCCGCCGTCGCCAGCCCCTTCGCCCGGTCTGAGGCGCGCACTCCTCTCCAAACTCCCCGTCAGACACCTCGCGCGAATCCCGAGGGTCGCAGCGGCAGGTCCTCGCCGGCTCAAGCAGCTTGGTAGCCGTTCCCAGCGAAGGGATGCCCTCTTCCGCCCGCTCGAGGAGGGCGCTGAGCCGCTGGGAACGTTTGTCGTGAGGGTACACGCCGGGAGGGACCTCGTCGCGAAGGACAAGAACGGTTTGAGCGATCCCTACCTCGTCATGCGCTTCGGTCCGCACAGGGTACGTGTGGCTTGGCTTCTCGTTCTCGCTCTTTTAAGTTGTCTGACACAGCATCGACGCAGGTGACGAGTCCAATTGTACCAAAGACGCTCAACCCGGTCTGGGGCGCTGGCGGAGAGACGGGCAGCCTCGAGGGAGTCGGCGGCGAAGCGAAACTGGAGCTCAAGCTCTTCGACTGCCTCGCTCTCGGCTACGAGCGCATCGAGATTGTTTGCTACGACAAGGACAGGCTTGGTAGCGAGTACATGGGCGAGCTGAGTCTCGGTCTGGAGGATTGGTGGGGTCGCGATGCGAAGAAGTGGAAGGACGAGAAGCCTCCGGTCGGCTTTCACGATAACGAGAACGAGGTGCGCCACCCAGCAAGCTTACTACTCGGTCCCACTGACTCCCTCGCATTCTAGCCCATCTGGCACACGCTTCGTTCGTCGAGGTCGCGGTCGAGCGTCAGCGGCCAGCTCCTCGTACAGATTGGCTTCTTGCCAGCGGCGACCACCTCGTCGCGGAAGCTGTCGGATCAGGACCGTGAGCGCATCCTCGGCGCTCTGGGGCGAGTCGCTTCAGAGCTGGAAGGTGCGAGGCGAGCGAGTCGCGAGGAGCGCGTATTCCTGGTTCCGCCGGTGAGTGACTCGTCGCTTATTCCAACTGGCGGCATTTGATGACACTATCGCTGCGCAGACCGACGGTCTCGGTACTCAGCCTGCTGACGAGGCTTCTCCTCTCGGTACTGTCATCGACGATCCCGACTCCGAATCCTCCGACTCCGACGCCGATACTGCATCTATCTCGACGGACGGCGACGAGTCCGATACCGAAGATGCGTCGTCAACCGGCGACGAAGACGTTCCTTCGTCGCGCGAGCAAGGCTACTTCGACTTGCCGACCGACGCACAACTCGAGAAGTCCACCTCGCCGGAGCATGCTGTTACCGAGTCGCCGCCACCTATACCCGACATTCGCGTCGAAGAGCAAGCGCATGCCTCGTCCAGCAGTTCGTCGTCGGCCAACATTCCCATTCCCCCGCCCACCCCGAGTCGTCGCGGCTTGAGCCTCCCAGGCTTCGTCAAGCGTCGCTTCAGCAGCCAAAACATCCTCTCAACCGCGAGTCAGCCGACTACTCCTGCCGCCGAATCCGACGTTGCCTCAACCACCGACATTGACAGCGCCGCGACCGCCTCGTCGTCGATCGCGGCAGAGACGAAGAAGCGCAGGCGCTTCCCTCGTCGCCGGAAGTCGGCTGATTTGGATGCGGGCATCGCCGACGGCTTGGTCGAGATGAGTTTGGTGGCCGGAAGCGTCGGTCTCTCGCCGGCTGCGACTCCTGGGAAGCGGAAGGGACGACGTCGCTCGAAGAAGGGGGAGGACGGTGCGACAGACGGGAAGAGGCGCAGGTCGCGCAGGTCGCGCAAGACGCACCATGGCGCCTTCACTCTCGCCCCGAACGACGGAATCGCTGGACTCGTGCAGATCGAGATCACGGGCGCCAAGGACCTGCCGCGCTTCAAGAATGCATTCCGCACGTCCTACGACATGGACCCGTTCGTCGTCATCGCCTTCGGCCACAAGATCTTCCGCACGAGGGTCATCCGCCACAGCCTCAACCCGGTCTGGGAGGAACGCCTCTATTTCCACGTCGGCGAGGCGGAGACGCACTGGACGATCGGGTTCACCGTCTCGGACTGGGACAAGATCTCTGGCAACGACCATGTCGGCGACGTCGCCGTCCCGCTCGAGCAGCTTCTTGGCACGAGCATACAGCACGACGACCGCGGCATCTACCCAGCCGGCCCAGACGGCAAGCTTGTCGGCGACGAATTCCATGTGCATGAGCTCCCGCTCATCCTCAGCGACAAGGACGTGCAGGGCGTCAACCCGAAGCTTATCATCCGCGCCAAATACACGCCTTACGCCGCCTTGCGCCAATCGCTCTGGCGCGTCTATGCAGCGCAGTACGACCTCGACGGCACGGGCGAACTCTCGTACGTCGAGCTGTTCTCGATGCTCGACTCGCTCGGCTCGACCCTCACGAAAGAGACCATTGAGTCGTTCTTCACGAGGTTCGGCAAGACGATCGACGACGAGCTGTCGATGGAGGAGGTCGTCCTCTGCCTCGAGGACGAAGTGCAAAAGCCGAATGCGGAGCGACGGCATGTCAGCGAAAACAGCGATACCGGAGCGAACACGCCGGCTGGACCGGGTGCAGGCTTCGCTTCGGGTTTCGCGCTGCCTGAGCACTACCAGCCGGACGAGCTGCAGCAGACGGACCAGTCGTCCGACATGAAGACGATTCCTCCGTGAGTCGCTCACGCTTCCGTACTCGCAGGATGGCGCCGCTGACCTGTCGTTCTCACAGCGGCACCGAGATCGTCACCGACACGGAGAAGGGCAAGGTCATCACGGCGCCCGAACCAAAGGGTACCGTCAAGCCGCCGTCTTCGCCGTCTCGCGTCGATTCTGCCGACCTGGGCGCGACCGACGAGGGCGACATCGAGCGCGTGGTCAACATCAAGGAGTGCCCGCTCTGCCGCAAGCCTCGCCTCAACGCCAAAGCCGAGGTCGACATCATTACGCATCTGGGCGTCTGCGCCTCGACAGATCCGAGCAAGGTGAACCGCGTCCTTGTCACCAACTTCGTCACGGCCTCGCAGGCGCAGCGCAAGTTCCTCAACAAGGTCTTTGCCAAGGTCACGAAGGGCCAGTATGCCTTAGGTGCCGACTCGGCCAACATCATCGTGCAGGACCGCCAGACCGGCACGCTGCAGGAGGAGAAGATGGCCGTCTACGTCCGCCTCGGTATCCGCCTGATGTACAAGGGCATGAGCGGCAACATGGAGGGCTCGCGAAGTGCGCCCCGTCCTCACTCTCATCTCGAGCATTCCGACTGATCGGTCCTCCTCGCAGTCCGCCGCATGCTCGACTCGCTTACGAAAAAGCAAGGCCTCAAGTACGACAGCCCGGCGTCGGCGCGCGAGATCGAGCCGTTCATCCGCTTCCACAACCTGAACATGGTGAGCACGCGAGAGCGCTTCCGTGTGCTCCTTCGCTAATTGCGTAACTGCCGACAGGAAGAAGTCCTCGACCCGCTTTCCTCCTTCAAGACGTTCAACGAATTCTTCTACGTGCGTACAGGTCTGGCGTGCCTGTGTCGACGTTAGCTCACGACAATTCGCCTCGCAGCGCAAGCTCAAGCCTGATGCGCGACCTGTTTCCGACCCGGAAGACCCGCGCACCGTGGTCTCCTGCGCCGATGTGCGTCGCTTCGCCCTACCTTGTGCAAGACTACCAAGCTGACTTGATCGTGACGAGTAACGCAGTGCCGCGCCATGTTCTTCCAGACCGTCGACGACGCGACCTCGATCTGGATCAAGGGCCGCGAGTTCACCGTCGCTCGCATGCTCGGCGACTACTACAAGGACAAGGCGCCCCAGTACGAGGGTGGCAGTCTCGCCATCTTCCGTCTAGCGCCGCAGGACTACCACCGCTACCATAGCGTGCGTCGCGCTTCGCTGCATTTGCCTTCTCTTGCTGACACAGTCCTCGCCAGCCCGTCGACGGCATCATGGGCCACCACGACTACATCGCGGGACAGTACTATACCGGTGCGTCTCCCGCTCCGTTGTGCCAGAGCGAGAGTTGACTTTTCGTGTACACACCCTCGCGCGCAGTCAATCCGATGGGTACGTCCGCACGCCGACTCATTATGGTGCTTGTAGTCCTGACGTAGTTTCTACTTGCGCAGCCATCCGCTCGAACGTGTCAGTCTACAGCGAGAACGTCCGCCTCGTCGCCTCGATCGACTCGCCCATCTTTGGCGAGGTCCTGAACGTGTGCGCTCGGAATCTTAGCTCTTCACTGCAGCTCGTATTGATGGCTGCGCTCGCGCAGCTGGGTCGGCGCTATGATGGTCGCCTCGATCCACATGACGAAGCAGGAGGGCGAGCCCGTCAAGCGCGGCGAAGAGGCGAGTCCAGCTCCTTTCCCTTCTCAGCGCTCATCGCTGACTTCCTCGATCTGCAGACCGGCTACTTCGCTTTCGGAGGGAGCACGATCGTCGTGCTCTTCAAGCCGAACACGGTCCAGTTCGACGCGGACTTGCTCAACAACTCGAAGAACTCGGTGCGTCCCCCTCGCGCTACTCTCGGCTGCTTGTGCCAACCTTTCCCGCTGCAGATCGAGACGCTCATTCGCGTCGGCACTCGCATCGGTCGCGCGGTCGGAAAGTAGCGGAGGAAGGGAGGGAGGGAGGAGGAATCGCTTTGGCTTGGGACAGACACTTTCGCATGGGTAGACTCCGCTCGCATTGCCGTATATACTGCAGTTCCATCTCGTTACGCACGTCACCTTGCTCCTCGATGTCGCTGCCCGCTTCGTTCTCTCTCCCCTCTTCCCTTTCACGCATGTCCTTGCCGTCTCGCTGGCGAGATGAGGCGCTTGCTCACCCGACACGGACGATAGTCTTCGCTAGCCTCGCGCTGCGCTGCCTGACAAGCCTCCTGCTGCTGCTCATCTTCTCCCTCGTCCCCTCCTTCGACGCCTCCGCCGCGACTCTCTCGCATGCTGTCTCGCCTTACCTGCAGCCGTTCGTGCGATGGGACACCGTCTACTTCGTCAACATCGCGCTCGAGGGGTACACCCACGAGCAGAGGGCGGCGTTCATGCCAGGGCTGCCTGGGTTGATGAGGGCAGGTGGGGAGGGAATTCGCTGGCTCAGGGGCGGGAAGGGCGTAGCGAGCGGTGACGACGTCGTACTGGTTGGCATGGCTGCTACAGCGGTAGCCACGAGCGCTGCGGCAGTCGTCCTTCACCGGTCCGCATCCTTTCTCTCCTGAACAACCTCGAAAACGTTGCTGACACCGCCTTACGCTACAGCCTGACGGTCCGACTCTTCCCACGACAGCCAGCGTTTGCCTTGACGACCGCTTGCCTCTTCCTTCTCGCACCGGGCCGACCAACGCTCCATGCCGTCCCTTACACGGAACCGTTCGCCGCCCTCTTCACCTTCCTCGGCATGCTCCTCTTCTACAAGAACCGCGACGTGTTGGCAGCGGTCGTGTGGGCGCTGGGCACGACAATGCGGGCCCAGGGGGTCGTGCTTGGTGTTGGCTTCTTTGGGTGGAAATGGGTGTTGCGGAGAACTTGGGACGGGACTTTGAGCGGGCGATTCCAAGTGAGTGAGTCTCGCGAGCCAATAGACGACCAGGTACTGATACCGCTTCCCTGCAGCGCTTTGCAACCGGCGTCCCCATCTTCGCCGCCCTCTCCTTCCTCTCCTCACTGCCCTTCCTCGCCTTCCAGCGCTACGTCTACACCCTCTTCTGTTCCGACCCGTCATCCTTGCGTCCATGGTGCACCCAAGGACTCGGCTTCAGCTACGGTTGGATCCAGAGCGAGTACTGGTGCGCGCTATACTCGCTTGTCCGCTCGAACCGATTCTGACGCGTTTCGCTCGTTCGCAGGGACGTCGGCTTGTTCCGCTATTGGACCATTTTACAGCTCCCAAATTTCCTCCTCGCCGCGCCCGTCCTCGCCCTCTCGCTCGCCGCATCCCACTCGTTCTACCGCTCCACCTTCGCCTTCACCCTCCGCTCGACTCTCCCGTTCCTCCCTCTCTCGCTCGCACCGCCTCGTCCGTCACGCAAGTCCAACCCCTCCTCACCTCTCACACACCCCTCCTCGCCCTCCGCAGCTCTCGCTCTAATCCCCCTCATCCACCTCCACACCCTCCTCACCCTTCTCCTCCTCACAACCGCCCACGTCCAAATCATCCTGCGCGTATGCGTAACGAATCCCGTGTTTTGGTGGTACGCTGCGGAACTCGTTTGCTCGACAGAGGGAGGGAAGAAGCGGTGGGGGAGGAGGTGGGTCGGGTATTGTGTCGTTTGGGGAACTGTCGCGACGGGCTTATGGGCTGTCTTTCTCCCTCCTGCGTAGCGTAGAAGCCGCTCCATCTCGTTATGCAGCATTGCACAAGATGATCAGAGATCCGACTCGCCCTCCTCTGCTTCGTCCTCTGTCCAGGTCCGCCCACCCGCACCTCCGAGAGACTCGTCCGCCGCCGCTCTTCCGCCGCTGGGCACGTGCACTTCGTCACCCTCGTACACCGGATAAGCGACACAGAACGTCCCTTCTGCCGAAGCGGTGGAGGAGGTGGAGGTGGAAGGAGAGGAAGAAAGGACGAGGGCTTCGCCGTCTGGTGCGAAAGCGAGCGAATGCGCAGAGAAGTCCCCTCCTGCACCTCCTCCATCAGCGAATGTTCATGTCCCGCGAGAGGGGTAGGGAAGGATGGGCAAAACGCACGCGCAGGGATCCCAACACACTCGGCCAGCCCCTTCTCCTTCCGCGACGTCGGGGCACGCCACATCCCAAACCCTTTCTCACCGCCGACCCAGCAAAGGACTTCTGCTTCTCCGTCTGAGAAAGCGCGGGAGGGTTGCCATGCGAGGGCGGGAGTCGGGGGAGAGGGAGAGGGAGAGGAAGGGCAGAGGAGGAGGAGCGTGTGGAGGGAGGGACGAGGTGGGGTTTCCCCCTCGTGGGCGTTGGAAGCGAGGGCGACGAGGGTCGAAAAGTCGAATATCGCAATCACGTTCGGGAACGCCGCTGGTCACCCGCCAGCCGCCAGTCAGCTCACGCACGCACTCGGAGTGGAAGGAAGGGGAGGATCGGACGCACCGTTCAGGACCGCAGCCCACCGCCCACTCTCGCTCCAAACGATCCTCTCTACGCCCATTCGCGGGTTCGGGCGGGTCAAGTCGAGTGGGAGGGGGGTGAGTGAGTGAGGGAGGGGGACGGGGTCGTCTGCGCTTCGAGGGCTTAGTCTTAGTCGAGGAAGGAAGGGAGGGAAGGGGAAGGGACGGACAAGAGAGGATCCCGTGTCCGCGGGTGTTGGAGACCCAATTGGGTGGTTCGCGCCATACGTTCTGCGTCCCCTCTCCAATCTCACATCAGCCTTATCTCATGCGCGAGCAGAGAAAAAGAAAGGAACGAACAAGAAAGGAACGCACGACTCCCCCCGTCAACCGTGTAGGCACCCCAACCTCAGCAACCGCACCCCACCCCTTCCTACTCAACACCCTGACCTTGCCGTCCCACCCGCCTATCGAGAGCCATTCGCCGTCTCGACCCCACTGGACCGTTCGGATCCCGAGACCGACGTAGGAATGGGTCGAGCGGTCGAGGCGGGTGAGGGTGCAGTCTTTGTTTCCTGTGATCGCAGTCGGAGTGGATGTTGAGGCGGAGGAAGGTTTGCGGGAGGATGTGGAGCTGGTAGAAGTGGAAGACGAAGCGGGAGGGGAGAGAGAGGCGTAAGGCGTATAGGTTGAAAGGAGCGTCCCAGTCGGCGTGAAGACATGCACTGTGTACTGTCCTCCCCCGACGTCCCATTAGCTCCGGGGCAGGGCAAGGGAAGAAAGAGGGAACGCACGTCGGTGATGGACGACCAGGCGGCTATGTACCGACCGCAGGGGGACCAGGAGAGGTCTGCGAGGTCGGAGGTCGGGTCGGGGAGTGTGATGCTCTATATGTCACCTCCATCAGCTCTGCGAGAGAGAGAGAGGTAAGGAGAGGGACAGACCTTGACCAACGCCCATTCTCCCGCTGCTGAAGCCGAGCCAGTCGAATAAACACCAATCACGTCACGCGCCTGGTGACGCTCAAGGACGGCTAAGAATTTCCCGTCGGGTCGGAAAGAGTAGCCTGTTCCCTGTTCCTCGGAGGAGGAAGGGGAGGGAGAGTGTTTGGGCGAGAGGATGCGGAAGGGCTGCAGGGCGGGTGAAGGGGAGGGGCTGGAGGGGGAGGGAAGGGGGAAGAGGGAGAGGTGTAGCTGCGCGCGCAGCCTACGTCAGTTGAAGACTCAAGGATGGGAGGAGTGAGAGCGCGCAACGGACATGGTGAGCCGCCCAAGCCATCACGGTCGGATTCGCCCCGTCGCCCGTCCGTGCCCAAGCCATCGCGACGCACCCCTCATTGCCCACCTCGATCCTCGCCACCTCTCCCTCCTTTGCAGGATCGACAACCCACGCCGCGCGCTGTTTCGCCGAGTAGACGAGGACGTAGTTTGGATCAGAGGGGGATGCCGCGAAGGTTGTGAGAGGGTGAGGGAGGGAGGGGAGGGTCCATGAGCGGATTGGGGAGAGGTCGGCGAGGGAGCGGAGGACGAGGCGGTCGCGGTGGAGCGAGACGAGGTTGGGCGAGTTGGCGAGGACGAGGGTGTGCGAGTGCCGGTCTGCGCGGGTCGTGAGTCAGTTTGCATGGTGCCAGAGGGTGAGAGTGAGCGCACAGAGCGGTGACAGTTCCCACGAGGTCATTGTTGCGAGGTGAGAGAGTGTTCAAGTCGCGGTCGTCGTTCGTCGGGTTGAGTGAAGAAATAGTCCGGTGAGTTCGCTGCACGTGACCTCGACCCATTCTCCCTCTCGCTCTCGCTTTCGCTGTCCGGTGTGACTCGAGTAAATTGTACGATGGCATTATAAGTAGCTTGCACTCGCTGCCACCCGCGTACGCTGCCTCGTCGCTGGCTTTCCTCGCACCCAGTCCTGATCCAAACTTCGCTCGCCTTATTCTTCGCCTCGCTCGCCGCCGACATCGACGACGCAGACCCAGACTGACTCGCAGCGACTGCTCTCTTGTACCACAACAACTTGCAAGTCGGCCTTGTCTCTGTTCAGGATTGGATTGGCTCGTCGGCGCAATCTGTTCTCTGCGGTGCCTCGCCCCTCGTCGCCGCCGCTCCCTCCTGAGCTCGCCTTCACTCTCCCGCTCAGAGGGACTCGCCTGAGCGTGAGCACACCCTCCTGAGACTGCTGCCAACAGCCACTCGCACCACGACCAGTCCCGACTCGGCAGACGCACCCTTCTCGACCCAACTCCCGCCGTCACCTCGAAGCGAACCCGCTCCTCACACCCGCCCACCCGCTTCGCAGGACCATCGCAGCGCGCGACTCACCTCAACTACATCCCAAAGCGCACACGAGCATCAAGGGACACCCTGTGAGTCGAGCGATGAAACGGGACCAGCGACGCGAGCCGGACAGGACTGATCAGTCCGCCCCTTGCAGGTTTCTCGCTCACGAGTCCGCGTGCGCAGGCTTGAAGGGAGCGTTTAGTTGAGGAGCACAGAGGGGAGCATATATGACTGCTGGAGAAGAGCCTGGGGGTGGGGACCATCCTTCTCCTCCTCGCGCCGCCTCTCCGACACCAACGCCCTCGACCTCCTCTCACCGTCCTCGGCCGCCTCCTCCCTCCCACTCCACAACCTCCACCCGTCCCCGCCCGCCTCCGTCCCGGCACACCTCCTCTCACCACTCTCAAATCCACCGCCTCCCGCCCTCACTCGAACACTTCCTCTCCCTCTACCCACACCCAGCATTCGCTCTCCGCGCTTCAGCGCTGTACGACGCGCTCGTCTCTCGCCGGAACCCGTACGCTCCGCAACCGACTTTCTTGGCGGGCGGGAACGAGGCGAGTAGTATTCCTGGGTATGGGGTTGAGGCGACCTCTGGAACTGGTTTGGGAAAGGAGGGGGAGGAGGGGGAGAGGAGGAAGAAGGGGAGCAAGTTGACTGCGCGGGAACAGTACGAAGGCGGTGTCGAGGACGAGAGCGATGGGAGCGGGGCCGAGGCAGAGTTGGCGCGCGCGATGGCCGCTACGACGCTCGTTGACGGCGGAGCGACGAGTCCTACTGCGGTGCCGGGCGACGAGAAGGAACTCGCGGCCGGCTCAGCGTCGGACGGATCGTCCATCTCGGCAGCCGCCTTCTCATCCGCCGCCGCCTCTGCATCCCTCGCGCCCCCCTCCTCCGCACGCTCGACACCCTCTTCCGCCTCCGCCTCCGCGTCAGCCAGTACCGACTCCTCCACCGCCCCTGCCCGCGCCTCTTCCTCAACCGGCACCGGCACAAGTACCCGTCAAACAGGCGGCACAGGCAGCGCAGGATCCGCAACCCCATCCGGCGTCGCATCCCGTCGCTCCGCAGACGCAGGATCCAACCTGCGCGCGCACGCTCGAGCCGAACGCATCCTCGCCGAGACGTTCGACGCATCACCTTCTTCTTCGTCAAAGGATTCGCACTCGAGCGGCGGGAGGAAAGGGTTGGTCGCGAGTGAGTTGTTGGAAGGTGGTGCGCAGAAGAGTCATGATCCGTCTCGGACGGCTGAGGGGGCTGTCAAAGCGATGTATGAGCAGCGCGCGCAGCGCGAACGGGATGAGAAGGAGCGTGAGGAGCGCGTGGCGGAGAGGGAGGAGGCGCTGGAGGATGAGAGGAGGGAGAGGGAGAAGAGGGAGTTTGAGGGGGGCGAGAGGTGGAGTTGGAGGAGGGAGATTGAGGATGGGAGGACGGCGGCGGCCGAGGGGAGTGTAGCCGGGACGCAGGCGGGTTCGAGTGGTGGTGCGGCGAGTACGGGAGCTGGGTCAGGAGGGAAGTCGACGAGTGGGTCGGGAGCGGGTGCCGGTCACGGAGCAGCGCCGGGCGCAGAGTCGTCGTCGAATCGAGGCAAGGGTCTCGCGCTGAGGGACCTCCTCACGCCCGTCTGGCGCAACGGCAAGTGGAAGGAGATGATGGCGATCCGCGAGGACGCCAAGACGCAGCGCTCGTCCGCTCGGATGCAGACCTCGGCACACGAAGCGGGCGGCGCCGGCGCTCCTCCGTTCGACAAGTCGACTTCGCATGGACCTGCGCCGAACGACCGCGATTCGGTCCAGGGCGACGAGGAGGAGATTGAGCTGATTGCGCTCCTGTCCCGCGCGGACGCGCAGGAGTGTCTCGCGATGCTTGCCAACGTCGTCGAGCCGCTCGATCCGTCGGCAAGGTCCGAGGAGCGCAGACAGCGCGAAGTCCCGCTCGCCCAGCTCAACCACACCGTCCTCCTCGAACTCAACTTTCCCGAATCGAGTATCTACCGCCACCCGCCCGGCTCCAAGTTCTTTCACCGCCACTCGAACAGCGACGTGCAGCACCAGTCGAGGGCCGAGTCGACGCCTACGCAGGGCGTGCCTTCGGTCTACCAGTCGATGCAGCGACGACAAACTTCTTCCGAGCAGCGCAGCGCGACGCATGCGCCTGGGACTCCTCCGGCCGTCCCGATCCTCCCGCGAAACCCGCCTACCGATCGTACCATGCCTGTCTACTCCCAGACGAACGCCTACCAGACACCGCTCGCGGGCTCGTCGTCCGACGGTCCGTCGCGGGGACCAGTCTCGTCCTCGACAGGCGTTGGACTCGGCATTCCCGGCTCGAATCGCACGTCCGTCTCGACAAACGCCTCGACCTCGCCTTCTCCCGGACCGAACGCGCCCCCCTCGAACCAGAACCCGGCAGTTCCGCCAGCACACCACGGCGTCCAGCAAGAAACGAACCTCCTCCGTCCGTTCCTCCAGCTCGTCGCGACGCTGCACGAAGAGTCGGACCTGGTCATTGTGACGAGTATTCTGGCGAACATGCCTCTGCCCGTGTCGGTCACGGGGTCGCCGGGTCAGAAGGAGCGGGAGCAGGAAGAGGAGAGGAAGAGGGACAAGGCGGTGAGGCGCGAAGAGAGGAAGGTTGCGAGGGAGGCGAAGCGGGAGGAGCGGGAGAAGGCGGAGGCAGATTCGCGTGAGGCGGAGCAGGACAAGAAGAAGGAGGAGCCGAGCGCCAAGGTTGACCGGGTCTCGCCCCTGCCGCTCCCGAGGGGGATGGTCGACGGAGTCGACGGCGGCGAGAACGGTGCCGGCTCGAACTCGACATCGGCTTCGAGCTCGCCTCGTCAGTCGTCGAGCAACAAGTCGACGCCGTCGACGTCGTCCGCGCCCTTCCCGCAAGGGTACAAGCCGTCGCGACCTCCACTCGCGCAGCGAGGCACGTCGTACTCGAGTCTGTCGGGTGCCTCGTCGTCCGGCTCGACCGTCATCGGCACAGCTCTCAACGCTCCACCCATCCCTCGACCCGCCTCGCCTCGCTCTTCGACAGACCCCTCGCCTCCGCGCAACCCGGATCAGCCACTCCCTCCCGCCTCTGCCGAACCGACGTACCACAGTCGTGGCTTGTCGGCTCCGCTCCAGACGCCCGCCATCTCGGACGAGCTGAAGGAGCTGTGGGCCGATATGGACCGCAGCGGGACGTTCAAGAACGAGCCTCCCGTCGGTTTCGTCGAGGAGAAGGAGAGTCGCGCCGCGATTCGACGACGAGGAGTTGGACCGTTCTCCGTCTCGAGTCAGCGCGACTACGACAACGAGGTGCGAGAACGGAAGTGGCAGCGGAGGGAGAAGAAGCGCGAGCGGGAACGGCAGCGGGAGAAGGACGAGCGCGATGCGGGTCGAGGGGAAGGCTTGAGCGAGCTTGCCGAGCTCGATGAGCCGATTGAGCACGAGGACGAGGATGGGAAGGCGCTCAAGCGCGAGCGGGAACGCGACCGCGAAGAGGGACCGGAGGACGAGGACGGCGTCCGTCGCCTTGACGAGGAGTCGGAGGATTCGGAGGACGCCGAGGATGGGGAGGATAGCGAGGATGGCGAGGACCACAACGATCTCGACCGCCTGCGACGGCAGACCCGGACAGGCTCGACAAGCTCGGCAGGTTCGGCGCACGAGCGAGAAGAGGCGCGACACGCGGCACGGGCGGATCAGCCAACGACGCCGCAGGAGATTGGGCCGTCTCGGTCCATCTCGCAGCAGCGCCTTCGGTCCGAAGACGCAGGATCCGCTACGGGCTCGCAAACGTCGAGCGTTTCGTCCGCCTCCTCTCGCGCCTCTCGAGTGTCGACCAGCGTTCACCCGCCCCGGCTCGCAGGCGACGCGGGCCTTGTCGTTCACGAGCTTCCTTCGGCCGCGGACGTCTCAGGCCGCACGAGCCATACCTTCGACGACCCCTTCCTCAACACCATCGCCCAGACACCCTGCGGCCGCCTCATCATCTCGGTCGACTGGTCGCGAACGTCTCTCGGTGCCATCACGACTTGGGGCGCCGAAGTTCGCTCGCACATCATGTCGATGCTTGCGTCGCCGTTCCACACGGCGATCTGGCTCGGCGAAGACAGCGTCCTCCTGTACAACGACGCCTACTCGCGCATCCTCGGACCGAGCAAGCATCCGGCTGCGATGGGCAAGATGGGCGCCGAAGGCTGGCAAGAGATCTGGGAGACGCTTGGCCCGCTCGCGGCGCAGGTCATGCTCGGCAAGACGATGAGCTTCTCCGACCACTGCAACTGCATCTACCGCAACGGCATGCTCGAGGAGACGTACATGACCTGGGCGTTCATGCCGGTACGAGCCTCAGATGCCTCGATCATCGGTTACACGGTACGTTCGCTTTCATCGGCCGCTGTCACACTTTTCGCGGGCCTCGGGCTGACGTTCGTGCGTTGCAGAACCCCTCGTTTGAGACAACGGCTCGAGTTATCGCCGAGCGACGCTTGGGCACCCTTCGCGAGCTCTCGCAGCTCACTCAGCTTGCCAGGACGACCAAGGGTACGTAGAGCGGCTTGTGCCCTTTGCCTCCGCCGCTGTTGACGCGTTTGGCGCCAGATTTCTGTACAAAGGCGCTACGCGGGATCGCCAGCAACCCGCTCGACCTCCCCTTTGCGATACTCTACTCGTGCGAGACGACGAACATGACTCCCGGGCGTCGCACGAAGGGCAGCGCCTCGACCGAGTCGAGCGGTCTCAAGCAGTCGTCGCAGCCGGGCGAGCTTGCACAGACGTCCACCGGCATGGACGGGTCCTCCACCGTCGCCCGCGTCCACCTCATTCTGCAGGGTGCAGTCGGAGTTCCGAAGGGCCACCCGTCTGCTCCCGCCGAAGTCGACGTCCTGATCGACACGCAGATCAGCCAGGACAGCAAAGCCGGCAAGTCGAACGCCTCCTCCGCGTCGACCAACTCGACGAACGAGGACAACTCGACTTCGACCGTCTGGCCGTTCGTCGAGGTGCTGCAGTCGCATCAGCCCATCTTCATCAGCGAGCTCGGCCAGCGATCGCAGGGCTTCGAACGCCGCGGCTGGCCGGACGACGTTCACCGCGCCGTGGTCATCCCGATCCGCGTTGAGGGCGCGGCGGTGCCCAAGGCGATCCTCGTCGTTGGACTAAACCCTCGGCGACCGTGGAACTCGGTTTACGCCGTCTTCCTCAATCTCATCACTCGCACGCTATCGACCGGCCTGCTCGGCATCGAGGTTGCGGAAGAACAGGCCCGCAAGAGCCAGGAACTCGTCGAGCTAAACGACGCGCGACAAGCGTTCTTTTCGAACGTCTCGCACGAGCTCCGCACGCCGCTCACCCTCATCCTCGGTCCACTCGAAGATGTCCTGCACTCCAAGGCGACGAAGCTCGACGTCGACGACCGCGAGAAGCTCAATGTCGTCCTCCGCAACGCTCACCGCCTGCTCAACATGGTCAACACGCTCCTGGACTTCAGCCGGCTTGAGAGCGGCAAGATGAACACCAAGTACCGCCCGACGCTTCTCGGGCCCCGAGTCGTCGAATTGTCGAACCTGTTCCGAGCGGCGATCGAGCGGGGCGGTATCGAGTTCAGCATCGACTGGACGTCGGACAAGTACGCGGAGTCGAACCCGTTCTACCTCTCGGACGAGATGCTCGACAAAATCATCCTCAACTTGTTGGGCAACAGCTTCAAGTATTGCTTGGCCGGATGGATTAAGGTCAAGGTCCGCTTCACGTCGAGCGAGGGCTTGATCTCGATCTCGGACTCGGGCGTCGGCATCAAGGAGGAGGACTTGGAGACGATCTTTGAGCGGTTCGCCCGCATCGACTCGAGTGCCCGTTCGTTCGAAGGCACCGGCATCGGCTTGTCGCTCGTCCTCGAACTCGTCAAGGCACTCGGCGGCAAAATCGACGTCGAGTCGAAGTTTGGATCAGGTTCGACTTTTACGTGCGTACTGCGCCAAAGTCTCCCTCCCGCCTTGGTTGCTGACCTCTGTCACCCTGCACAGAGTCCGGCTACCCCGCGGCTATGCGCACCTGCCGCAAGAAGCCGTCGACCACGAGCCTTACGAGTCGATGACTCTTCCTCCTCGAGCTGCCCAGAGTCTCGCCATCATCAACGACGCGGCCGCCTGGCGCACTGTCCCGAAAGACGGGCGCAGGCCAGACGGCGGCGCTGAAGGCGACTCGGACGGTGGCGCCGCGGAACGTCCCGCGGACTCGGCGAAATCCGTCTCCCCGACTCGTCGCGCCTCTGACCCAGAACCGGTCCCCAGCGTCTTCAACCTGGAGAAGCAATCGACAGTCTGCTTGGTGGTCGACGACAACGCTCAGCTGCGCGCTTTCATCAGCAATACCCTTTCGAAGATGTTCACGGTCGTCGAGGCGGCGAACGGTCGGGAGGCGCTCGACTACGCACTCAACCACCCCGTCTCGATTGTCGTTACCGACCTTGCGATGCCCGTCATGGGTGAGCAACGCTTGCTTCGTCTTCGCAGCGCAGGGCTTTGACTGACGGCCTTTCTCTGCAGGTGGTCGCGAGCTACTCGCCGCCCTTCGGAAAGACCCGAAGACGTCCCTTGTCCCGATCATCTTCCTCTCCGCCCAGGCCGGCTCAGAGGCACGCGTCGACGCTCTGCTCCTCGGCGCAGACGACTACATCGTCAAGCCGTTCCAAGCGCGGGAGCTTATGGCTCGTGTCAATGTGCGTGCATGCCTTTGCCCCTCTCTTCCGCACCTGCTGAAGCCGTGGTGTGCCCGCAGGTCCACCTCCAGCTCGGTCAGATGCGCAAGGAGCTCGAACGACGGGTCACGGAACGCACAGCAGCTCTGCTCGAAAGCGAGAAGAAGCTGAAGGAGCTGGCCGACCAGCACCAGACGCTCGCCCTCGTCTCGCCCGTCGGCATCTTCCAAACCGACCGCGAAGGCAACATGGTCTTCGTCAACCCACAGTTCTATGTCATCTCGGGACATCCCGAAGGCGTTCCTCACACCGAATGGCCGAACGACATCTGGCCTGATGACCGGCCCAAGGTCGAGAAGCTCTGGTCCGATGCCATCTCGAATTGGGCGCCCGACAAGCATGCATCGTTCGAGTACCGGTACAGGAAGGGCAATTGGGCGCAGCTCGAGATCCGCTCGTTTGAGAAGGGCTACATCGGCTCGATTGTGCGTTTCATCTCCCTCTCTCCTCCTCCGGCTCGTGCTGAGCAGACTTTCCCTGCGCAGACCGACATCACCCATCAGAAGGAAGTCGAGGCGTTCCACGTCAGCGAGGTTGAGCAACGAGCGCGCGACGCGGAGGAGAATCGCAGGAACACGGAGATGTTCCTCGACATGGTGCGTCGCCCTTATTCGGCATGGCCCTTCTATCGCGAGGCTTACGCTTCTTCTGCAGTCCTCGCACGAGCTCCGGAACCCGCTCAGCGGTGTCTGGCAGAACGCCGAGGTCGTGGCGGTCTCGCTCGAGAAGATCACGCAGTGGCTCGACGACCTGCGACACGGCGGCAAGACTCTCGACCCGCCGACGCTCGAAGAGATGCACGAGGAGATGCTGGAGAACCTCGACGCCATCGAGAGCATCCAGATCTGCGCAAGCCACCAAACCCGCATCGCCGACGACATACTCAACGTCTCGAAGCTCAACATGGGCTTGCTGACAATCAACGTTGCGCCCTTCGATCTCGTTGCGGCGGTCGGCGAAGTTGTCAAGACGTTCGAGGTCACCTCGCATCAGCAGCACATCCAGCTCAGCGTTCAGCGCGGCGAATCGCTCGACAAGCTCAAGGTCGACTGGATCGTCGCCGACTCGGGCCGCATCAAGCAGATCCTGTACAACTTCGTGCGTTCGCTCGAGGCTGAGGGCTCTGAAACGACGAGACTGACGCCTTGTTGGGCCGCAGCTCACGAACGCCCTCAAGTATACCGCCGACTCGCAGCGCAAGGCCGTCACCGTCCACCTCGATGCGTTCGAGACCGCGCCCCCGACTCCTTCAAACGCAATGCGGATCGCTTCGACGGACCAGTCTCTCGAACCGCCGCCCGACTGCGTGTGGTGCATCGTCGGCGTCGAGGACTCGGGCAAGGGCTTGACGTCTGAGCAGCTGAAGCTGCTCTTTTCGCGCTTCAAGCAGGCGAATCCGAAGACGGACCAGTACGGCGGATCGGGCCTTGGTCTCTACGTTTCGAAGAAGCTTGTCGAGCTGCACCGCGGCTTCATCGGTACGTATCTTCAACTCTTCGCTCTCGACCGTTCTGACGTGACGCGCTCCGCTTGCAGAGGTCGCCTCGGAGCCCGGCAAAGGTTCGACCTTCCGCTTCGCCATTCCTGCCTCTCGTGCCCCTCGTCCTGCCTCCTCCTCAGTCTCGCCGCAGCCTCACGGCCTCGCACTCGGTCCGAAGCGTCTCAAGCGGCCAACGAGCTCGAGCGGCCGCGCCCCGACCGCGGCGATGCAAGCTCTCGCTTCGGCCAGCGCGACTTCGCCGAGTCCTACGTCTTCGACCGGCTCGCACCCACTGAGGGTTCTCGTCGCCGAAGATAACCTTATCAACCAGAAGGTGCTCTTCCGCCAGCTGAAAAACGCTGGGTACGACGTCACGCTCGCGAGCAACGGCAACGAGGCGCTCAAGCACCTCGAGGAGGACATTGCGAAGGTGCGTTCTCTGCAGGAGCCTGCCGTCTCACCAGTACCTGACGCACGTTTGATTACAGCCACCCGCCGCTCAATTCGAGGTCCTCCTACTCGACATCGAGATGCCCGAGAAGCGCGGCGACGAGGCGGCGCAGATCCTGCGGCAGTGGGAGAAGGACGGCAAGACGTCGCGCCGCTACCCGATCGTCGCCCTCACCGCCAATGCTCGTGTCGCTCTTACCGATTCTTACCTTGCCGCCGGATTCGACGACGTGAGTACCCGCTCGCTCTCACTCTGTCCTCCCTCCCGCTGACCTTGTCCGCTTTGCCCGGCAGGTCATTACCAAACCTTACCAGCTCCAGGATCTCTTGACTCGCATCCGCAACCTCGTCAGCCCTACACGACTGCACCAAACGGCGTCGACCTAGTTTGATTCCCTGTTTCCCTTCCCTCCTGTTGTCTTTGCACGTCCCGCCGCGTCTGTATAGGTTTCCGCCTGTCGTCTTGGGTTGTCTGAATCATCGAGCATGGTCTATACACGCCACCAGCATTGCATTCGTTGTAACTCGCAGTCGATCCCGATTCCCTCGCCGTCGAGTGTCGCTCTTGCCTTCCTTCCTCTCACTCGCATGCCGCTGGTGCCGCCAGACAGGATGCTCAAGCTCACACCGCACCACGCTACGCACTCGCTCTTGCCTGCGATCCGCTCGTTCGCTGCCGATGCACCTTCATCGTTCCGCCCCGCCGACCTGCGGACGTGGTGCGCCTTCCTCCTCGCCCTCTGGAACGTGTGCAAGGCTGACCGCAGCATCTTACTAGGTACCTCGATCCAAAGACGGACCCGCTGCACCCGGCGATCCTGTTCTGCACGGGCATCTCGGTTGTTGTTTGGCTGCTGGGCGAGATCACAGGTGCGTTCGCGCTCTCCTGCTGGGTGGGAGCGGGTTGTGGGAGTTCTACAGGGGTCTAGCACCTCGCGCGGCTGTCCCCTGCCGTCCCAAACCCGCCTCGTCGCCCGCTTCTCCCGCTCCACCACCTTCCTCGGATGACGTACTGACCTGCCATCTCTCGCTCGCAGGCAACGTCTCGCAAGTCGACCGCCTCTGGACGACTCTGCCGCTCGTCTACTCGGCGCACTTCACGTTCTGGCCGTACTGGTCGGGCCAGGTCTCGCATGTTGCTCAACTCGACCACCGGATGCTCCTCGTCTTCGCGCTCCAGTGCTGCTGGAGCGCCAGGTTGACGTTCCAGTCTGCGCGACGCGGCTTCCTTGACCCGTGAGTACCGCCCTCGCGGACTTCGAGTGCAATATGCCCCGAATTGACATCTCCCCTCGTCCAGCCGCTCCGAGGACTACCGCTGGCCGCTCGTCCGCAAGGCAATCCCCAAGCCCGCCTTCAAGCTCCTCAACCTCGTCTTCATCGCCTTCATCCAGAACTTCCTCCTCCTCGCCGCCGAACTCCCGCAATACCTCCTCCTCACGCACTGGCAGTCCTCGTCCGGCCACATCTCGACCCTCGCCAAGCTCAAGCCTCATCACGCGTCGACCTCAACGGTCCCGCTCAACATCGCCGACGCTCTGCTTGCCGTCACTTTCATCACGTCGCTCGTCTTGGAGATGCGTGCGGACAACCAGCAGCAGACGTTCCAACGGTTGAAGCACGGAGCTCTCGACAAGCAGAGGAAGGGGCAGCAGATTACGGACAAGGAGAAGAAGGCGATTGAGCGTGGCTTCGTTGCCGAGGGACTTTGGGCGTGGAGCAGGCACCCCAACTTTGCCTGCGAGCAGACGACCTGGTACCTCCTCTACGCCTTCACTGTTCTCCCCTTCCTCCCCGTCACCCAGTCGTTTGCCTCGCACCCGATCTCGACTCTCCGCTACCTCCTCACGCCGTCCTTCCTCCTCTCGCACACTCAGAAGCTCCTCCTCAGCCTCTCCGACTCGCTACCCTCGCTCGATTCGGCCCTCACGTCGCTTCAACACCCGCTCGTTTACCTCCGCGCGCACTCGTCCCACCTGACGAACCACTCGTTCCTCCGCTCCGAGGCTGCCAAGGTTCACCTCGAGGCGCTTTCGGCGTGGAACACGATCAAGAGTGACGAGGGGCACTTGTGGAACTACTCGATCATCGCGCCTCTCACGATGAGCGCGTTGTTCTTCTCGAGCACGATGTTGACGGAGCAGATCAGCGCGAAGAAGTACCCGTGAGTCTGCCCTCCCCTCCTCTCCTTGGAGTCCTCTTCGCATTGCTGACTCCCACATGACAGTCTCTACAAGCAATACCAGAAGCGCGTCGCCAAGTTCTGGGCGCCCCTCACGCCGCTCAAGGGCATCTACCTCACGCTTTCCGGCGGACGCAAGAACCGCGTTGAGCGCCAGATCTGGGGCGGAGGACTCGATGGCGGGCGCAAGATCAAGCAGATTTAGGTGGTGCTCGCATTGATTGGCACAGCGGAAGAAGCGGAGAGGAGCTTGACGGAGGAAAGGGAAAGGACGGGGACGGAGGAGTTGGATCCCGAGGACGCCTTGATTGGAAACGCAATGTACAGAATCGTGTTGTGCTGTTCCTTTGACCGTCACAAGCCTCGCAGCGTCTCGCCGCTCGCCTTGAAGTCGTCCTTCCCAGGTTCTCCGCTTGTCCTCGACTCTCGCTCGCTCACACTGCTCTCGCTTGACCTGCTTCCTGTCGAAAGCCACTTCCTGTGTCGATCTGCGCACATTCTAGCCCTCGCAGCACCTTTCCGCTCACCGCTCTTCTCTGACGCACTTCGTCCGGCGAACTTCTGGCTTCTCCGCTTCACTCCTCCTGCTTTCCGGCTCGACGCCCACGCAGACGCCATGAGCTCTCAAGCTGCAGACACCCTGAACCCCTACACCTGCCGCTGGCGCTACTGCACAGAAGCGTTCTCCTCATCAGCCGAAGTGCGTTCCGTTCGACTGTCCTCGCTGCACACGTCGCAAGCTGACCTATCACGGCTCGCACAGCTACGAGACCACGTTATGCGACACGTCGACGAGTCGGAGCCGCAAAGGCCGCAGCCTGTACCGACGCAGGGAGGCGAGGTCAGCGAGGAGGACCGGCCAGGTACGTCGAGCAGTTGCTTCCACTCGGTCTGACGATAAGTTGGCGTGCGCTGACGCCCCTTGCGCTCACAGCACCTCACGGCGAGCAGAGCTTCCCTCAGTTGCGGGAAGGAGCGGTCCTGGAACCGGCGGACGGGCAGTAGCGAAGCGGTCTCTCGACGAATGTACTCATAAGCTGTGCGCACAATGACGGCGAGAGGACAGCTCATTAGTCGGTACCAAGGGGAGACGTCTAGATATATGAAGAGACGGACGCGTCCGCTACTGCTTCTGTTGATCCCGCAACCACTGCTCGAACGACTTGAGCTTCGGGAACTCCTGCCTGAGCTCTGCGATATCCGTCGAGTAGCCGACGTCGTGGAACCAGCGCATCATCTGCTTGAAGTCGTGCGGGATGAGCGCGATGACGGCGTCTGGCAACCATGCCTTCGAGACGCGGCGGCTGAGGACACGCGAGTAGGTCTGCTGGACTTCGCGCATCGTGAGGGAGTCGCTGGCGAGGTCGACGTGACGGCCGGCGAAGCGAGACGAGTCGTTGAGCATCTCAGCTGCGACGTAGCCTGTGCGAAGCGAGCGTCAGCGCGTGCTGCTAACGAGTTTAGGAGCGTCGGAGGCGCACCAATGTCGTCCGTTGAGACGAGCTGGAGCTTCTTGCCCTTGAGCGCGGCGTCGAAGAAGCCGAGCGCCATCGTGAGTGCAAAGCCGCCCTCCGTCGGGTACTGGGAGCAGCAAGAAAGTCAGCAGCATGCTCTTCCTGCTCAGAGTGAAGCAAGAGGACGCACATTGTCGGCAAAGGCGACTGGCGCGACGACAGCGTACCGCAAACCGCTCGTCTCGAGCGCCTCCTCGATGATCGCCTTGGTCTCGAAGTGAGGGATGCCGATCGTAGGTGTAGCGTTGGCGACAGACGAGAAGACGAGGAACGGGAGTGAGGCGCGTTGAGCAGCGGCGATGAAGTTCTTGCCTTGCTGGTCTTCGGTCGGCTGGCCTTTCGTCGGGAGAGTCGTGACTGTGCAGGTCCAGAGAGTGAGCCCTGCTTCGTCGCGCAACTCAACGGAAGCTGAACGTACCAAGGAAAGCGGAGGCGACGCCGACGAGCGCATCATCGAGGCTGGCGGAGTCGGTTAGGTCGCCCTTGACGACCTCGATGCCCTGGTCCTTGAGCTTCTGCGCGGCGGGGGAAGACGGGTTGCGCGAGAGGGCGCGAATCTGAGGCGGATATGGGAGCGCTTGGAGGGCGCGGACGACGGCTGAGCCTTGCTTGCCGGTCGCGCCGACGACGAGCGTGACGGGAGAAAGGGCGGGCATCGTTGCTGGTTGAGCGGGCGAGTGGGAGGGGCCGGGGAGAGAGTTGAGAAGGGTGTGTCGAATGAAGGAAGAGAGTGTAGCAGCTCGTCTGCGCCGCCTTAAAGCGATTGAAACGCTCTGTCATCCTGAGTAAGCGAGTCGGGGAGAGGGAAGAGGCGAAGCCCGAGGAGTGAGAGAGCGGGCGGGCAGCGGTGCGGCGGGCTTCACCAAGTCAGAAGAACTGCTCGCGACGTCAGCAAGTGAATCGAGCGCATACGAGGGCGTGATCAGCCGTCGAGAGGGTCGGTGGTAGGAGGGAAGACGAGGAAGTCGTCGGTAGCCATCGCCCCCGCGACCTGGCGCCGAGTGACAGCACTCATCGCTTCAGAACCACTTGCTAGCCCTCTACCCGTGTCCTACATCGCCCCAGCATTCGTCTACACCGACTTCTGTCCCGCGACTGATGAGGATTCGAGGAGGGCGAGGAAGGGGGGAAAGGTTGTTGAATGGTCGCGAAGCGGGTTCTCCAGGGTCAGAAAGTCCATCAGCGAGCGACTGTTGACTTCAAGCAGCGCTTAGAGCGGTGAGAGCGAGTTGTCGAGGTCAGCTCCTCGTCGTCCCCTCCTTCGCCTCGAGTACAACCACTCGCACGCTTGTTGCGTGGCTGGGACTGCTTGCGACTATTCAATGGAAGTGTTCGAGCCGAGACACAGGCCACGAGCGATAGCACAGGCACATCTGCATGCTGGCGATGTGCCTGTGCTCGTCCTCGAATTCGCATGCTCCGCGGACTCTCCGTTGACAAGGCTGGTGTCTCGTATCTCGCCGAGCTGTTCCTTCCTGTTCGACCTTCCTCTGCTTGACGGCCTGCTCTCACAGACTACCAGTCATGAGTCACGAGGATGCAGCGCACCTTCCAGCAGACGACCTGCCGCTCTTCGCGTCAGGCAGTCCGGCCGTCGCTCTCCAGACGCAGAGCTGATGAGCGGAACGCCCGCCGGCAGCATTCTGCCGGTATGTTCCCGCGCTAAATCGAAGCTTCGGCGCTGCTGACAATCCACCCCTGAGCCGCAGCAACTCAACGATGTACCGTCCGGTAATCTAGTGAACAATGATGGACACGAAGCGACAGTGCGGAGGATAGCTCAATATACGGCTGCGGACCGTGGCTGACGATGCCTGTCCGCAACAGTTCAACGACGCTGCGACAAAAGTGCTCCACCGCATGCATGTCGACGACGACATCAGGGCGCATCTGCTCGGCCGGTTGAGCCTGCTCTCACCGGTTGCGAAAGACGCCACTGGTCAGTCTTGGCTCTTTTCCTCGTGTGGGATGCGTCCGCTGAGCTCAACGGGGCGTTACTGTCGCAGCCTTCGCTCGATCGGATCCTCGTCAACGCCGAACTGGGAGGACGCTATCTCCAGCTTCTCCGGCACTTCCACACCGCCGTCATGCCCAGCGCTCCCAACGAAATCGACCGGCGCCGGCAGGAATTCCAGGAGTCCGTCCCGTTCTCGTTCTTCGCCTCGCTCCCGCTCGACCTAATCGACGCTATCGCACGAGAAACCGTCCGTCCTCGACAAACGACCGAACTCGTGCGCCGTCCTTCCGTTGCTTGCGACGTCTGTCTACTGATACGCTGACGATTGCTCGAGACCAGCTGCACGCCGAATCGATTCTCCGCTACGCCGTCCTCGACGTTTACTCGAGGAAGATTGGCGAGATCCTCTCGCTCTTCACGCAAGACCAGACGAAGCGCAAGGCACTCCAGCAGTGGCGTGACGAGTACCTCGAGGCGTTCGAGGATGCGATGCGGACGAGCTGGATCGGTGTCGGACCGCCGCAGGAACACCGTTCGAGGGTCTGGAGCTCCGGGGCTGTTCAGCAGTACTGGCTGCGCTACAAGGGGGTCGTGCAGACGGATTGGGCGCGGCTGGATGCGGATTGGGTTCGGCTCGTGACGCTGTTCTGCGACTCGAAGAGGTTGCCAGGGATCGAGGCCGTGGTGCGTGCGACGCATCGTCATCCGCTGTTCCGTGGGCCGCCGAGTAACAATACTGACGGCAATCCCTGCACAGCTGCCCATACACTCAATGATATACACACTCGTACGGACGGATTGCTTCGTCCCCGTCTATCGACCTCCTGACTCATGCTTGCTCGCACGCAACAGCACTCTGACGTGCACTCCCTCTCTCGCATCTCGCTTCGTGCTGCGCGGCGGTACGGGACAACTCAGCGTGCGTGGGTGGCGGAAAGGGCATCGAGGGCGTTCTAAAACGGCGGCTTCCTCTCCCTCTGCATCCCCTCTTTCTCTCCCTCTCACGAAACCCGGAAGAATGTAACACTCGAGCTTCGTTCAGCATCACGCAGAGGTTTCCACGGCGAGCTGAAGCTTGCAGGCGGAGCGCTCGACCTTCGCAACTCGCTGTTCAGTCGCATGTCGCCCGCTAATTTGTCGCTCGCTCCGCATCGAGTGCTGAAGCGCGCTGTTTCATCAGCACACGCAGCTATCGCCCTCACCCGCTCCACCCCTCAATCGCTTCGACCTCGCCTCCGCCGCCCTCGCCTCTGCCGCCCTGGCCCTCTCCTCCCTCATGACCCTCATCTTCTGTTCCTCACTCCAACCCCGCCCTCTGGTGTTCCCTAACCGGTTAGGACGGACCCCTCCCAGCCTCGTTGATCCACCCGAAGAGGAGGATGAGGAGGAAGCCGCAAGTTCACTCGCTTGAATTCTCCCTCATCCCCTCCTCTGCCTTTCATTCCTTCCCTTCCCTTTCTCCCTCTCCTTTACCTTCGCGCAATGTTTACGCGCGTCTCCTCCTCCCTCCTCTATCTCTCTTCCTCTCCGGCTCCTCGTCCAACCCGCCCGGCATGCGGGCCTGTCCACTCCAGTCCTCCTACAGGCCTTGCAGTAGACTACGAAGCCAGCCGGTAGCATGTTTGGCCGAGATCACGTGTATTGCTTAGCTCGGAGCGGTCGAGGAGGAGGTGGAAGGCAGACGGTGATGGTCGGAGGGCGAGGGTCGAAGGGTGAGGGTCGGGACAGGCGGTGTAAGTCGACTCGAGGAGTACCTTTACGAGCGCCCGCGCGCATGCCGCGAGAGCAGTAGCCCCGGCGTCGTACGCGCCTCGCACCGACTAGAGAGGACAACAAGCTCTACCTCCCGATGACCTCCTCCGCATGGACGGACAAAAGAGAGACCAAGCTTGGAGCATACTTGTCTGCGCATTTACCACATGCGTCGAGTCGTCCTAGGCGAGTAAGCCAGTCTGCGAGAGGGGAGAACCAAGCTGATCCAATGCCCTCGGTAACCGGTGGAAGCAGCGGGTTCGTGAACCCCACGGTGGATCGAGAGTCACCGTGGGTAGTGAGCGTAAGCATAGCTGAGCTCGACTCGAAGCTGTCGAGAGTCGCGGCGGGAGGAGGTACAGCGACAACGGGTCGACCGTAGCTGTCGTCGCAATCTCAGGCTGGGCGACTCTCGCCACCGTCACACACATAGCCTGACATCCGTTGACCAGCCCTCGAGTTGCCTCAGCGCCTGTCTCCACCGACTTCTGCCCTCCGACTGATGAGGATACGAGAAGGGCGAGGGAGGACTGCCCACGGGTTGGCCGAGGGCGATGTACACTCGGAGGGGCCGTACGATCGTTTGCATGCAGCTTCGAAGCCTTCAACAGCATTCAGCGCGGCGTGAGTGAGCTGTCGAGGCCAGCTTCTCCAGCTCCCCGTCCTTCGCCCCTCCGCCACCTCGTTCACAGCCGCTCAAGCGCTGCCTGAGCTTACGCACTTGCGAAGAATCCCATCTCCAATGCAGCCGCCATGGCTTTGAGCTTACAGCGACACGCATGCTTCTCCAACGCTCCCTCCTCTTCTTCGAATTGAATGGGCGAGCGCCAACGCTACCGATGCGTGCTGGCCTCGGCTGACATCTCGAGGAGCGTGACGCCCATGCCGGTAACGCGCTGGACGCGCTCCGAGCAGGATCTCCTCGACACCCGCCTCGTCCGCGGACCCTCCGCTGACGGCGCTCCTTCTCTCGCTTTCTTCTCCTCCGCCAATCCTCCGCCTTAGCTTTACTGCCCAACAAGTCGACATTCAATGGCTCACGATCGCCGCCCGGCACCACCTCTCGTCGTCGCTCTTGGCGGCCCTGCCCAGGCTCTGGCGCCTCTCCTCCTGAACGGCTCGGTCAATCCGTTCCCGTCAGTCGAGGATGTACGAGCTGATCTGGAATGCCTGAGACGAGTCGCCCGCGTGCGCGGCCTCGAGAGGGAGCTGCACAACGAGCTTGAGGCGTGCCATCGCCGACTCGACGAATTGGGACGAGTCTGGATTCCTTCACGGCTGGCGGTAGCGCAGGATGAACTGCTCGAGCTCGTTCTCCTGGTCATGAACTCTCGAGGCGAGCACGACCTAGGCGCTGAAGGAGTGCGTTTTGTTTCCAGCTTGCAGACTCGTACATCCCGCTCCGGATCTTACTGACGCTTCGTCTTCGCTTTGACAGGCGCTGAGGGACGTGTTGTACCGGCCAGACATGTTTCTGCACCAGCGGGGCAGACTCGTACGCTCGTAGTTCGGTCCGAGGCCGTCAGATCCGCCCCACTGACACTTGACCTGAGCAGACGAGAGCTCAGTTCGAAGAGGTCTTGTCGCGGCTGTCTTTGAGTGGCTTCGACAAGCCAGACCTGAGGATGGCGGTCGAGCCGCTGACGGAGCACGCGAAGGAGGCGTTGTTCGAGCAGCTCAAGTACCTCGACGAGTCGGTACCCGGCCACCGCCTGGTGAGTACGGCGACTCTGCGTCTTCCTCAGCATCTTGGCGACATTGTCCGCCAGTCAGCGCTGACTACGAGCCGAACCTCCCGCAGCCTCCGCCAATGACCGTCCTCGCTCACGCCGAGATCGGCGGCAAGTACCTCGAGCTCGTCCACGGCGTGCGCAACAAGATCAAGTCTAGCGAGCGTTTCAGGGAAGGCGCTTTGATGCGCGACTTCCAGCAGGCCTTGCCCTTCACGTTCTTTGCGACGCTGCCGTTGGAGTTGATGGACGCGTTGACGAGAGAGGGGACGTCTGCTCGTGCGGGTTCTTACCTCGTGGGTCTCCTTCTCTCTCTCTCAGCTCGCCCGAAGCGCACAAAGGACTAAATAACGAGATTGGGCTTTCGCAGCGCAACGCGACACTGCTCCTTCGCGAAGCCATCCGCTCCGTCTACAGCCGCAAAACAGTCTTACTCGTCCGACTCTTCCACCTCGACTCCTCCACATTCGAAGCTTTCACAAGCTGGGCCAAAGAGTTCCGAGAATCGGTCGGCCAGAGGTTGCCGCAAGCCGAAGAGGGCGGAAAGATTCCGCTGGTGTACTGGCAGGAGGTTGGGGATGTCGTGAGGGCGGATTGGAAAGCGTTGGAGAAGGCGTGGGAGTGGGTTGTCGAGCAGTTCTGCGAGTTGGGACGCTTGCCTGGAGATGAGGAGCTGGTGTGTCTTTGCCTCCCTGGTCCGGTCCTCGTTCTCTCGCTTCCCTTCTTTCCGCTCACGCCCTCTCTTCGCCTCGGCAGCTCAAACTTCACTCTCACCTTCCTGGCTCCGTGCGTCGCAGCCCCTCCTTTTTTTCCCTCTCTCCCGTCAACAAGCTGATCCCTCTCTCTCGACAGCAGCGCCGTCTCCTTACCTCCCATGCCGACATGCACTCTCTCTCCCGTATTTCGCTTCGTGCAGCGAGGTGGTACGGGACGAGTCAGCGGGCTTGGGCGGCGCGGATGGAGGGGAGGGGACTTTGAGCGAGGGACAGACAGGCGGCTTGCGCCTGGGCTTTGTGTAGAGGGTATGGACGCAAGGCAGGAGCTTTCTGCGGTCTCGGGTACTCCAGCGTCAGCAATTTAGCCCGCAGCGAGAGGAAAGAGAGCTTCGGACTCTCTCCAGCTTTGCTCGGCCTGCTTTTCCTCGCTTCGAGGCGCCATCTCAGCGAGCCCACCACAGCACGATGTAGGTAATGTCGAAGGTCTGGTTGCGGATGTGACTACATACAGGATACAGAGGGAAAAGGCGAGGCGAGAAGTGCGAGGTGGAAGAGGCTCGGAGGTCGCCATCTATCCCTGGCGCTGTTCCCCGATGGATCGCGAGTATCAGCGCCTGCTTCTGAAGCCGCACTAGTGCAGTCTGAACTCGCTCGAAAGCCGGGACAAACGCACCTGCTTGTGCTTGGGGTTGAGGTCGCATAGGATGAACAAGACGCCCTGACGCCTGACGCTCTTGCACCCGCTGCACAGCTTCTTCACCGAGCTCCTGACCTTCATGCCCCGCTCGCCTGCGACGGCGTTGGCAGCCGCCGCTGTCGGCCTCACAGGCGCGCCGATGATTCCACTCGAGCCTGCGATAGTCCGGGGCGCACAGCGCGCGCAGCCGCAGCCGCGCGGGTGGCTCGCTGCGTTTGAGCCGGCGACGCTGGCAACACCACGGGAAGAAGAGGAGGGCTGGGAGGGAGTAGGGACGGTCGAAGTAGGCGCAGTGCGAGGGGCGCAGCGGGGGCAGGTGCAGCGAGCCGGGTGGGATGCGGGGGTGAGGAGGGTCGAGAGAGGGCGTGCGAGAGCGTGCTTGTGGGCGGCAAGGGCCCGCACGAGCGGTGTGGAGCGGGTGAGGGCGTGCATCGTCTGGCCGGGGAGGAGGACAAGGTCATCAGCGAGAAAGGCTCGCGCGCGGCTGGGACTTGCACGTGGTGCGAGAGACGCTGTTAAGAGAGTCAGTAGTGATACTCACAGTGCTCCTGGCCGGGTGTGAGTGGTGAATCGGAGGGATAGCGCCGCCTCTCCATTGGCCTCATCCTGGTCGCCACCTTTCGCCGTCGAACAGCTCGCTTGCGTGTGGTGTTGTCTGGTTCCGCGACTCGCACAGGCTAGAGCACACCCACACACCCTGCCCACCATGCTCCGCCTCTCGCGGCGCATCCCCGCCAGCTCGCGCAACCCCCTCGCCCTCCTCGCCTCGTCCCGCGCCATCCACGCAACGAGCAGGGCCAGCGCAGACGTCACGCTCGAGATTGACGGCGTACCGGTCACTGTACCCCAGGGAACCGCACTCATCCAGGCGTGCGAGAAGGCCGGTTCGTCCCCCTCGTCCTCCCTCATCGCTTTCGGCTCGAGGCAATTCGCTGACCGCGACTCTGGTGCACGCTGGTAACAGGCGCCACCATCCCCCGATTCTGCTACCATGACGTGCGCGCCCTTTCCCCCCGGCGTCAAGTTACCCGAACCTGCTCTCCCTCTCCTGAGAGTTCGGGTTCGGCACGGGGGAAGACAAGCACTGACGCAATTCGTTCGCTCCATGCAGCGCCTGAACATCGCCGGCAACTGCCGCATGTGCCTCGTCGAGGTCTCGCCCGGTCCCCCCAAGCCTCAGGCTTCCTGCGCTCTCCCCGCCATGTGCGTTCGTCTTCGAGGAGGGCGCTAGGGTCTCTCGCCTTGAGCCTTCCTGCTGACCCTGCTGGTCTCTGTTGACGTCGCGCAGGCCTGGGCAGAAGGTCAAGACCAACTCGCCGACGGTGCACAAGGCGCGCGAGGGCGTCATGGAGTTCCTCCTCGCCAACCACCCTCTCGACTGCCCCATCTGCGACCAGGGTGGCGAGTGCGACCTGCAGGACCAGTCGATGCGGTACGGCTCGGACCGGACGCGGTTCCACGAGATCACGGGCAAGCGCGCGACCGAGGACAAGAACCTTGGCCCGCTCATCAAGACGTCGATGAACCGCTGCATCCACTGCACCCGCTGCGTCCGTTTCGCAAACGAGGTTGCCGGCGTTCAGGACCTCGGCACGAGCGGCCGCGGAAACGACATGCAGATCGGTACCTACATCGAGAAGACGATCAACTCGGAGATGTCGGGCAACGTTATCGACCTGTGCCCCGTCGGAGCGTTGACGTCCAAGCCGTACGCGTTCGAGGCTCGCCCGTGGGAGCTCAAGAAGACCGAGTCGGTCGACGTCCTCGACGCTGTCGGCTCGAACATCCGCGTCGACTCGCGCGGCCTCGTCGTCATGCGCGTCGAGCCCCGCCTCAACGACGACATCAACGAGGAGTGGATCTCGGACAAGACCCGCTTCGCGTACGACGGTCTCCGCACCCAGCGCCTCAACACCCCTCTCGTCCGTGTTGGCGACCGCTTCCAGCCCGTCACCTGGCAGAACGCCCTCGGCGCGATCAAGGACGGCCTCGCGTCGTCCGGCGCAAAGGGCAACGAGATCCAGGCTGTTGCCGGCTCGCTCGCCGACTCCGAGTCGCTCGTCGCGCTCAAGGACCTCGTCAACCGTCTCGGATCGGACAACACGGCTCTCGACCAGCCTCTCGGCCAGGCTCCGCCCGCACACGGTGTCGATCACCGCGCAGCGTACACCTTCGGCTCGTCCATCGCCGGCGTCGAATACGCCGACCGCGTCTTGCTCATCGGCACTAACCCTCGCCACGAGGCTGCGATCCTCAATGCCCGCCTGCGCAAGACCTGGCTCCGCAACGAGACCGACTGCGCCCTGATCGGCGAGCAGTTTGACTCGACTTTCGGCTACGACCACCTCGGCGCGGACGCCAATGCTGTCCGTGATGTCTTGAGCGGCAAGAAGGGCGACTGGGCCAAGCAGCTCAAGGAGGCCAAGCGCCCCATGATCATCGTCGGCTCGGCCGTCACCGAGCACGAGGACGGCGCAAAGGTCTTTGCCGAGGTCGCCAAATTCGTCGAGGCCAACAAGGACAAGTTCGTTACACCCGAGTGGACTGGCTACAACGTCCTCCAGCGTGTGAGTGGCGCGCGCTCATGCGTTCCTGCCGTGACCTGCTAATGCCGTCTCACCCGCAGGCCGCCTCGCGGACAGCTGCGTACGACATCGGCTTCGTTCCCTCCGCCTCGGCGGGCAAGACCAAGCCCAAGTTCGTCTACCTCCTCAACGCCGACGATTTCTCCCCCTCGTCGATCCCGCGCGACGCCTTCGTCGTTTACCAGGGTCACCACGGCGATGTCGGTGCGCAGTACGCCGACGTCGTCCTCCCCGGCTGCGCCTACACCGAGAAGAGCGTCACCTGGGTCAACACCGAGGGACGCACTCAGCTCGGTCGCGCGGCTGTCCCCCCTCCCGGTGCCGCAAGGGAGGACTGGAAGATCATCCGTGCGCTGAGCGAGGTGTTGGGCGAGACGTTGCCGTATGACGACACGGGCGCGTTGAGGGACCGCATGTGGGATGTCTCGCCGACGCTCGTGCGGTACGGCGAGCTCGAGAAGCCGAGCAGCGTGTTGGAGGCGGTTCAGGCGCTGAGGAAGCAGGGTGAGAGGGAGGCGGGCAAGAGGAACGGGCTTGGCGGACGGAAGGGCGAGTTCAAGAAGTTGTTTGACAGCTTCTACAGGACTGACCCCGTCAGTCGGAACTCGGTTACGATGGGACAGTGTGTAGTGCGTTGCCGTCCTTCCTGCCCCTCGCTACGAATTTCGCTGACCATTTCGGCTGCTTCACCCGAGCAGAAGACGTTCGAGCAGGGCATCGACGGCGTCGAGAAGCCCGTCATCGGCGACGACGGCATGGCGCAGGCTGGCCACCACCCTGCACGAGCGTAGACATCGTCCATCGTCGAGTAGACCTCTCCCTTTCTTCGTTTCGTCTTCCCGTTTCCTTTCCCTATTTCGGCATGATTAGCGCTGTCTGAAAAGCGATTCTGTACACATTCCGCACGCTCTGTGTCCCCTGCGAGCCTTCCGCTCCGCTCACGTTGACGAGAAGGGGCGCCGCTCCATTGCTTGTCCTCCTCACGCTCGCACGCTCATGACGCTGGATTCTCGGCCGCGCTCGATAGACGCTGTGACTCGTGCTTGCTATGCTCGCGGGCTGCCCAGCCCTACAGTGCGTTCTTCGTCGCTGTGTCGGGTGGTATCGAGTGAAGACTGATGAAGATCTCACAGTGGGTATCGCTCGTGAGGGATACTGCGCAGGCGCAGGAGCTCCCGAAGGAGGATGCAGAGCGCGACATCACCCGTACGGACCACCTATGCTCGAGGGAAGCGGGACTTGCTCACCTTTCCTCCCGAACAGACTCGCTCCTGGTCCTCCTCGCCAACAGCCCTTTTCCACCTCCATTGCTCGCTCAGTACATACAGACAGCCCTAGGAAGTGCAGCCCTAGCGCGACCAGGCTATGTCGCGAGCATTATCGCCTCACGAGTACCCGCTCTCGCCCTTCCTGCCGCCGAAGTCGCCTTCTCCGCCATCAACCAGGCCCTCGCTTCTGCGCCTTCACAGCCTTCTTACCCCTCCGACACGCCGGCAGAGACCGCTCAAGCCGTCGAGCTCGTCCTGAATTCCCTTCTTCCCCTCGTCCTCTCTTCCCCCACTTCAGCCCTCGAAACGATTCGCTACCTCTCCTACTTCCTCTCGCATCTTCCTCACCGCCTTACGAAGGATACAGTTGATGCAGAGCAGCTCGAGATATGCGCGAAGACGGTACGGACCGCGGTCGAGGCGGTTTCGAAAGTTGGGCCGAAGGACGCGCCGGTGCTGGCAAAGCTCCGGCACGAACTGGAGGCGCTCGAGAGGAAATTGAAGCCGAGAGGGCGGCGGAGGGTCCCGTCGAAGGTTGATTTGGACGAGGCGGATGAGCTGGAGGCTTTGGGGACTCCGTACGGAGACGTCGCTTTACTCGTCTCGCGCATGGTGCGTCACGTTCTTCCCCTACCACGTCGACGAAAGCTGACTCGTTCATTCCTCCAGCTTTCGAACCCTTTGATTCCCACTCAGCAACTCCATTCTTCCCTCCTCGCCTTGATCCGCTATCGAACCGCCCAGTCGACCTTTCGCAAGTCGACGCCGGAGAAGGCACTCGTGCACCTGCTGGCAGAAGTGCTCGGCGGCCTGATACAGACGTTGCAGGATGCGAAGCGGGCAGATGTGGTTCTGGAGAGCTTGCTGTTCGCCAAGGTAGGCTCATGCTTGCTGTTGCGAGATGAGCATGCTGAGCGATTATTTGGCAGGTCCCACACGTGCTCAAGAGCTTATCGACCGTGGACGGGCTGGACAAGCTATCCGAGGCGTTGGCGGACGCTCTCCGCCTGGTGCAGGGGCGGCTAGCGAAGGCTATTAGCGAGGGCCGAAGGGACATGGACAGGTGCGTCCAACCTCCGCTCCTGCTTAAGCTTCATCTGATTCGCCTCGCAGCTCGGTCCCCAGCGTCTTCAGCCACTTTGTCGCCGCATGCTGCCAGTCCGATCTCCTCCTCCCCGACATCGGCGCCAGTCTCGCTCGCGACGTGGACGTGAGCGAGCTGCAGCCTACTATGGTGCGTGCAGTCGCATACGAGATCCGGCTTTGGCTCACGCCGTTCGTCTATAGATCGAGGACTACCACCACCGACTTGCGACCGGATCTATCGACGACTTCAAGCAGGTACTTGACGATGCCGTGCACTCCTATGCCGCGCAGCACGCCATCGCTTCGGCCATCACCTCGGTAAGGGTCGAAGACGGAATTAAGTGGGTATGCCGCGCTGACGAGTCCCGCTCGCAGCTCTTTGCGGCGAAGGCGCAATCAGCGGATCTCGCAGGTCTCGCGGATCTGTGCGATACGCTCGCCGAGAACAAGGATGCCATGTCGGTCGTCTTCCTGCATGTGGAGCCGCGTGAGCTATTGCGACCAGTCCGACAAGTGCTAGACTCGTTCGACACGACGCAGGAGAACTCGGGTGCGTCACCATCGCATACCACCTCCGTCTCAAGCTGACGGAGCCTTTGACAGACGACGTCAACCCTATCGAGCGGTACGGAAGTCTCGTCCTGTTTGTCCAGCTCGTAGTCAGCCGCTTCAAGGTGAGTCTGCGGGTCCTCTGATTCATCGCCACCCGTGCTCACCCGTATCGCCGCAGCTGCTCGACAACCTCGCATACCATCTCGACTCGTCTTCGAGCTTTATCGCGACGTGGCTGCCTTGCGCCTCGGCCGTGTACGCCACCTCGACGATGATGGACGACGAGCGGAATGCTGTGAGCGGATGGATCGGCGCATTGTTTGGCGAGGGCATCTCCGACGACCTCATGCAGTGCGTCCACTCCCGCGACCTGCGATCAGTTAATGTCGCTGACCGACGATTTCTTCCAGCGCAACGAACCCTCGAACCCTGCTTCGGGTCGCCCCGACGATTCTCAAGCAGTCGCTCAAGGCCCGACAAGCCGGCATCGTCGACATGGATAGCCTGCGAGATGCGCTCTCGTACTTTCTGCAGGAACTGCTGCGCTTCACTTTGCCGGGCGTCTTGAAGTGGTTGATTACCGAGATTGAGCGAACGCCGTGCGTCCCGCCCTGCGCCCTCGGAAGGCATCGCTGACCGCGCCAAGCTTCTCTCACAGTCCCTCGCCTCAGCAGAATTCGATGCTGGACCTTCTGCAGGTCCTCGTCTTTTCCGACGCTCTTCCCTCAGCCGTTCTCGAGCTGGTCGCCCTCGACCTCGCCCGCCTCCTCCTCAGCCCCACCTTTGCCTCGAACGTTTCTCCAGCCGTCGACATCGCACGACTACGCAAGACCATCGCGCCTTACCGACCGCCGCCGCCTGCGATTCAGGCGACCATCGTCGACGAGCACGCGGCCTTTGAAGCTGCGAGCAAGCCTTTTCTAAGCGGGGCTCAGGCTATCGAAGGCGAAGAACTGGTCGTGGTCGCGATCCCTTCCCTCTACGATTCCCTCCGACTCTCCTTGCGCACCGCCAAAACGCCTTCAATTTTCTTCTCCCGCACCTTCCTCCCACAAATCTTCTTTCGACCCCAAGCGAACGGCGAGCACGTTACTCCGGGAGCCTATAGTCGTCGCGAACGCTACGCCGCGGCAGTTCTCGCCGCGCCCGACTCGAACAATCGACCGCTAGTGGTCAACATCGTCTGGGCCCTCACGCCGCAGGATTTGGCCGAATGGGACCGGCGGTTGCTGCCTGCAGGAACAACGGACGGACTCGTCGGTGGCGAGGCCGAGCGGATGCAGGTCGAGTTGCTGGGCGACGCGATCGCGGGCGCAGTCGTGCTCGTCAAGGGCGAAGCAGAGGCGTCTGCGACCCCTTCCTCAGCACAACACTTGAGTGCGACGCTGGACGAGCTGGCAAGACGTGTCGAGGAAGTCCGACGTAGCCGCAAGTCGAGCACCGCGGATGTGCAGGACGAGGAGAAGACGACCGCGCTGGACGCCTTCCTAGACCGCCTGCTCAGCTGGCCAGCTGTCGTAGAACACTCTCCTAGGTTATCAGCTCTCGCGGCGGAATAGACTGTAAGCGAGATGATCGATTCCAGCGACTTCTGTGGTGGCTGGAGAGATGCGAGTAGCGATTTCTACACGAAAAGGTTCTGAGAACTCCCCTAGTCCGAGCCCCAGTCCGTCCATTCAAACGGTGCGGGAGGATCAGCGATGGGTCCCGTCAACAAGTCGGCGTCGTCGCCTCCTGCTGCCGCTTCACCTCCCGGTGCCTGCGTTGCTGCCGCTCCCGCTCCAGCCGTGTCAATCGCCTTGAGGACCTCGAGCTCGTGGAATTCGGCCGCATCGCCAGGCTTGGTGTCGCGCATGAGGAGGATGCCGCCGCCGAAGCCGACCGGAGGCGCCGACCGTGAGCTCGTGACGGAGCTGAGCGACGCGGGTGTTGGCGCCGAGCCGCTGTTGACTGGTCGGACGGGGACGTATCGAGAGTCGGAGGGGAAGGAGACGTATTGGAGCTGGGCGGGTGTGACGCGGGAGAGGTTTTCCAGGCGGGACGACGAGGGTTCGGGCGCCTTTCGCTTCGTCTGGTCCTTCTTCTTGTCCTCGCCGGCAGCCTCGTCGATCTTCATCTCGGCATCGTCCGTCGACTCGGCAGGCTTTTCCTCCGCCTTGTCGTCCGTCTCCATCGCCTCCGTCTTGCCCTGCTCCGCCTCCTTCGCCTTCGCGCGCGCCGTCACCTTGGCAGTGGTCGACAGGACCGCCGTCTTGACCTTCTCGACCGTCTCCTTCGTCGGTGGCTTCGTCGCGGGCTGGTAGGCGAAAAGCGAGGGCTTGGCGTTGCTGACAAACTCGAACTTGGGGATCTGCGGGCGTGACGGGCTCGTCAGCTTCGTTCCACTGCACGAGATCGCGCACAACGCACCTTCAAGTCCTTGTCTACGCCAATGATTGCAGTCGGCGTGAAGGCGAGACTGAGGCAGTGGGTGAGCGGGAACCAGTACCAGAACTGGGCGAAGAGCGCCATGCCGACGATCGACGGCATGTTGCCGCTGCCGCTCTTGTTCTGCATCGAGATGGTGACATTGCGTCCGCCGGCGTCGATGATACCTTGCGAGAGGGCGGCGCCGAACTTGGCCATCGGGTCGGCATGCTTGTCGCTGACGATCTTCTTGTACAGCTCGCGCGTCGAAGCGACCTTCGGGTGGCTCGTCTCATTCTGCTCGATGAGGACCATCGCGAGCGAGACGCATGCACCCTGGCGGACAAAGTCGACCGGGTCTTTTGTGAGCGGCTCGAGGAGCGCGATCGCCTCCTCGAGACCAGTGCCGGCGCAAGAGATGCCGAGGGCGAGGGCCGATCCGTAGCGGACGTGAGGGTTGTACGACTCGGCGAGGAGCTGGACGATGCGAGGGACTTGGGTGGGGTTGCGGAAGAGGATGAAGCCGAGGGCGGTAACGGCGGCGCGGCGAACGTCGTCACTGACATCCGAGACGGCGACGTGCAGCAGCTTGCGAATCGCTTTGTTGTTGCCTGTGCCGGCGTAGGCAAGCGCGACGGCGTACATGCCGCCGTAACGCAGGATGGCGTCGGCGTCCTTGCTGAGCGTGTCGATGAGCGAGTCGGCTTCCTCCTCCTTGCCGTACATGAGGAACGCGAGACCGACGGCCAGACCGCGGATGATCTTCTCGTGCTGCGTCTCGTGCGCGTACTGGAGCATCTCGTCGAGCGCCTTCTCCGACGCCGTGCCGAGCATGACGAGGCCCATCGAGTAACCGGCCGCCTCACCCGCGATCGCAGAGTCGGTGAAGAGGACGTTGCGAAGCTCCTCGTAGAGCTCTGCGGACAGGCCAAGATCAGCGCAAGTCCATTGACACAGATGGTCCGCAACTCACCCTCGTTCCCGCTGCCCATCGCCGCAACACCGAGCCCGAGTGCGGCTCCGTGCTGGATGACCTCGTCCTGCGAGTTCTTGAGCGTGTCCATCAAGTACTTGACAATGTCCTCCTTGCCATGGTTTGCGTTGACGAGTCCAAGCGCATACAGACTGCCACCCTCCGAATAGACGCTCTTCGTCGCCCCGCCTCCATCGCTCCGGGGCAAGTACGGCTCGAGAATCGCCTTGCCCTGCGTGAGGTTGCCCTTGTGGATGACGCCGAGCGCGGCGGTCGTCGTAAACTTGGACCAGTTCGACGCCTTGCCGAGGAAGTCGAGGTTCTCGCGGAGGAAGAGGTCGGAGGTCGTGCCGGCGTGCGCGAAGGCGTTCATGAGGGAAATGGCGGAGTGGTAGATCGAGTTTCGGGGTTCGAGGGCGCTCTGCGTAGGCAAGGTGCGTCAGTCGAGCCTCCTCGAGGTAACATGCGATGCGATGCGAAACGCACGAGAGTATCCTTGAGGATGAGCAAGTCGGCCTTGTTATTGCGGTACAGGAACTCGAGGTAGAGCTTGATGCTCTCCTCGCCGCTCAAGATCGTCGCCAGCCTCTCGCGGTGCAGCTCCGCACCCTCTTTCGGCTTCGCCTCCTCTGCCGCAGGCGCACCTCCCGCAGCCTCCACCGCCTCCGGCTCCGAGCCCGCGACCGACGTCCGGACGACCTGCAAGAATTCCTGTGAGGCAGTCTCGGCGAGGTCGAAGGCGATTTGATAGGCGGTCAGAACGGCGTCGTCTTTGGGAGGTTCGGACGAGTCGAGGTTGAGGAGCTTGGCGAGGAGGGAGGAGGCGAGGGACGGGTCGTTGAGGAAGACGAAGCACTGGGTGATGGAGAAGTAGTCGGGAGAAGGGAGGGATTCGAAGAGCTTGATCAGGAGTTGGAGAATCTGCGCAACGGTTGGTCAGCGTGTGTGCTCAAGCGCTGCCCGTGTTCGCAAACGCACCTCGCTCTTGTAGCTTCTGCTCGTACCGCCCACTGCGACACTTTCCCGCACGACAATGTCCAGGATCCACTCGAGCAAGCTCGCATCCTTCGTCTTGTCAAAGACCCGCTGCACAACGTCGAGGCGATGGGACGAGAGCGCGACTCCGAGGGCCTGTATTCCGTGCTAGTCAGTACGAGCACGAGCGGAGTCTAGTGAGGCGAGGCGCACCTGCTTGTACTCGCCGTCCCGCTCACACCGCTCAAACATGCGCTCGACAACCGCCTCCAATCGCGCGTCAACATCTCTGGGGACACGCGCAGGGTCGACAAAAGCTGGTGAGGGTGCGGAAGCAGATCGTGCGGCCGTGTACGAGTCGATCGCCTTGGCTGTGGGAGGGAAAGGCGAGGTGGGCCAACCGGTCATCTCCCTTAGAGCCCGCGAGCACTCGCAGAGCGCAACACAGAGTAGAAAGAACGCACAGATGACCGTCTCGACATACTCTGCCTCGCCTGGCGAGACATCGCCCGTCTGCTCGACGTCAAAGAGCTTGCCGGCGCCGAGGGCGAACGCGAGCGCCTCGTCGAGGTTGCCGAGGTGGTAGTAGAGCTTGGAGGCGACCAGAGAAGCCAGCTGGCGCGATGGGAAGCTCGAGTCCTCCGAGAGAGCCTCGCTGTCAACGATGCGAGCGGGTCGTCGTCAGCGGGGGCGTCTCGGCGGCAGCAGCACGGCGCGGCTTGTGCGGTCGCGGGTGAGGTCCCAGTACGCACATCTTGACCACATGGTCCGCCACTTCTGCCCAGAACTGGTCGATGCGCTGGTTGATGTTGCTGAGGGCGTGGGCTTGGAGAGCGGCCTCTGGCTCGTCGAGGAGCGAGAGCAGGCCTGCGAGCGAGCTCCAGTCAGGTCAATACACTCGTAGCTACCGTTCTAGCCAGCGCTGAGCTTACCCTGAGCTGATTGCACCATTCTTGCTGTGTGCGTTGACGGAGAGAGCCAAGTCGCGAGTTGACCTCGTCCACCTCGCTTGTCTGCTGGGTCGATGTGCGCTACGACAAGGCTGACAAGCTGCTGGTGATGCGGGACTACCGCCAGGCCCGACCGTTACGCCCGTGGCTTTGTCGTCGCTCTCCTCCTCGTCTTCGCTCTCCTCGTCTCGCTTAGTCGCTAAGAACAAGCGAACAAGCGACTCGTTCCAAGCGCGACAAGCGATCACACAACAAGCGGCTCCTCCCTCCCTGCTTCAAGCGTTCTCGCCGCCACCTCAGCGCCTCATGACGATGCACGGCGGGTCGAGGGCGACGGGCGGCTTGACTTTGCCGAGCTTCTCGCCCTTGCGCTTTATGGCGCAGACCTGCAGGCGCAGCTGTCAGCGATCGTCCACTCAGCGCTAAGAATCGAGCGGACTCGCCAAGTCGAACCACGCGCTCTTGCCCGAGAAGTTCCGCTTGGTGCGCGGCGCATTCTCCCACTGGTACCAGCTACCCTTGCTAGCCGTCACGAGGTCCTCCTTGGTCGCCGTCGCCGGGTCGAGGTCGTGGACGTCGAGGAGAGCCGAGACGCTGCAGGCGACTTCGAGCGGCAAGAAGAGGTGGTACTGAGGGGGTTTCTTCCATTTGTGCTTGGCCCATATGTCCGTCCCCTCGTTGTGGTCGGCGTGCAGGTGCTTGAGGACGTCAACGACCGTTCCGCAAGAGCCTTGACGATCCTTCAGGGTCGGCTCGGACGTGATGGTGATGTCAGGCCGTCCGCGGACCCACTTGACGTGGCGCGTAGTTCTCTCGATGCTGACAGGCGGACATCCGGGAAAGCTGCAGCAGACCATCGAGGACGCGCGATCGAAAAAGTCATCGTCGAAATCGTCCATGTTCTCGTCGACGCCTTCCAGATCGCCGCCTTCTCCGTTGCGTTCGGTCGTCGCGTCGAGGATGAGTTCTCGAGCGTGGAGGAGGAGGTCGAGGCGATACTCTTCCAGGTCGGCCTTGATCGCGTTGAGCTGGTTCAGCCAATCGCCCGACGAGACATTCTCGCCCGTCATCCACAGGTCCTTGATAGAGGGGAGGAGGAGGAAATCGACGAAGAGCGGGACGAAGGGCTGTTCGGCCTCCGAGAGCGCGGTCTTGAGCGCGGCGTAGTACGGCTTGAGCGACTTTTGGGCGCGGACGCGCGGGAGATGCACTTGCGCCTCCTTCGCGGTCGAGCGCGCGCGCTCGAGAGACTTGAGAACCTTCGACTTGATCTTCTTCCACTCTGCACGGAGAGCGTCAGGCAGCGCGGCGGAAGGGATGAACGGGTCAGACTCGCCAGCATCCGTCAAATCCGCCGAGCTAGTCACCACTTTGCCAATCAGGCAATCAACCCTGCGGAGCACAGACTGTGTTGGTACGCGCGATTGCCTCAGCGAAGTCGCAGCGCAACTCACTCGTGCCTCTTGTATCCGAGGGAAGCAACGCGGTCGGCGATCCTGCGGTTCGACCGTGCGTCAGCTGAAGTCGCGAGACGTCCCACGAGGAACTCACTGCTTGCGGCGGGATTCCTTCGGCCCCTCGTATTCTTGCGGCTTCTCCCACCATGGCGACAGGCTGTATCGCGGCTTCGAATCGAGGTATCTGGTCGCGATGTTGGCTGCTTTGGCAAGCGTCTTGGTGATCTGTGAGGGGCCAATGAGCTCTATACCGTCTCAGAAGAAGGAGGGAGGCGACTCACATTGCGGAACTTGTCGAATGATGCCGCGCGAGCCTGGACATAGTTGACGACGCGCGCCGATTCCCAGTCTTTCTCCTCCTTCTCGTCGTCGTCGATGGCCCTCCAGGTCTTCGAAGACGCGCCGGCGACAGGCTTCTTTCTCTTGCTCGAGCCGGGCTTGCGGACACGAGCTTCCGGCGGCGGCGACGAGCGACCTTCAGCGATAGCCTCGTCCTCGTCCTGTTCTTCCATGCGGCGGAGGATGCCAGTCATGATGTGAAGGTCGTCGATAGAGACGAGTCCTGTCGGATTGGCTGAGTCTGAGGACAAGCGTTGATGATACGTTGCGAAGGGACGAACCTGCGGTCTCGTTGAAGTAGAAACGGGGCGACAACCAAGGCTCGACGTCTAGTAGCCCCGAGTCAGTATATAGGCAGTCTCGGCAAAGACGAGCAACTGACAGGGAGTCTTGCGGACGCAGTCTGCCGCACGCGGGTGAAGCTTCGACTTGAGCGTCGGGTAGCAACGGTCGAGCGACGAGAGCTTGACAACGCTGCAGCTCAAGGCGCGTCAGTGCGACATCACGACGCCGGCAAGACATGCGCACTCCTTCACGCGGCAGCTCTTGCAGCAGCGCTTGCGAAGGTAGACGTCGAGCTTTTTGACATTCTTGGCGCCGCATTTCTGGGAAGCCAAAAGGATCAGCATGCACCGCAAAATGTACAACAGGTGACCAGACAAGCCAGACGCACCTGGCATTCACGGCCAAAGACGAGTTGAGCGTACTGCCACTCGGTGATCTCGTCCGCGCCAAGGTCCGGCAAGTCGATCTTCTTGCGCGCGTTTTTCCAGATCTTGACAGAGCCGGGCGACGTGAGGAGTGAGCGGTACTGCTTGTTGACCATGCTGACCGCGAGGAGATCGTTCGGGTCGAGGTGCGAGAAGATCTGTCGTGGCAGAATCGTCAGCGTCAGCCTGTGTCGAGCAGAAGCGGAGCATGAACGCACCTCGACGAGCAACTCGAGCGGGAGCGTCTTCATGACCTCGAGCCTCCCGACGTCCCTGCCCTCCCTACCGCCCTTCTTCGCCGCCCCGGCTCCTCCGCCCTTCCCGCCCTTCCCCCCGGCCGACTTGGACTTCTTCGGCTTCTTGCGCGACTCCTCCCAATCGCTCGTGTCATCCTCGCTCGTCTCGACATCCTCCTCCTCCTCCTCCTCATCCGAGTCGAACACCTCGACTGTGCGACCCTTGCCCTTGTCGCGCCTCTTCGGAACTACAATACATTCTAGAGTGTCAGCACACACGCTCGCAAGCCAGGAAAGTGCGAGGCGGACGCACCAATCTCCTCATCAGTTTCCCTCTCCTCCTCGTCTCCCTCGTCCTCGGAACCGTGCGCGACGGCGTACGACGCACTCGTGCTCGCCCTACGCGGGTAGTTCGTGCGTCCAGTCATGCGTGCGAGCTGCTTTGAGCGGGTGAGACTGAGTGGGAGGACGAGAGCGTGGGAGAAGATTAATGGGAGGTTGGGTGACAACTCGGAGCGGGCGTGCAAGCAATTGAATATAGCTGAGAGGAAGCTGGAGAGTACGGGAAAAGCGATCACAACGCCAGCAGAAGCGAGAGAAGGGAGGAAAGTGGGACTCTCTCCTCGTCGAAGCGAAAGAATAGGACTTGCTCTGCCCAGCGTCCCGATACCGAGTTTCAGAATGTTGAGACGTTGCGGCGACGTCAGATTTTCTGCTGAGCTGAAGAGACACGCCCCCGTATGTGAGGTGGTGGTCCGACGCCAGGCGACGCAGGAAATCCTAGAGTTTCCCCAAACACCCGACAGCGCTCTCCGACGAGCCCGCTCAAGCAAACAAGCGATTCACTGCAAGCCACAGACGACAGACGACAAGCGACGCCCCCTACCCCGTCAAGCGATGCTTCCGTACTCTGTTCACTCGTCCTCCTCGCTGCTACCGACCGACGAGTCGTCGCGCTCGACCTTGACGCTGCGCTGAGCCGGCTGCTCATCCTCGCTGGCCTGGTCGTCCTCCTCGGAGTCGTCACCCCCGAAGACGTTATAACCTGGCGCCGACGAGCTGTTGCGGACCTTGATGGACGGCTCCTTGCCATCGCCTGACGACTCGGCAGACAAGCGAGCTTGACCCGACGCCGAGTCATGCGCTCCATCTCCGTCCTTTTTTGCGGCCTCGCTAGCTATACTGGCTCGACGCTCGAGCTTCCAGCTCGACTTCTTCATGACGATGCAGGGCGGGTCGAGGACTTCGGGTTCCTTGAGCTTCGCCAGCTTTTCTCCTCGACGCTTAACCATGAACATCTGCGGGGAGCAAGGGCGTCAGCGCCGTTGAGGAAAGTAAGCGGAGGCTGCGTACGAGGTCCTTCCAAGCGTCGTCCCCATAGAAGAAGCGCTGGTACGTCTTCGAGTTCTCCCACTCAAAGTTGTGCTCCTTGTTGAGCTCGTCGAGATCGCTCTTGGTGGCCGACTCGTAGTCAAGGTTGCCGAGGTCGATAAGAGCCGAAATGGCGCAGGCGACCTCGAGCGGGAGCGTGATGCGGAAGCGAGGCTCGGCGGAGAACTGGCTCGCCTTGGTGAGGTGGGTGTCCGAGTTGTGGTCGGCGTGCTGGTGCTCGAGGACCGCGACGAGAGTGCCGATGGCGTCCTCGCGCCTCTCGTAGGTCCTGCGCGGACGCCGTTCGACGTTATAGCCGTTGCCCCAGAAGTCCCAGTAGCTGCCGTAGGGGCCCTTGACCTTGATAGGACAGTTCGGGAAGTCGCAGCAGACGATCGACGTAGCGCGGTTGAAGAAAGCATCGTCGAGACCGGCGCCATCATCGGCCGGCGAATCGCAAGCGTCTTCCGCCTTGTCGGGGTCAGTCGTCACGGCGAGGATGACCTGTCGTGCGTAAAGGGCCAGGTCGAGGCGGAAGTGCTCGACTTCCTCGCGGATTGCGTCCAGCTGAGCTTCCCACTTCTCCGCCACGACCCTCTCGCCCGCCTGCCAAAGCTCCTTGACCGACGGCAAGGCGAGAAAGTCGAGGAAGAGAGGGACGAACGGCTGTGCGGAAGACGGAAGCGACTGCTTGAAGGCGTTGTAGTACTGGCGAAGCGACTTTTGCGCCGAGATCTGGCGTGTTCTTTTTTCTAGCGCAAGACGCTTCTTGCGTTGGCGTTTGAGAGACTGAATGACGCTGGATTCGATGTCCTTCCAGACTGTGGGAGCAGGAGTGTAAGACGAAGCTGCGGAACGGAAGAGGGGAAGGCAGCCTACGCTCGTCGGTGAGCGGTGTCGTCTCGTCGACGACCGGTCCACGCAAAGCGTCGATGCTGGTGACGGATTGCCAATCAGTGAGCGAGTCCCGTCGAATCCAGAAGGGGGCAACCCGACATACTCGACTCGCTTGAAGCCTTGGTCGACGACCCGAGCGAAGATGCTGCGCACATGGACCTCGTCAACGCGCTCCTCTCAGAGAATGTGCCCGCGACGTACGCCTCCCTACGAGCCCAGCTCGGACCTTGCGCCTTCTGCTGAGCCTTCAGCTCGCGCGCAAGGTCCAATTGAGCCTGCGCCCTCCTTTGAGCGTTGTTGAGGACTTCGGCGTCCTGGTAAGCGTGTCATTCAGCTCCACGAGCAAGATGGGCGTGCTTTGAGCATGAGCGCACCTTCGCGATAGCCTTGCGAATCGCCTGTCGACCTTTGACGTACTCGACGACGCGGGCCGACTCCGGCTTCTCGTCCTCCGACTCGCTCTCATCGCGGTAGCTGGGCCTCGAGCCTCGACGCCTAGTGGTGCGCGCGGATGTTGGCGCAGGAGGAGGTGCAGGCGCCGTCTTGGGCGCACGACGAGGGGTCTCTTCGCCAGCGGCGATCAAGTCGTCTTCCTCTTGCAGCTCGAGGTCGCGGAGGATGCGATCGTAGGCGAGAAGATCGTCGAGGTGGGCGCGCTCTGTGGAAATTAAGGGTCGTGTCAGGCTGTGGCGTCGTTTGGTCAAGAACAAGGCGAGCTCACCGCCGTCGATACCGGACATTTTCCTGCGCCAATGATGGACTTGCGGTTCGACCTTGACTGTAACATGAGAGAATGTCAGCTCTGCAGTTCGGCCTGGAAGCCTGGAGCGAGACTTGCAAGGCGAGCGAAGCACACAGGCGAAAGTCTTCGGGTGAAGCTTCGCCGCGAGCTTGGCATGAACGCGACTGAGCGAGCCGAGGTCGACGACTCTGTTTAATCATAGTACGCGTCAGCTTCTGCGGCTCGAGATGTGAGCGAGACGGGCGACCTTTTGATGCGGAAGCCAGAGCAGAGGCGCTTGCGGAGGTAGAAGTCTGCGTGCTGAATGTTCCTGGCGCCGCAGTCCTGCAGAATGAAGAGCAAGTCAGCTTCTTACGCGCTGAAGGAAGGACCGGACGGAATGACGCACCTGGCAGACCCTCCCGTAGACAAGTTGCGCATACTGCCACTCCGTCAAGTCACCAGCGTTCGCGTCGTCCATCCCAAGCCTCTTGCGCGACGCTTCCCACACCTTCTTCGAGCCCGGCGACGTGAGGAGCGAGCGGTACTGCTTGTTGACCATGCTGAGCGCGAGGAGGTCATTCGGGTCGAGGTGCGAAAAGATCTGCGGCAGCAGGGTCGTCAGCATTGACCTGCGTCGGCTAATCGTGCGGGAGAACGCACCTCGACGAGCAACTCGAGCGGGAGCATCTTCATGACCTCGAGCCTCCCGACGTCCCTGCCCTTCTTCCCTCCCTTCTTCACCGCCCCGGCTCCTCCACCCTTGCCGCCCTTCCTGTCGGTCGACTTGAACTTCTTCGTCTTCTTCCGCGACTCCTCCCAGTCGCTCGCGTCGTCCTCGCTCGTCTCGTCCTCGTCCTCCTCACCCTCATCCGAGTCGAAGACCTCAATCGCACGGCCCTTGCCCTTGTCGCGCCTCTTCGGGACTGTATGACACGCCAAAGAATCAGCCCACCCACTCGCCCGCCACGAAAGCGCGAGCTGGACTCACCAACCTCCTCATCAGTTTCCCTCTCTTCCTCTCCTCCCTCGTCCTCGGAATCGCGTGCGACGGCGTACGACACCCTCGTACTCGCCCTACGCGGGTGTTTGGTACGTCCAGTCATGCGTGCGAGCTAGTCTGAGCGTGTGTGAGTGAGTGCGAGGAGGGAGAGAAGGGAGAAGGTCAATGCGAGGGTTGGGTGACAACTCGGAAGAGGCGCTGAAGAGGGTCAAAGGAGCGAAGAAGAAGCTGGTGAGTACGGGGAAAGCGATCGCAACGCCAGCAGGAGCGAGAGAGGCGAGGAAAGTGGAACTCTCTCCTCGTCGAGCATGTCCACCTCTCGTCTCGCTGCACGGTGGCGATAGCTACACCTCGATCTTCAGGTCACCCGACGTCAAGGCGGCGAAGCAGATGCGCGGCATTAGGAGGTGCGGTTGCGGCGAGACGGGCGTTTGCGTGCGTGCGTCTCTTGTGGAAGCCCAACTGCGACCAGCCAGAGGAGGTCAGCAGACGTTCGGAAGGCGGACTCGTGAAGAAAATCGACACACGGTGAATGCCAGTTAGTTAGCGGCGGTTCTTCCGTCCAAAGCCGGAAGACAAGCACAGTCGAGGCGAAGAATGGCTTGACCGTACATCGCGGTGAGCGCTGCGCGGTTTCCAGCACCGTGTAGCGAGCACTCCGCGTTTGAAGTGTCGTCCTGTTCGGAAGGCAGAGAAAGAGAGCGAGCGAAAGGAAGGTGAAGCGAGGAGCAAGCCCGTACGGAGCATGTTCTGCCCATACCGCATCCTCGTAAGCACCTGCGGGAATCTGCTCGTTGAATTTCGCCATCACCGTGCAGCAGTCTCCTGGAAGCAGCCTTCGGGATGAGGAAATAAAGGAGAACGAGGTCGACTTGAGTTGTCGGGGGAGAGGGAGAACGAAGCATCCCCGAGCGAAGAGTTACTCCCGACCCATCGCGCGCAGATCAGGATGTCGTCGTCCTCCGTCCTTCCCAGCACCCAGCAACCTCTGCATCTCGCCGTACGTCGCCAGGAGAGTGCAAGGGAGAGTGAGCGGAGCGAGAGTTGAACGAGCGAGAGTGAGACTTGCGCAGGCAGGGAGTGCGTTCATCGCCATTGACCCTCGCCGTCCTCGCCAGTGTTCGCGGTGGCTGCATCTGGCTGCCGTCGTCGAGTGCGTCGTCGTCGTCGTTGCGATGAGAGTGAGACAAGCGGGGCAGATGGCGAACGTGCGCTCGTCGACCTCGACACTCTCGCTGCTCCCGTCTGCACGCGCTGCCGACCCTGCTGCCGACCACTCACGCTCAAACGACTGCCAGATCCATCCCACACACACTCGAACAACCCGCATCGAAGCAGCTGCTCTCGCTCGACCGCACCACACTGATCGACCCGCCCGAGGATGAAGTGTGCGCACACGTCCTCGTATTGCTCGCTTTGGACTCGCACTGACTCGTACTGCATGGTGGACAGTCGGCGCGACCATCAAGGATGCCCTGTGTGCGTCGCGGTGGTCCTGCTTGTCGACATCTCTCCCGAATTGACCATGATGCCGTCTTCCCGCCCGCAGACCAGGACTGGCAGGCCTCGTACATCGACTGTGCGCTATTTATGTCCTCACTCTTCCCCTCACGCGCTGACCTTACGGTTTCCCCGCCTTCGACCGCCCTCTCCTCCCCCTCGTCTCTTCCGACCCTTTCGCGCCCACGCACACTCAGACGGCGGCCTTAAGCGCTTCATCAAAGACCGACAGGCAAAACATCAGTGGGACGACGCGGACGAGGCAGACTTCATCAAAGGTGCGTCTTCGTGCGGTCCTCGAGCGGTTTGCTTGGCGGAAAATGAGAGCTGACGGCTTGGACTCGGGGTAAACAGCCCTCGCGAGCGAGTTGGACAAGGTCGTCAAGTTCCAGGAGAGCAAGGTGCGCGCGCTTCTTGGCTCTGTCCACCCTTGACCTTCGACAAGCTGACCCGAACTATCTCTTCCCTCTCTTCCGTCCTGCCTCGCCCGCACGCACAGATCGCCGAACTGACAGACAAGATCACCAACTACGAATCCGAAGTGAAAGACTTGATCGCAGCCGCCGATGCGTCTCGCCAGCCTCAACGCTCGAACGGTGACGGCGAGGCGGAGGGCGAGGACGCGGACGTCGAGGCGGGCGGGGCGGACGATGACAGTTTGAGCGATACTTCCGACGACGAGTTTGAGGATCGCTTTGTCGACTTGGAGGAGGACTTGGCGAATGTCATTGCGGACGTGCACGACCTCGGTGCGTTCCTCCCTCTCGTCTCGCTTCCGAACCTTCCGAGCTCACTCGGCGGGCTTCGTGCAGGCCACTTCTCCCACTTGAACTACACTGGCTTTGTCAAAATCGTCAAGAAGCACGACGTGCGTTCCCTTCCTCCCTTCCTTCCCTCGCTCCTCCTCTCACCCTTCCGTCCACAGAAACGCACCGGCTTTACCCTCAAAGGCCAATTCATGCGCGACTTTCTCGAAAAGCGTCCGTTCTACAAAGAGAACTACGACTCGATCATTGTCCAGCTCTCGCGGCTCTACAATCTTGTCAGGACGCGCGGACACCCGGTGCAGGGAGATGCGGCGGCGGGTGGGAGTCAGAGTGCGTTCGTGAGGCAGACGACCAAGTATTGGGTGCGTTGGGCGCTGCTTTGTACCGTCGGGGACGTCGGGGAGAAGAGGGCTGACTTCGGCGGTTCTCCGTACGTTCGCCCCCTGCAGGTCCACCCCGACAACTACGTCCAGCTCAAGCTCGTCATTCTCAAGCACTTGCCGATCCTCGGTGCGTTCGCAGGCGCGCAGAAATCGGGAAAGACGGCGGAAAATTGACGCCTTTCCTTCCGCCAGTCTTCAACCCCGACAAACCCTTTGAACAGGACGATGCAGCCATATCGTCGTGCTATTTTGACAACGAGGTACGGGGTCTGCTCGTCCAGGACAGTCCCGGGGATGTTGACAGCGTTTTCGGGACGTCCAGAACCTCGATCTCTACATGGGCCGGCTTGAGAAGACTGAAGGCGCCGAAGCGATCCGCTTGCGGTGGTACGGCGGTATGGGCGTCAAGCAGATCTTTGTGCGTGCCCGTCTGCCCACTCTCACGCACGCCGGACGCGAACTGATGACTCTGCGCAGGTCGAGCGCAAGACTCACCGGGAAGACTGGACGGGCGAGAAGAGCGTCAAAGCGCGTTTCCCCATCGCCGAACACCTCGTCAATGACTATCTCGCGGGCAAGTACACGATGGACGAGACGTTTGAGGCGCTGAGGAAGAAGGGGAAGAAGACGGACAAGGAGGTCGATTCGATGATCAAGCTGGCGAGGGAGGTGCAGGCGGCTGTCAAGCACAAGAAGCTGGGACCTGGTGCGTGCAACATACTGAGCGGCGAGTGAAGGAACGAGCTGACGAAGATCGCTCGAGCAGTCATGCGCACCTTCTACAACCGCACGGCCTTCCAGCTCCCCGGCGACGCCCGCGTCCGCATCTCCTTCGACACTCAGCTCTCGCTCATCCGTGAAGACAACTGGGACGGCGTCACTCGGTCCGGCAACAACTGGCGACGAACCGACATCGGGATCGACTGGCCGTTCCCGCAGCTGCCCGACTCGGACAAGGAGTTGTTCCCGTATGGCGTGTTGGAGGTCAAGTTGCAGACACAGATGGGGCAGGAGCCACCTGAGTGGGTCAGGGAGCTCGTCAGCAGTCATTTGGTCGAGGCCGTCCCTAAGGTGCGTCTGCGTGTTCGTCTTGCTCGAACTCGATCGCTGACCTTGTGAATGGCTCGTACAGTTCTCCAAGTTCATTCACGGTGCGCGCGAAGCTAGAAGGCTGCACCACCGAGACTGACGCTCGTTCCGCAGGCTGCGCAACTCTCTTGCCCAATCGCGTCGACCTCGTCCCGTTCTGGCTCCCTCAGATGGAGTGCGTCGGATCTCACATTGCTGACAAACTTGCGCTGACCGTGCTGCTTCTGGCAGGACCGACATCCGCAAGCCCGCGACGCAAAAAGCGCAGATCCAGCGCCCGCCGACCTCGCACTCGAACACCAACTCTGGCACGCCGTCCGAGACTCGCTCGACGGACCTCGCGCAGTACACCGAGCCTGTCTCGGACGATGAGGAGGACGAGGGCAACCGGCACATCGGCGCGACGGCGGACGAGGCTGGCTGGGCGGACCTCGACCCTCAGGCTGCGGCGGAAGCCAAGGCATACCGCGAGGCGCAGAGCAAGGTTGCGAAGGGACCTGGCGGCCGTCCCGAGCAGAGCCACCTCGTCGCGGCACCCCCGAAGCCGCCCAAGTCGAACGAGTTCTTCCCCAAGCTCACGCCTGCAAACCTCTCGAAGCTGCTCGACTCGCGGTATGAGCTTGAGCGTGATCGTGGGCTCAACCAGCAGGGAGCGAGTGCTGAAGTGAGGGCGGAGGCGGAAGCGACGGGCGCGGCGGAGGCGACGGGCAACCCCTCTGGCATTTCGCTCGTCCCTGGTCGCGTCGAGTACGTCTCGTCGTTCCGCGCGGGACAGGGGAAGAAGATTGCGGTGCCTGTGCGTGTCGAGCCGAAGGTGTTCTACGCGAACGAGCGAACCAGTGCGTCCCGTTTTGTCCCGTCCTCTTGCGCCCCACTGACTCGCTCGCGCAGCTCTCGCCTGGATCGAGTTCTCGGTCATCATCTCGGCGATTGGAATCGGTATCCTCTCCTTCTCGGACCCGCATGGTGCGCTACGAAACCCTCATCTTCTCCCCGGTCCTTCGCTGACACCGGATCCTCGCAGACGACATTGCGCTCGCTGCCGCCGCTTCCTTCACGACCGTCGCTCTCCTCGCCATTCTCTACACCGCATGGACGTACTGGTGGCGTGTCAGGATGATCCGGTGCGTGGTTTCGTCCTCCGTCTCCTCTAAAGCTGCTCCTGACCATTCCTCCGTCGAGCAGCGCCCGCCAAGCCGTCCAGTACCACGACTACATCGGCCCTACCGCTCTCTGCGGCATCCTGCTCGTCGCCGTCATCGTCAACTTCAGCTTGCGGCTCAAGCAGGGCATCTGAGATGGAGTCTCGCTCGAGGAGGAGTGCCGCTTGGAGTGCGTTGTGATCTGCTGTTCTATACCTGCCTTCCGTCGGCCGTAGACTCTTTCGCTTGCTGTAACCGACGACTCAAATCTCACAACCAGCGCTGCCTGCTCGCCTCCTCCTCCCTGCTTCCTCAACTCGATTCGCCTCCTCTTCCACCCCGCGTGTGTGCGCTCGCGTGGATACCTAGACTAGCGCGTGGCGGTGCTCGGCACTTCCTGCGCGCCTCACACCCCGCACGGCCAGAGCGCACGACCTCGCCGCTTCGCCGGACGATTCTCCGACAGCTCTTGCTCTCCTTCCACACTCTCGCGGGACTCGCTGCCACTCTGCGCCGGCTGTTGTGCTCTCAGGATGGCTGCCCAGACTGCTCAGAAGGTGCCCGTAGACGCGGCTGACCACACCACCGCGTTCGTCCTTCTGTTCCTCGCACTGGCCTCGTTCGCTTCGCTGACAGCTTCGTTGCGCTTCCTGTGTCGCACAGAATAATCATCGGTGCTGGCGTGTCGGGTCTTGATGCTCTGATCCAGTTTCAGCGGCTGCTCAAGCTAAAGGACGTGGTCGTCTAGTGCATTTCTCTCCCTTTCTCCGATCTTGAACGGCACTGACCCGCGTTCTGCAGTGAGAAGGACGGCGCGTTGGGCGGTACTTGGGCGGCAAATCACTATCCGGGCGCTTCCTGCGACATTCCGGTCGCCTTCTACTCGTTCTCCTTCGCGCCCGCGACCGAGTTCAACACGCAATGGCCTGGCGCTGCCGGAATCTGCCGCTACTACAACCGGGTGGTAGACCAGTACGGCGTTCGCGAGCGCATCGTCCTGCACACCCTCATCGAGGAGGCTCGCTTCTCCCGCTCAACCGGCCTTTGGACGGTCAAGCTCAAGAACGTCGAGACGGGCGAAGAGCGGACCAAGACCTGCAACATCCTCGTCTCCGCGGTCGGCGCCCTCTCAGTCCCAGCAGATCCGCCTTTCGACACGACGCAGTTCGACGGCATCGTGATGCACTCGGCGAAATGGGACTCGTCGGTGTCGCTCAAGGACAAGGACGTTGTCATCCTCGGGAATGGCTGTTCGGCTGCGCAAATCATTCCTGCCGTACTGCCGGACGTCAAGTCGCTCACGCAGGTCGCGAGGAGCAAGCACGCGATTGTGCCGCGTAACGCAGTTCCCGACAATGCGTTCACGAACACGATTGTTCGCTGGGTCCCCGGCGTGAGTCCCTCGAATCCGCTCCTCCGACGCTCGCGCGCAACCGCGCAATACTTTCTGAAGAGCCAGACTAACCCGTTCCTCTCCGCTAGCTCATCACCATCTACCGCTTCGCCGTCTTCCTCCTCTGCGAGTCCTACTTCGCCCTCTTCGACACCGTCGGTGGCGCCAAAGGTCGGCGGGCTATCCACAAGGTTAGCTCTGACTACATCCGACGAACGGCGCCCGCCAAGTTCCACGACAAGCTCGAGTACGACTTTGAGTTCGGGCAGAAGCGGCGGATCATCGACTACTCGAACATGACTTCCGCACTTCACGACCCCAAGTTCGACCTCCTCTTCCCCGACTCGATCGCTTCCGCCAAGGGTCGCACCGTCATCACCGAGTCGGGCAAGGAGGTCCCAGCCGATGTTGTTGTCACCGCGACGGGCTTCAAGGTCGCGGACTACCTCTTCCCGCTCAAGGTCTACAACGGCGACGGAGAGTCGCTCGTCGACCGGTTGAAGGGCAACGGCGTCATGACGTATCTCAGTGCGTTCTCCGACGCCCGCTTCGTCGCTCTCGTGGATGCTCGTTGACGCCGGTCGCCTCGCAGCCTCGATGGTCGCCAGCTTTCCCAACTTCTGGATCCTCATGGGTCCGAACAGCGTTACGGGTCACTCCTCCGCCCTCTACAACACTGAGTGCACCGTCGAGTGAGCCCGCTCGACCGCCATCTCGTCGACGGAGCACGCTGAGTCGCTCTCCCTTCGCAGCATGATGATCAAGCTCCTCAAGCCCGTCGTCGCGAGCATCAAGAAGGGCGCGACCTCTCCCGCACCGAGCGTTGAAGTGACGCAGAAGGCGGAGGACGAGTGGTTCGCCGAGATGCGTGCAGAGATGGACAAGAAAGTGTTCGAGAAGGCGGGAAAGATGGTGCGTTTGCCGGTCATGCCTCTGCTCAGTTCGATAGCTGATCCTCATTGCTCTGCAGAGCTGGTACGTCGACCCGCAGACAGGAACCTGCACGACCCTGTGTGCGTTCCGTTCCTTCTGCCACCCTTCGCAGCTCGCTCACAACGTCTCCTTGCAGTCCCGTGGGGCCAGCTCGAGTTCCTGCGCCAGACGCGCGACATCAAGAAGGAGCGCTTCGTCTGGACGGCGACGTAGATGCGGCGGCCAGCGTAGACCTGTACAGCGTGACGACTTTTTACGCAATTGATTGAAGGCGAGGAACAGTAGCATTCGCTGCGTAGACAAAGCGAGACTTTGACATGTCGCAAGCCTCTCGCCAGCTCGATTCTTCGCCGACTCATAGCAAAGACATCCTGTTCCATCGTTCTGACAGACGCGTCCAACTTCCAGTCCTGCACCTCTCCTCAAAACAGTGCACGCTCCACCGCTGCGGTCGTTTACTCGACGGGAATGTTGACCTGCGAATCGAGGAGGAGACGAGGTGGAGACGCCGCGAGAGAACGAAAGGAGAGGAATATCGTCGGTTAGTGACCGTTCCACGGTGCCCAGGTCCACTTTCGGATGCAGGGTGAGAACGCACCTTGGGGTTGTAGAAGAGCGTGTTGTCGCCCTGCGTGAAGCAAGAGGAAACGAGAGCGAAAGGGTCAGTGTCTCGACGGTAACGACGCGAGTACCCGGCAGAGTCGTCGACGAGATGATACGCACCCAAGGGAAGTCCTGCAGCAAGTTAGCGGGACGGAAAGCGAAAGATCAGTTCCTCCTCAAAGAAGGGAGCGACAAACGAAGTCGTCCGATCAAGGACCACGAACCTTCTCGCGCTTGTTGAAGTCTGTTCGGAGCGATAGAAGCGTCAGCGTCGGCCTTTCCAGACCTCGTACCGTTTTCGGCCGCCGAAAACAGCCTCCATCGCGCAATCCGTATGCTGCGCCCTTCGATCCTTCTGCCTTCCCTCGGCAACAGAATCAGACGTACAGGGCTGCGAGCACGATATAATCAGCGTCCAGTCGTCCAGCAAGGAAGCGAGGGAAGGGTGCTCACGTAGACAATCCTCTCGGGAAGCTCGCCACCGTTCTCCTCCTTGATGTGCTCGAGGTGAGCCTCGTGCTCAGAAGCGAGGGACTTGGCGTTGAGGGCGGCGACGATGACTGCGCGCACGGCGAACGGAGCGAGAGCGAGAGAGAAAGGGAAGGGTGAACGAGGCAGAAGGATGTCGAGGAGGATTGGGATTCGTCAGCGGAATTCCAATCTTCTGCGTCAGCCTCCCAAAGTCTTCCTCGTCCATTCTGTCGGTTCTCTGCTGGCCGTAAACCCCGCCTCGACGCGAGGGAGCGAGCCCGATCCGCCCAACGTCCATCCGCTTTGTTCGCCCTCGCTCGTCCTGCCTGCCCCGCATCGTGCCCAAACTGCGCATGAAAGTGCCAACTCACCGGCGGGGAAGGCGACGTAGTAACTGCGAGCGTGCACGAGTGTCAGTTCTCGTCATGTCCGTCGAAGAGAGAGGAAGGGTGCTGTCGAGACGGCCACCGTCGAGAGTGGCTTCGCTTGGAGACCCCAGCAAACTCTCAGGGCTCGTACAATTTCCAGCGTCACCGACAGCCCCTCGCGACCCCTCATCGCCGACCGGGACCAACCGCGAACCTCATCACCACCGGTGCTCGCGGTCCTGGGCAACACCCTCTGGCTGCGGCGAACCAGTTTCCAGAGACTCAGTGAGAGCTTCGAACGCACGTGATCTTCCTCCAGAGGTCAGCCGAGTGCTTTGCGTGCTCCTCGACGGCCTTCCTCGAGGCGACGAAGGCGTTGGTGTCCTCGGCGCCGGGCGCGGCGGTCGAGTACGAGCGGCGAGCGCGGATGGCAGCGCGGCCAGCGTTGCGGAAAGCGGCAAACATGGCTCTAGCGGGAGAAGGGGTGTTGGTCGAGGCGAACCCTTCTAAGGCTTGACCAGGACCAGCTCGCTCACAACTCGCTCCTCTCGCTCGTGCTGGCTGTGGTGACTGCAGACAGGCTCGAATGGGCTTGCCGCACTACGTCAGAGTCGGTGCCGCCGAATCAGACGAGTCGACGTCGACCCTTGTCGACTTACCAGCCTCTCGAGGTGGGGCATGGTTGCGCTTGTACGGCGGATGGGTGCTTGCAGGGGTAGTCTGTCTGCTCTGGGTGCGTCTCGACGCTCAGTCAGACGAGGTGCTGAGCTTACCAATGTCGTCGCGCAGGCTCTGGCTCCTCGAGGACATGCTGCGAAGGCGGAGGAGTGTTTTGACCCGTTCACCGCGCCGGGATGTGCGTTCCTGTCCTCTTCACACCGACAGTTACGACAGGGTAATGCAAGACTGACGCAGCCTTGCGAGCAGACATCTGGCGACCGGAAAACGGCTCAATCCGACACATCCCTTACCCTCCCTCCGCTTCCCTCGCCGACCTGACGACCTTCCGACCTATCGGAGAGTTAGCAGACCCACCTGAAGATGCTTTACGACTAGCCGCGCCAGCGTATGGCGACTTGCTCGAGCGGGAAGAGAGGGCGGATCTGCCGGAGTTGCGGTGGATGCGGGACAAGACGATTGTCTTCATCGGCGACTCGTGTGTCTGCGATTGCTTGACTATCTTCTTCTCAAGCTGGTGCTGATGCTCCGTCTCTGCGCAGACACGACCGGCAGAACCTCGAGATCTTCTGTGACCGCCTGCACTCGACAGGCGCAGTCCTCTCCGTCCCACATTATCACATCAAGGCTCACTGTCGCCTGCCCGTGCGACGCTTCCGGCTCACCTCGCATGGTTCGCGGACCGCTCACTCGTCGCGCACTGCAGGATCTCAACCTCACCCTCGCGCAATGGTTCCACTTCGGCCTCGCTCCAGAATCCGACTCTCTCCCGCCCGACGCATGGAACATCCCCTCAATCCCGACCTCTCACGTGAATGAGAATCCTGCACCGTACTCGATAGAAGGGAAAATGAAGGAGTACTGGCTGTCGGACGTCGAGGAGATTGGCAAGCCTGACTTGATCGTGCTCAACTCGTTCTTCTGGGTGCGTCTGCACCTTCCCGTCTTTGAGACGCCGCCATTGACCATAATGCGCCCGCAGGACCTCCGCTACTTCACCCTGCGAGCCAAGCACTTCATCCCCTCTCCTTCCCCTTTGCACGCAACCGAACGCCCTCTCACCTACTCCGAACTCGCATGGCACCGTTCGCGCGTACGCGACTTTGTCGACCTCGTGAGGGAGAAGTTTCCGGGCGTGCCGCTGATGTGGAAGACGGGTGCGTTCGGACGGTTTTCGCACGAGAACTGAGCAAGGCTGATTGATGCGAGACTTGTGCAGGTCAAGAACGCGAGTCTAATAGAGGGTACGGGAACGTCGCTGTCTACCAGCTCAATCAGAGTTTGCGGGCGGTCTTGAACCGACTGAACATCCCCGTCTTCGATTGTGCGGTCCATTGCTCCCTAACGCTTGGATGGTTGCTGACGCTCGTGCTGTGCAGGGGGTGCGTTGATTACCGGCGAATGGCAGTACAGTGCGCACGCTCCTATTCCACCACGCCCACAAGAGACTGACGAGCGTTTCTCGCAGACGACGACCAGCACCTCAAGCCTGGTGCTCCTGCTAGACTGTGGGCGGACATGGCGTTCTGGTACTTGAGAAGAGCGGTGAATGGGTGTGAGTGTTGCATAGATCCGCCGCTCTCTTAGAACGTATCTCAGCATCTCCTCGGCGCATAAGCGAGTTGTAACTGGTTCTTGTTGTTGTCAAGCGGCTGCCCACTACTGGACTGCCCCTCACACGTCCGCATCATCGTTCGCAACCTTGTCTCCCTGCTCCTCCCTGAACCGATTCAGGTCGCTCGTCGTCGGATCGTACGCCCAATGATTCAGCGTCTGCCTGATCCCGCGCGACGTGTCCTCCTCGTCTGGCTCAATAAAGTGAATCCCATCGCGGCGGTACTTGCCGAGGAACATGCGTTTGAAACGACCTGTCGGACCGGCGACGCCTTTCCAGCGCTGGACTTGGCGCGCGTCGTCGTCGCATCGTCGACCGAGAAAGAAGCGATAGTACCATTGGTACCAGCCGCGGGCGTCGTGTTCGGCTGCGGGCAGAACACTGTTAGCGAAGCAAAGAAGCGAGAAAGAGGGGGAGAACAAACGCCGCAACCAGCCTTGCTCTTCCCACGCCTCGTACGGCTGTCCAATCCGCGCTTGCCACTTGTTCACCGAGTCTTCGGCACCTTCGGGTCGCGTCAAGTACTGCCTCAGGAAGCGGGAGTGAGCTCGCGAAGGCCAAGCGAGGGGGAAGAAGCGAAAAACGAACCATCGAGACGTCGAGGCCTTCGTACCATTCTGCGGAGAGCTACAGCGTCAGTGCAACACCAGGAAGAGGAACGTGGGACACGACGCACCCGTCGGAAAGTCTGTCCAGTCCTCGTGAATCTCCCTTCCAGACTTCTTGCTCTGCGACAGTAAGCCATCAGCACCTCCTGACGCCGGCTACGTAGGAAGAAGGCGCACCTTCACCGGCCGGAAGAAACCTCCGTCGAAAGCGCCGTTGCGAATGATCTCTCTGCGGGAGAACATGCGAGTCAGCAGAGTAAACGAGGGAAGACGGACGAGTCGGCTCACTCCGGGCTCATGTTCGGCTTGAACTCGTCGTAATCGTCAAAGTGGAAGTCGCGAGTTTGCGGATCTCGCCAGGGAAGCGGCGCGGCTGTTCGAACGAAGAGGTGAGTTCGCTCGAGGTGCGCTTTGGGTCCAACGGCCAGACGCACTGATCGTGTAGTCGCTCTGGCCTTCCTGCAGCTTGACCGTCTTCCCTACGAGCCTCATCCGCTCCGCAGCTCCCTCCGCGCTGCCCATCGTACTCCCGTTCGCCCCACTTCCTCCCACCTCGACAGCCGCGAATTTGGCCCGCTTCGCACGCGCAGCCTTCTCCTCGAGCTTTGCATAGTTCGGTTCGACAGGTCGCTTGCGCTTTGGCTTTGCTGGTGAGGAGGAAGCGGGTGTTTGAGGTATGGATGACGTCGAGGGAGGGGAAGGATCTGCTTCGGTGGGCTCGTTGGGAGCAGGAGCAGGCGGGTCCAGCGGAGCAGCGGGAGAGCGTGCGCGGGTGCGGCGCGTCTGAGCCATTGAAGGGATGTGAAGCGGAGGAGCATGAGAGCGGTCGACAGCGATCGCGACGTGAAGGACAGGATATCGAGTCTTCCTACAAGCAGGGGTGGCAAGTAGAGGTTCTTCAATCGTGCAATGCGGCGCAGGAGCGAAGGGCTGGCGTTGGGAGTGCAAGAGGGACGTTGCGAAGGTGAAGAGCAAAAGTCATGGACCTGATCGTCCCTTTGCTCCGCAAGTGTCCCTTGTATGGGCTCGTCGGGACGCCTACAATGTCTTCTCTTGGACGCCGATGCGAGCGGGATGTCGGAGGGATGCGGACGAGGATGAACTGCTTGCGATTGCTTCAGAACGACAAAACTCGGTACTGCTCGGTGACAAGGTCAGCTGCGGTCTTAGTAGACGTTGAGGAGGTACTCACCAACATGCTGCCTCAGTATACCGTCTGCCAGACCCTCAATCTGCCTGCTTGTCCGCCTCATCCCCTTCAGCCTCCAATCGGTCCTTCGTCGCCGCCAATCGCAGCTGATTGCGCTTGCCGAGTACGCGCAGGATGTTCGCGCGCTCTGCCGGCGTCCGCTCTGCCCAGTCTGTGATCCGCGAGAGTGTCTGGAAGCGCAGAGAACAAAGGTCAGCCCCACAAGGCGCTGAGGAGGTGTAACGGGAAACGAAGCAGGGAGGACTGCAGACGCACCCCGTCACTGTTCACGACCGTCGGACCCAGCCTGTCAAACAGCGAGTACGACTGGCCGTTCACCTCGATGCGAGCGGTCTCGTCGTCGGAAGGAGCGGGGAGGGCGAGCGGCTGCTTGGTGGCCTGGTTGGCTTCGGTAGTCGTGCCTTGCGAGGGCTCAGACATGGCGTGGCGTGCTCAGCGAGACTTTCAGCGAGGTTGGGCAGTGTGGTCGAGAGGCGAGCGCTCCTCTTCCTCCTGCCGCTCACCTTGCTCGACGCAACCATCTCCTGCTAGGCTTGCCGATACGTGCACTGTCAGTCGAGATGTCTGACCGCGTGGTCCAGCCCAGCGAGCCCGCCTTCACGGTCGTGCTTCGCGGCAAACACTTCGAGCTGTCCGACACTCAAATCCGCTTCGACTCGCCGAACAAGTTCACGGGCGTGTTTCTCGGCGGCAACGGCGGAACGGACATCATGTACTCGGATAGACGACCCGAATACTTCCCCATCATCTCGGAGTGGTTGGCGGGATACGAAGACATGTTTCCGATTCACCTCGAGGGGATGAGCGAGCAGGTGGCGACGCGGGCGATTCTGGCGGAGGCGGAGCACTTCAAGCTGAAGAAGCTGGCTGCGAGGCTGAAGACGGCGCTGGACAGGGCGGAACCGCTGGACCAGCCTCTCATGTGGCCTTTCACCGGGTCGCAAGAGGGCACCTTCTTCCGCGTCCGGCCAGTCGTTCACGAGTTTGCGGACATTGTCAAGAAGTACCCGGATGGTGTGCCGCGAGAGGTCTTCGAGGCGCGTCCTACCGCCTCTGCGCAGTTTTACTGGTTTCACGACCTCCAGGTCAGGTCCGTCCCAGGTCACTGCCTCACAAGCTTCCGAGTCCGCGAGTTGACGATTCCAGCGCAGGTTCGACTGCCGACAGCTATCAGCACAAGGCCTCCCGACGGTCTCCGTCCTCTTCCTCAACCGCGAAATCCAAGCAGCTGTGGACTCGTACCGAGGCGTTACACGGCAGCCGCTGCCCGTCGACTTCTAGGACTCGACAGCTCAACAAGCCTCAGTCACGATTGACCGGCAACCTCTCTCACTGGCTGTCTTGCTGAAGTGGATCGCCTCGCCCAAGGTCGTTTCAACGAAGGATAGCCCGCTCGAACCGCTCGCTACTTACTTCCGACCCGAAGGAACGCCGCAGGCCGACCGCATCGTGACAATCCGCGTGCATCGAGCAGCCGGCTACATCCGAGGGGACTTGCGCATCGCCCACCTCGACATCTTCTCGAACCACCAGGGTTACATGCTCTGGCGCAACGTCGGCTATGTGCGTCCTGTCCTCCTGCGGTTCCTATCGAGCCAAGTAAGGCTGACAAACGTCTCCTTTCGCAGGACCACACCTCGAACCTCTTGACCGGCACCAGCTCGCCCAAAAACACGCAGTCGACCGCACCCACCTCCTCCGTGCCCAAGGCTGCCAGCCGCGCGTCTACGTCCAGCCCCTAACCGGAGACGAGTCCGCCTGAAGCCTTCGTCTCGTCGGTCTGGCTGGTCTGAGCTTCCGAATGCACCGAGTCTCTCGCTCGAAACCTGCATGTTGTCGATACCCCTCTAGTTTAGCGCATTGCAATCGCATGTATCCTTCAAGAAACGAGCGAGAGAATGCGTTGGGTGGGGACAGAAGAAAGAACCTGGACTTCCAGACACAGCGGGAAAACGAGGGAAGGAGAAAGAAGTGACACTAGACGACATGGATATGAGAAGGCGATGCGAAGCGAGGCGGAACGAATGGTGGTCGCGAGATAAGGCGAACCGGTTTTGCGAGATGAGGCGAGAGGGGTTTACTCGACGGGGCGGAGCTCGAAGTGCGAGTCGTCCTCGGGGACCGACAAGATCCTGCGAGACAGCGAGCGTTAGCGAGCTTCAAGCCTGACAAAGCCTCTGCGAAACGCACCTCATCGTGTTAGTCGAGCCGAGACCGCTCCTCCATCCCTGAATCGCAACGACGGTGTCGCGCTTGCGGACAATTCCGAGCTCGAGCGCGCGCGAGAGACCGCTACGGATACGGTTATCGATGTCGACTTGCCAACCCTCGTCCGAGGAAGGCTTCTCGTGGGGGTAGTGCATGGGGTAGACGCCGCGGTGCAAGTGGATTTGGCGCGAGGTCTGCTCGTTGCGGGTGACGGTGATGATGGGGCAGGGGGGCTTGTACTTGGAGACTGCGAGCAGCGAGGGCATCAGCTTGAGTACTGGGGCGGTTTCGAGAGCCACAACGCACCGAGGCGGGCGGTGTTGCCGGAGGTCGACATGACGAGGATGGCGCCGGCCTTCTGCTCGAGGGCAGCGGCGACGGCAGCCATGGCGACGGTCTCGGCGGGGGGGGGGGGGGGGGGGGG